GAGGGAGTTAAAATTACTGTTCTTCTAGAGTTTAAGTAACTCCAGATTTAAAGTTCAAATTAAGGACTTAAAATAACCCCCAAAACGGAGTTGTCCAGTGCCTAAAATTTTTACTCCACTTTTAGAGTTAAAATAACTCCAAAAAGAGTTAAAACAGCTCATCTAAGGAGTAAAAAAATTCCCATTCCAGAGTTTTTTTAACTCCATGATTCAGGAGTAAACCCCAGATTTGGAGTTAAAATAGGAGTTAAAGTAACCCACAAAAGAGTATAAAAAAAGCCATGCAAGAAGTAAAAGTAACCCTATTTTTCGAGTTATTTTAATTCCAGACTGTGAGTTAAAAGAACTCTTTTTAAGGAGTAAAAATAACCCAAGATTTGGAGTTGAAATAGGAGTTAAAAAACCCTTAAAATGGAGTTGTCCTGTACCCAAAATTTTTTCTCCATTTTTGGAGTAATAATAACTCCCTATAAATTACTGTGTAATAAACGCCCGGATCGTCTACTTAGTTTTGAGGGTTCAAGAGGAGGCATTTGAAAGATCGAGAGAGGCGTTTATTCTCACAACTGTAACAAGCTCAACCAAGCTAAATTATCTCTTGCCACTACATCAATTGATACGTCTGGGCCGTCAAGAGATCTATACCGATCTTTCAAGCACATCCCAACATCGATATGTCAAAATCCTTGTTCAGGATTATTGCGTTGCCATCGTTAGTCTATCCTTACTAATTCGCTTTTAGGGTATAAAAAGTTAACTGATACAAAGATGAAGTTGGTTTGCTTCCGGATAAGAGAGCGAAATACTAGAAACTTATCGAAAGCGGAAGCAAGAAATTTTTTCGATCCGCTCAACCTTAGCAGGAAATAACCACTACTGTTTTACTCCACAGCAAGAGAGATAGACCAACATAGGAAAGTTCAAAGAGTTGGTAACAGTGCTGATAATCGCCAATGGCACAATATCGCCTGAAATTCTATTCAGGCATTGGACGATCATCATGTGATCGACATGTACAGGTGCTAGAATAGAATACTTGCTATGTGACAAGGCGGCCATGCGGGTAGTTAAAAATGTACAAAAAATTCGCCGAATTTGAAACAAAGAGTTTAAGTTTTTTTTTCTTTTTTCACCGGCATGGCCTTCTTGACGTCAACTGAAAAAGAGAAATAATTCGCTGTTTGGTACAATTTACCCTTTTCCTAGAAAATGTATTTATTTTGGATTATAATAGCTATTCCAAGAAAAAGGAAAAAAACGGGCTAGTGAGTATTCTATAAATTCATTTTCAAGTGGTAAAATTCTTAAAAGTTTTGCTGTCATTTTTAGTTTTAATTCTAGTAAGTACCTGCACAGATACAACGTTCCGGAGAGCTAAAATACTTGAGCCATTAAAGCTCCTGAACGTTAACATTACTTAGACACTGCAATGCAGGGCGTATTTTACAATGGCTACGGTTGTCCTTTCAAGCCACTGAATCAGTTAATTATCTGTATCTGAATATTAAATGTTTTCTCGGAACTATCATTTTCCGTCATAAATGAAAAGCTTGGGTATGTTCTTTTTGTGAATGAGGATTAAAGTTTCACAAATTTCGGGAAGACATAACATTTCATTGCGGCCAGGTCATGACTAATAATTCACTTTAACAATTTTCTTCGGGGAAGAAAAGTCACTTGTAATGCACGTAATCATGGCCCTCGTTGCCTGTTTCTACGACTTTTCCTGCTGGAGAAATTCAACTCGCCAGCCCGCTTATTACTCAAAATAACTAGCTAAATAAATAGATGCTTAATTGTATTTTCCTTCACTACATTTGTGTTCGTTTATGAACAAGTCATTTCTTTGGGAACTCTTTCATATTTTCCGCTTTCGTTATTACGTGGTGCTAATCATGTGATCATCATTACTGATTCTCGCAACCCGCACTAAGATATTAAAAACTGGTTTTGGGGGTTTTAAAATCCATAGTCAGATTGAAACATCATTTGAAACATAGTTAAAGACACTGCTGGTTTTACTTTAAGGGTCTTCTAAGTGAACTGATACCAAACGAATATATTCTTGCTGATGAAACGAGGTGCTCCAAAGCGGAGTCTCTTTCCATAGTCTCTTCGCAATTAGACCGAAACCCACAAAATTATACAAACGGTGGAAGAGATGAAAATTATAAGTGGAGGATAAGAACTAATAACTCACCCTACAGTTTGTGAAAGTCCTCACAGAGAGGTGTGCGTGGCAACGAAAGTAAATTACAGTTCGTGGATCTGTTGGCAAAACGGATATAGTGATCGACACGCAATTAACATGTGAATAGCTTGATGCAATTGATGTTTTGTCTTTTGAAATATATTTTATGCAAGCGATTCCAAGAAAAAAAAAAAGAAACAAAAAAACAGGTTTCACCTCCCAAATCTATGAATGAAAATTTGAGGGGTGAATTGTTGTCTTCTTCAATACGAAAATACCTTGATATAATTCATATCCCAAAGCAACCTCTTGATATTCTTTGCTTTTTTTTTTTTTGCTTGCTTGTTTGCTTTTCCTTAACAGCACTGAAACGGATGACGTCAGTAATAGGAAGCTTAAGATAAGCAAACACATTTTTGAGCGACGCCCATGGAAAGCCTTCACAATACGGGGGTATAAAAATATTCTTCGAAGATTCTAAGCATGTAGAGCATAATTCATTTACGCACTGGTCATCCAAAGAGAAAAGAACAATCACACTGCTTGATTTTTGTAACAGATCTAGATTCGGAAAGGTGTAATAAAAAGCGCAGAGCGTTATGATTTAGTAAAAATCAAACAGGCGGAGTCCAAAGAAGAATATTTATTCACTCATTATTAAAAGTTTGGGACGGCCTTACAATCCTGAAAGAAGATCCTAAAGAAAGAAGAAGAATCCCATTTCTCTATCTTACCGGTGTTGTGTCCAAGGATGAACATAACTACTCCACAAAGGCAACTATAGAAAACGGAAATAAGTAAAACAGTTTCTACTGATACAAACCCATCTACCGTTTGACACATTCAAATTGTAGTCGCACGTATCCTGCAGCATGGATTCAAATTTAGTTGCAGACCAACGAGGAACAGTTTGATTTGGTATTTTAAATAATGAATTTTTGACTTACAACTACAAAATTTCTTGATTAGTGGGATGCACACTTAAATTATATCTTCGATGATGTGTGAATGTATTAGATATATGCTATCATTCTTTCTCCCATAACATAACATAAAGTAACCAATATTCGCAACAAACCAAAATTTATACAGTATACCATACATGCATACCTGTAAACTGGAAAGAAATAATTAAGCCAACATTTTTTTTGGATAATAGTATTGGTTAAGAAGAGGGATGACCATGCTGACTTTTTATGTGTGGGCACTGTTTGTTGTGTTTTAATTATTGTTATATATCATTGCTAAAATTACAGCATTTGTTCCAATTGCAGAGGGATGCAGACTGTTGCCAGGAAAATTCAGGATTTTGTTGTAACAGAGGGAGGCATTATTTGCCAGCTCTCTCAGAAGATTCTTGATGCAGTGATAGTAAAAATTCGTAAAATTCCAAAAAGAGGACAACCTCGCGAGGTATTGCCAAATTGTCGACAATTTCTTCCTGGACGTTTTCTTTCACCCTTATAGACCAAGATTTAGCAAGACTTTTTAAACAATGTCCATGGAGTAAAAAAATAGTTTAAGACATTTGCCAAGTCATTAAAGGATGGTTTACTAGTGGGATACAGAGTCGGAACTGTATTAATCAAAAGCGTAGAGTGTTGATCTAGGCGAAATAGGGTATAATTACTCCAATTAGGGCTCCTTCACTTTTGACCTAGTGAAAACTAGACGTTGTTCGAGTTGCAAGCAGAAGCTGAAGTACTAAACCAATCACAAAGTATGCCAGGGAACAAGAATTGTGACTGGTTTATCCTTCCACTCCTGCTCAATCTGGTTTTCTACATCATAAGCAGAATCTGAAGAACAGAAAATTCTGATCACTCCAGTTCCATTACGCTTCTAGTTACAACTCCCCTTGTCACTCTGATTTTTGATTTTCACTAGATGATAAGTGCTCTTATGACACTGACTATCACCCTGACTTCGTCACAAGTGAAAACCAGCCTTTAAAAGGATTGCACTTATGTGTCTCTCGTGCTATTTCCCCAAATTTCGAAGATTATGAGTTTGAAAGGTTTATGTTACATATGTTTGAATACACATTGTTATGATGCATAGTTAAAGATATACTTCACTTCATTATTTTTGACTTAAAACAGAGTACAGTAACTTGTTTATGGAATAAATGTTTGAAAGCTATAATCAAGATACGTTTGATTTCATTATTTGCCAATAATTATTATGGGGAGAAAAAAGGACCCATAGATTTCGTACAAGAGTGGTAAATTAATAAATTTAATTATCTCGTTATATACTCCTTTTGATTCCAGCACTTTTTGAATTTTCCCAGCGTGTTGCTTTCCCAAAGTTGACCCGCTTTTTCACCGTTCAATTTTGTTTCATAATTCGATTTTGTTCGATTTGATTCGGCATTGAACTCATAAAAACGTATTGCGTTCGATTTCGTTCGACGACCGAACTGCATTACTCCCCCCACCCCTCACCCCAAAAAGTTTGCTTAAGCATTGTTTTCAATTTCTCTTGGGACGGCTGTAATACAACATAAACCTAAGTGCTTTTTTCTCAAAAAAATCTTCCTCCCATTAGTTTGGAGACGTTCTTTAGAATTATTCTACGAAAACTAAACTCGATCTAAATCTTCACCTTGCTTTCCTAGCACAATGGGGTTTGCGAGTTACGGAGAACTAATACTTGCAGGGCAGATATAGATTTGATGCGTATCACTTTATTCATCAGCAAGTACAAAACACTTGTCAATTAACTGGAATCGTCTGCCAGAGAGGGGTCCATATCTTTCCCTTTAAAGAAGTCTCCAAGTGGTTTGATATACATAACGCCAAGAAACTCATCTTATTAAAGAAGTAAGATAAATACTTAGAGCCAAAATGTTCCCTTCCTGTTCATTCTTTGTAGAAAACTCCTTGCCACATTTGGGACAATTTGCGCGTGACAGAGATCCAGTAAACTCCATCACCGGCGACCTCTTACTGCATTCGGTAAAAGGGCAGGTGTATTCAGCTTGATTAAGACTTGCCAACAACTTCATTAACTTTCTGGTATCAGCGGATTTATGCTTCCTGGAATAGGTTTGCTCTTCCTCTGTCAAATCGTTTTCTTTCCAGTAAACGTCGATGAATTTTAACCCAAGAACATCTGCGTTTTGCACTCGAAAAAATCCCATGTCCCCCCAGTCTTCTCCCCAAGAATTTAACAATCGTAGACTTTCGCTGTCGAAACTAGTTAACACAACTGAATAGCCACGGGTGGGGATATTGCGTGGACGGGCTGTAAGATCGATTTCTTTCTTCGTCAAAATGCCTTTTCGGTTACGGTCATCGCCAAAGAACTTTCTAAAGCTATCCCTTTCACGCTTTGTTAGCCAACAACTTGCCACCACTGGCCGTGGACAGATTGAAGAAACTGCTTCTAAGGCATCCTTGAGGTCGACTTCTCTGCAACACAAACGGTAATCAACGCACATTTCCTGTAAAACGTGGAGGGGATCGTCACCGTCACTTCCAAAACGGCGGATACATTCGTCTCTCAGTTCCTGAAAACATGGATAACCCCCTTTGCGACCACGAATTCGTTTCATGGACAAATAAAGTACTGTAGCACATGCATTCGCATGACAGGACTTTTCTGTTTTCTCCACTTTCTCCACGTCTTGCTTGATTTGAAACATATCTAGATCTACAGATGCAAGCACATCCGATAACGTATCTTTACAAAAAAGGACATCTTGAGCCAACTTGCAAGCGCTTTGCAAGTGTTTTGGATGATTGACCTGCAAGAACAAGTGTGTTTCATTGCTGGTGTGATCGATGGTAAAATCACGTTTAACAAACATAGTGCGTGGTAGGGATTGCGTGAACTCTTTTGAGCTCAATGAGAACAGGAACTTTGCACCCGGATCCCAGTCAGGTCCCTCTTGGCTGAACAGTCGTTTGGGATCAATCTGCTCCGAGTCAGTGACAAAACAGCTCACTACAGTCACATCTGCTGTGGTTAATTCAGAGACCAATCGATCTATTTTTGCACGATCAGTAGTTTGTCCATCTGAGGGCTCTCCTTCTGACAAGATGAACAGCAACTTTTTGTGACTGGAGAAACTTGAGGCTTGAAATAGTTTTATCGCCTTCTCAATCGACTGATATAAAGGCTTTTCCCCGTAAATGTAGGGCTCTACGCTCTTCAGTAACTCTCGACTCCTTTCTTTGGAGAGGTCTTTTTCATCTAAGAACCCATGTAGAACATCTGAGGCTTCTTGAACATTGAAAATGGAATCTTCAGTAACACCTACTATTTCTTTTTTTTCTTCCAGCAATTTTGGCTCGACCTTTTCCCTTTTTTCATCTGCCAAATAGGGTGCGACCCGGCTTACCACTTCTCTGATATCTTCCATCGTAGCACGTTTAAAGCGGCTAGTCACTTTCGCAACTGCACTTTGCGAGCTATACAAGTGGCCTGGAAGACTCTGTGGAGGGCTTTCAGACCACTCGCGAGAAGCCGGTGGTAGAAACTCTTGAACGAAATTTTTTAGAAACAATTCGTCAGACTCAAATTTATTGAGTAGCATGACAGCCATATCATCCGTTACTACTCTGCTGAATTCTTCTTCAGTTACCCATTTGCGGATAGTGTGTGCACCGACTCCCTCTAATTTATGAAAAATCAAGTCTATGTGCCTTGGTTTGACAGGCCCTTGATCAATAATTTCAACGATTTGTGCTTGATCAATTCTTTCTCTTTGTTTTTCAATATTTTTAAGAGTTCCTATGATATCAAACATTTCGTCACCACAATTAGCTCCAAAGCCTATAGCAAATACATGGTTATCTGAAGGAACTTTGTGTTTTGCAAAGTCGTCTATAACCTCAAATGTCGAGGTAGCCCATGGTCCTCCTTCTTCATCGATATCCGTTCTAATGCTACGACGCATGGAACCGGAGACGTCAAGCAGGATTCCAGTCAATGATGCCATAACACTTCTGCCTGTAATTAAGGAAGAGGCGACCTTTGTCATAAAGTTAAATCTCGAACAGAAACAAATGTTCCCAGGGTCTCTCTTCCTCCAGTTCCCTGGAGCAAGAGAGATATGGTAAGGAGAGAGATCCTGGGAATGAAGGAATGCGATGAAGTAAAACACCAACAAAATGACCTGCTACTACTACGTTTCTACTATAACGTTGCAGAATACCAAAGTTGCTGGGTATCCTGAAACAGAACCTGAATCTAACCAGGTAAATTTTGTTATCCTTAGCTGAAACTACAAGCGATTATGTGAATTCCAGGCGTACTTTTTTTGCTTGAAGGTCTGTTGTTCTTTCCCTTGAGGCATTGCGCATTGTTTATTTTGGTCTTTAACAAAGGTCGAGCTGCGACCTCTTGAGAGGAAGAACTCTAGGAGGAGACGTCATTGCGGAAACTAACCCAGATATAGCTATCTAACTTCATGCCATAAAAGAGTGATCATGCAACAAACACTTAAATCATCGCATTATTTGTTTGTTGTTCTCTTCCATTTATCTGCAAATAAATCACGGTGGTGACAGGCAGGGGAGAAGGGCATTCGCGCCACGAATTGTAATATCAACCCGCCTTGGCTTCACGAGGGCTTCGGCCTTGCTTCCCCGGGAATTATAGCATCACTGAATTACGTTGATATTTCACTACACATGCAATTACATTGTATATGTCATACCGGGGCCGGGAGCCAATAATCTGTCTGGGCTCATCTTTTCACTTTTCTCTTTGCGTTAGAAAACTGTGTCAACTAGTGACGCAAAGTTGGAGTCAAGAAAACCCTTTTATAAATTTGACTCTTTACGGGTTTTACGTAATTGTGTGGTTCCAAAAAAATACACCTACCCCTCCACGGTGGGCACTTTTGTTTTAGACTCCCCCCCCATCCACGCCCTGGGATTTCCGTAATTTTCCAACTTGGTTGGGTACCCCCTGGAAGGTATATTACCATCAAAATGCCGTTGCACAATAGTTTTATGCGAAAGGTTATTGTTTCTGCGATAAAGAGAGAAAAAAATCTTTTCATATATGTTGATACAGTGTCAAATAATCTCTTTTTTGCCTTGTAGAGGTCTTTCCTAGTTAATTATTAACGGTAATTCACTGAGAACGATGCAGGCGGTACGGCCGTATACGACACAAGTGATGCCATCTCTCAAACCGGTGTACTTCAATTGCCTCCTTTCAGTTAAGAACAGGTTAGAAGAAGACTTATTAGAACATGACCGCATTACATTGAATACCACAATACATTGTGTAAGAAAGCAACAAATAGAAAACGGAAAGTTTAGTCTTCAACCGACGACAATCGTTTTACGGTCGACCTATCGTGTAAGCCATGAAAAAAGCACTCAGTCGGCCGCAAATAAAAGATCATCCATGAAAACAATAATTTTTGGACTCTTTTTGGTCTGAAACACCGATTAAAAGTAAAATAACCGATAGCTTGCTCATCAATCTTACTCGGAGCTCCTATAAAAAAGACTAGAGAGGCCACCCCCACCTCCTCGGAAATTGCTTCCTTTTGGAACCCCCCCCCCCCCTCTGCTTTTCCGTTGCCCTCCGTCCGGGGGATGGGGGGTATGGATATTTTCTGGGACTACTATAGTGGGTCATGCTTTAACGTTCTTTTTGAATTGCTAATATCATAATATTCATTCATGGATAACTGGCAACCCTAGAGTAATGATCTATAAATGTCCCCTTATGTGGAAATGAAATTGAGATAGACCACCTCATCGCTGACTAATAATGTCCCCTACTCTCTACGAACAGCGTTTGGGTCCTTTAACACAGGATTTTATATGAAAAAGGGCTGTGAGACGGGGCCTACGGATTTTCTTTCTTATCCGAGAAGACTAGAAAGTCTAACTGTTTGCAGATGACATTGCCACGATAACACTTTTTCCTCCGTTAATTGAAAACCCTACGTGTAGTTCCGGCTGGGAATTAAAACCCGCGGCCTTCCAATCGGTACTGACTGGCGCTATAATCCAACTAAGCCTACCGGTAGCGGTGTGCATCACACTTTTTGGTACCTTTCTCTGATGTCCACAGCACGAGTATCTCGTGAAACTTCCTAATGCGATATTTTATGGAGGACTCGGGCCCAGTTCGGACATATTTGAAACTCCGGTATATTTTTACCCTGATTCCTGAGGACCTTAAACCTCCCTGGAGAGCGGCTTCAAAAAGACGCGGCTTTGGTAAGCGATTCACTAGCTTCATGTGGAAAAAAGTTTTATATAAAAATATGATTTTATCACAACATCTTTCTCACCTTCAGCAAACTTAGGCGCGGAAATGGCTGGTTGGGGAGACTTCATTGCTGTTTTATCTAAAGAGAATGCAAGAGCACAAAAAATTTTAGCTTAACCACCCAGTACACCGGCCTAACCTATCTGCCAAATGTGCGTCTGGTGAAGGCTCTGTATAGACATATTGAAAAGCAAACTCATCTGCCTCTCTTGATAGAATAAACGACTACTATGTTTCGCTAGCGAAAATTAGGAAAGACTTTTACGGAACATCCAGTCTAGTAATTTGAATATTTCAATGTTGTCTATTCCCACAGACACTTAAATGTGGCCACGTTAATGGTGATAGAAACCCCACGTTATCTCGTTCTTCGGCTCAGTACAGTGCGAAGCAAATTAAGTAAAATAACAATCAACTAGCAGGGAGCAACATCCAGTGGAGACCGCCCCGCCCCACCCCCCCCCTTCCCCCCTCCAGGCGTCCTGGAGTGTAGACAAAATAGCAGCATTACAAACAATTATTGGATAAAGTTTTTGTGATATCGGGACAAGTTCAAGTTCCTATGTGAAGAATAAGCGAAAAAAGAACGGTGAAATATTTTGAATGAATCCGTAAATTATTACTATCCGTTGGTTTGAAAAGATTTTTTACCATTACCTGATCTGTTCTTCAGAAACTCTTTGTGTGATAAGTAATCTTCCTCTGAAATAACGGTTCTTAGTTTTGCCTCCCTGAGGTCAAGTTTTTCTAAAACCTCTGGCGTTACAAGCATATCTTGAACTACTTTGTTAAGGTGGCCTGTACAATATTCTTTCCACAATGCCTCAAGAACTTCCAATGAACAGCACGAAACTGTAATGATCAGGCTGCCTTGACTACACTTTTGAACTTCAACTCCAAGCTTCTCTTTCAAGTATCTGATTAGGAGATTTACTGAGCTCTTGCGGAATGAATAAACAACAGACCAAAAATCAAGATCTAAAGAGCGATTCTGCTGACTGACTTGCAATTCCTTGCTTGTGGATAGACGAGTGGCACCTTCCCCTAGTGACTGCTCTGGAGATACAGGTATGCGAGTCTCCACACTTTCATACGGCGATTGACCACCTTCCTTTTCTGGGGCAATGGGCAATTCACATGAGCTAATAACTGACCCACTTGCCGTAAGATGTTCAACGACGATGATTCTAATACTCATAAATATATTCTGCTCCATTTGTTGTTGTTTACTTTGCATCTGCGTCATCTTTACTTCTTGACTTTCAAGCCCTTTCTCCATCTTTTCGAACTCACGTTTTATGTCCTTATCCATTTGTTGTTGTTCATTTTGAACATGCTCCATCTTTACACTCAGCTTTTCGAGTTCACCGTTTATTTCCATCTCCTTAAGGTACCAAAAGCGAAGTTCATCAACACATTTCTTTGCATCTGGTGTAAGTGGATCATGGAGAAAATTTTCGATAGACTTCTTCCATTCGTCTCTTCTTGCGCTGCTTAAGTGGCCAGCAATTCTCAGTAGGGCCTCACTAAGTTCAATCCAAAACTTCTTGAAGTCAGCATCTGTTACCCCGAAGCGATAGTGGTGATTATAAATTGTGTTACGGTAAGACCTGATTCTCACTATGTCGGCTTGAAGGCTGTGATCAGTGCTGTTAGGCATGTTGTCCCATCCGGTAGCGGGAGCAGTAAAGTTGCATATTTCCCGAAGCAATTTATAAAGTAGGCTGATATCAAAATCGACCGACTTTCCATACACTCCTGGTTCGGATGATTTGTAGAGACGTTCCCATTCCGGGAAGAAAAGGACCCTGTTTCCTCTCAGAGTTTGAAGATGCTTTTTTATGGCGGGGTTACCAAGCAAAGCTGGAAGGTTAGCTGGTGGATGGATATTATCAAATACTTCCCTTAACAGTGCGAGTCCTCCACGCATCAAAAGCTGTGTCAACCGGCTGAAATTTGCTTTTTCATCTGTTGTACTAAGTGCTTCATCTGCAACAGATGGAAAATAACAGAAAATATGTCATATTATATGCAGTCTGGTCGCAAATGATTTCAAAAGAGGAGAGTCAATTTTTAAAATAGAAAGGCCTTGGCAACCCGGGGGGGGGGGGGCACTGCCATATATGGGCTATATATGTATGTGCCGCTGTGAAGGGTATGGTTTTCAAGCAGTTTACTCTAGGATAGGGTATATAAATCAGAGCGTTTGGGTCTAGAATAGGGTATCATTTTTCAGAAACTGATCAGTTGGTTGAAGATTTTATCTAGACAAGGGAAACAGCTACTCTAGCATAGGGGGATTTGTGGAGTTTACTCTAGTATAGGGTAGCAAAATTCAGCTGAACTTGTTCTGGTATAGGTTAAGGGTTCCAGGGTCCCAGCGGCACATTCCCACCCAGAAATTCCTTAAGTACCCCCCCGGGCTTGGCAAGAGCAGAGAATCAAAGTTTAGCAAATTAATCATTTACCCTGTAATACAAAGCGAGAAAAAAAAGCTTGCAAAAGCACCCGGAAAATGCATGTCGTGCCGAGGACTGCCGGGTTAGCAAGTAGAGCTGCATTGAGGACAGCTGACATTGCGTAGAATCCGCTCCTTAGAGATGTATAAAAATCGATATTATGTTATTGACTGAACGCTTTATGTAGTCATTTTAAAACAAACATCTTCTTTAGCTCTAGGTGGTTGCTCCTGAGGATACATATAATTATATATCTGTCTGGATTTGCAATAAGGTACCTCCAGGATTTTTTTAGCAACAGTCGTATTTGAGGCTTGTTTAGTACTTGACCATTTTTTTCTTATGTTTTCAGTACAAAAAACCCCTAACAAGCTGCAGTAGACCAAAAAACAAAAAACAAACGTTTTTTTTAATGCTGTTTACATCTTTCCCCACCAACCCTCCTTTCTCAGCTACATATCATTTTCCATAATTCTCACGGTGTCATAAAAGTTAAACCCTATTACATTTGAAATCAGCGCGCGCGGGGGTTGTTTTCCCGTGGTAGGTTAATTTTCTAGATTTCTTTTTGGCCGCCCGTAGCAAAGTTCCGGAAGGCATCATTAAGGCTTATGAAGGAACAAGACTGACGATTGGCAAAGTCTGCCGTTGTCCAATATTTTAGCGTATTTCGTCTCATTTTGGCTAAACGAGTGAAACACTGATCTCGCAAGGAATCATATTGCGAGCTTTGATGTGGGCGGTGACGAGTCTCTGGACTTAAAAAGCTCTTGGTAGGAGTCAAATCTATTCGGCGAGAGCAAAATTGATGCTGATTTCTGACCAGGCCGGGCCTCTAAGTGTCCCTTTCAAAACTGCTCGTCTACATCCGGGATCTTGAATAAATCGACTGAGTCAGCCCAGAGCAGAAAAGTTTACGTGTGATGATTTATGTGGAGAGAGTAAGAGTTATTCAGCAAGAGTAATTTGATGATATTTGGTCCGTATTAAGTGTGGGAACATTGTGCATGGTTGGTTGTGGATAGTTTTAACCGTGCCGCAAACGTGAATTGTGATTTCCTGAAGTTGTTGAAAGAGAGAATTCAGGTATGTCGTGGTGCTCGTGTTAGAAGAATATTGTGTACAAGTACCACAGGCGGCCCAGACGTTAAATGTGTGTCAATATATTAACCGAGTAACAGTTGACACTACAGCTGCCCTCGCTCTGTATATCGTCGGTCAATAGCATTCTTGCTCGTTGTGTAGCTCTTTGAAAAGTATACCGGTTCATAATGAAGATTTTCACACATATTCCAAATTGAATAGGTGAGATAAACACGGGAAACACAAGTAGCGTAAGAGCACAACCCCCTGGGCACAACCAAGCTACCACATACCTGTCAACACTATGCGGAAATCACACAATTACACACTTTACCATCCACAACCATGCATAATCTTCTGACGTTTAACACAAGCCAAATATCATCGAACAACTTGGAAAAACTCAGCCTATTGGCAGATACACACCTCTGGACTTTTTCCTTACACTCGTCTTATTTAAGTTCCCGGATGTAAAGTCACACGGTCGGCAGACCAGCGTAGACCCTGACTTCACACCAGAAAAAGACTCAGTCTTGGGCCGGGTCAAAGTTCACCGGCAATTTTGCTCTCGCCCAATTCATTTGACTCCTAAGAGCCTATTCCCGAGGCCAAAGACTTACTGGTCACCTTAGAAAAGCGAACAATATCGTACCTTTCTGTATCAGTCGGGATAAGGGTGATTGATCCGAAGCCAAATGAAACGAGAATACAATACGATATTGGACGATGCAGACTCTGCGAATCGTAATAACTTTGTCCCATCTCAGAGCGTTACTTGATGCTCTCCGGGAAACTTTTCTTAAGGTGACCAATAACTGCTAACGCAGCACCGAAGCCAGCTTTCAAATAACTGTCACTTGTGTTGAAGAGAAAATTGTGGGTAAGATGAAAAAAAAAAAAAACGAAGGGAGGGAGTGAAAGGGGGAGTGGGGTAGATAGATGATCAGCAATAGTTAAACACAATTTTATGGTTAGCAATGAAAACATTGAAATCGTCAATAACTATACCTATCTTGGAGTGAAATTTTCTGCCAATGGAAATTTTACAAATCACAAGGAGAACTTAACAGAAAAAACAAAGAGATCCTTTTTTGCTACTCGTCGTTATCTAGATTTTCTAAAATTACCAATTCACATCATCAACAAACTGTTCAATAAACTATTTTCCCCAATTTTAACGTATTGCTCTGAAGTTTGGGGAATCTATGATAAAAGTGATTATAGCCGCTGGGATAAAGACTCGATTGAGAAAACGCATTTACATTTTTGTAAGATGTGTTTAGGTTTAAACATACGTTCACCGAATGTTGCATCGAGAAATGAACTTGCTAGATTATCTCTAAATTTACAAATAACAATAAACATTTTTCAAATTTTGGATTCACCTTGAAAATCAACCCCCTGACAGCATCGCTAAACTCTGCTTAAACATATCGGATAAAATGGCCGAAGAAAATAAATCAGATCTAATAAATAAAATAAATCTTTTGAGTACACAACTTAATATTCATAAACAGTCAGTTAACTTTAAAAACCCTTCTACTTTCCTATCCAAAGCTGAAAATAATTGGTCAAAACATCTGAAAAACCACCAGCTAAATTTGATAAGAACAAATAAAAAACTAAAATTCTACTTCATCTTTAAAAATGAAACAAATCTCTCTGAATTCATCAATCATATCCGGAATCCTGAACATAGGTGTGTAGCTTCCAAATTTAGGATAGGAAATCATAATTTAAAAATAGAAACTGGAAGATTTACAATCCCCAAAACTCCTGAAGACATTAGAATCTGTGATCATTGCAACCAAAATTCGGTTGAAAATGAACTGCACATATTATTTCACTGTGATCAATACAATGATTTGAGAAAGACTCTTTTTACTAAAATCAACGACCGAAATACATTATTTACACATTACAATATCCATGATAAAGTCTGTTTTCTTTTTAACAATACTGATTCACATATCAGCAGGCTAGCTGCTAATTTCATCTTTCAAGCATTTGAAAGACGAAAGAAACATAGTTAATTCTACCCGGTTCCATCATATCTGCATTTCCTTAAACTTAGCTGTTTATTATTATTTTAATCGGTAACACCTGTACAAAATGGTAATACTGAATAAACTTGTTGTTGTTGTTGTTGTTGTTGTTGTTGTTGTTGTTATCACCTTAGACCCGCCGCGTGACTCGGACAAACTTTGCATTCTACTCCAAGGCTTTGTATGGGAAACGTGCGTTTCCGACATGAAAACTGTTCTTAAAATTCGCAGTGAGCGTTTTTAAAATGTTTTTTGAGCATAATTCCAATATGTAAAAGGCACTACTGCTATAGGAAGCAAAACCTGGTCCAGCAACTCAAATAAATAGTTAAAATCAGAAAATAAAGCAACTCGATCAAAGAAGGCTTCTGAAATCGGATCCCTAGCTCTGTGTCTTAAGGCAAGAAAGCACCGCTATGCACTGAAACATGACATAACATTATTGGCTGTGTAATACTCCAAAACCGAAATTGCTAAAGAGAAAATCGAGTTTGGATGTGCTTTTCGCAAGCCTGTGACAGAATATCTAAGGTGAAAAGCACACCAACATTAGCATTGAACCGGAAATTGTATAAGTTGGGTCTGTTGTTGTGCCACTGCGGCCATAACGAATACTTTGGTACTTTATATTATATTCTGTAGTACTAAGCAGCGTAACATAAACACTCGAAAAAAAATTGAGCAACATTTGCCTATAAATTTAACCAAATGCAACGTTTCTTGCACAGCTATGAAGCCCTGCTCTCCACCACATTTTAACATAATGTAACCCACAGTATTATGACGCCGCATAAGAAATAAAACCACTCATCTGTACAGTTTTTTTCATGTTTAACGCTGTCTTGGCACGCATTGATTATTTTCAGCACTATTATCGAAACCAAGCTGGATTTTGTTTCCTTTAACGATAAACATCTTCTAAGACGACGAAAATTTGTTGCCGAACGTGACTTTCCCATACTAAACTCTACAGCCACATCTACACAAAACAATTATAAACTATTTGGCCGCGTGGTTGAGCTGTTTCGCTATAAAAACGTTTCTCCGGTGTTTATTAGCGGATTGTACCTTGGAAAAGCAACTCTCGACTCACGAAAATTGAATCTAAGTCTAGTTTCAGTGGGCTCTAATGGCTTTGAACCAAAAGGCCGGTTTTTGCAGATACAAAGGTGATAATTTGTGTAGTATGTTTCATTCAGTTTGTTGTCTATTCCATGCGAAACCCTGTCGTTTATCGAAAGGCGAAAAAAGTAGTGTTTTGCTAACTATTCGCATCGCAACTCACGGCAGCACTTCCCTTCTCTATGAGAACTTCGATTCTAGTAACTACTAACTTACTGCCAGGAGTCAGATAAAGGCTTTTATTCGGCCTTTGAATGACGAGGTTTTATTGCTTTACACTGCCAAGTAGTGGAATGAGTTGATTTCAGCTTGCTAACCCGGTTTTCAAAGATCCAGGTGTATATACATGTATAATTTGAGTACATTGCTATAAAACACTAACAGAGCAATTATATTAGTTTCTTATCTAAAGAAAAATTACTCAAGAAATAGGGCTAGAGGCCCAACTCACCTGAGACACCTGACTTTTCCTTAAGAGCGTTTTTGCAAATCAAATAGCTGTCTACCTCAATAATGGTCTTTAATTTGATGGTCTCCAAATTGATTTCTCTCTTCATGTCATCAGTGACTAAAAATCTCTCTGCAGCTTCATTTAGGACACCAGAATGGTAGTCATTCCAAAGAAGTTCGAGACTCTGCAGGTCGGGGCACTGACCTTCAATTACCAAAGATCCCATACCCACAGATTTTAAGGAAAACTTGTAAGTAGTTTCTATATGCTCAACGAAATCGCTTAGTCCACTGGCTGTGGAAAGCTTCATTCTTTTATTGTGTTTCAAGTACACTTTGAGTTCTCGTCTAAACACTCGGTCCACGACATCCTCCAATTTACTACTTAAATCACGTGTGGTGATTGTCATCTTTACAGTGTTTGCTGTTTCTAAAAATTATTGATAGAAAGCATAATTACAAGTTAGATTACTGCTTCTTATTACTAACTTATTACTATTAAGGAAAAAATACTAATGCATTAGGAAACGGGCTTCTAAACTAGTTGTAATGTGAAAAAGCATAATAGTAATGCTGCTATACGAAAAGAGCATTTTTTGGCTATAGCAGATAGAAAGACAACAAATTAAAAAAACACTAAGTTACTCAGGGGCGTAGCGTCCAAACACGCACATACTTTTTTCACTTCTTTATTTGCTTTTTGTCACTCACTTAACATAAAAATAAAACGTTACAAAAGGTGTTAATAATTAAAATATAAGTTGATTTGACTAGGAAGTATAATTAAGTAGCTGGGAGCTTATAGTAATAGGCTTCCTTAAACTAAATTACAAAGGCTTACTCGATTGCGAATTGTACAGAAAACATAAAACTTAAGTTACAGAACGCCTATCAATTGATGAGATAATTTTTTTCAGATTTTTCTAAAAAACAAAACAAATATAGAAGAGAAGCTGATTAGTGTAATTGGCAAAGAATTCCTGATTGTTGGTCCTCGATAAAGGATGCTGAACTGCTTAATAGGGCCATTTATACGAGGAAAAAAAAGACGCGTCTTACATAGGACGCGTCTTAAATAAGACGCGAACTTTCCGTATAAACGGCATATTTCGTCTAAAATAAGACGCGGCTTAGCTAAGACGCGTCTTATTTTAGAACAGCACTTAACACCTGTTCTTAGATAAGACACGTCTTAGCTAAGACGAGAAAAACTTCGTATAAATGACCTTCGCGTCTTCTATAAGACGCGAACGCATAGTACGCATGCTTTAATTTTTGGCGCGCCACGTTGGATTGCCGTTGCTACGGGCAACATTCACATGAAAACGAGTCAAGAACAGAAGGGACCTTAAGATCCGACGACGGCGACGGCAACGGGAACGCCACAAAAGCAATAGGTTTAATTAGCAAACAATAATTTTGCACGTGCATCACGCTTTTTTGTACATTTCTTTGCCGTCACTGCATGACTACGACGTGAAAATGCCTAAATTTCACGGTGTACAGAGGAAGTACACTAGCGATGACGAAATTTCCTCTCTCTTTCTGAACTTGGATATGGTTCTTAGGAATTCAACTTTAGAAGGGTTCGCCTACATTTGACAAAGTTAGTGAGTTGGAGTAATCGCGATGAAGATTAAAAGAACGCGAATTCACTTTTTCAGCGACGTTTTCTCTGCCGTCGTCGTCCTCGGATCTTAAGGTGACTCGACCCAGTTTTTTTGGGGGGGGTACCATCCTACTTTGAAGCTCTCTGGTATCCCCACCTTTACTTTTATCGTAAGTCTAACACATAGAATGGATAACATATAGATCAATCTACAATATAACATAAAATTTTTGGCGATCGGAGTAAATAGGGAGCTTTAGCATCGACGACGGCAATGGCAGCGAAAACGTCAGTTTTAAAATGAATTCCCGTTTTTTCAATCTTTGTCGCGTTTATTCCAATTTGCTGAAAATGACAAGTGTAGGCGAATTTCCCTGGAGTTGATTTCTTGAGGACCGCACTCAAGTTTAGAGAGAGAAAAAGAGATTCGTCGTCGCTTGTTTACGTCCTCCATGAAACTTGCAATTAGGCATTTTCACGTCGTAGCCGTGCAAGGACGGTAAAGAAATGTACAAAAAAGCATGATGCACGTGCAGAGTTGTTGTTTTGTCAATCTAAACCTATTGATTTTTTGATGTCCTCGTTGCCGTCGCCGTCGTCGTTGCTAAAGCTCCCTAATGTCACGTGGTTATAATGCCACGCCCCTTTGAGGTCTGAGTCGAAATCTGCTGTTGCAGGCATTTTTTCGTGAAAATCTCTCGGCTACATATAGTGCGCATTAGTGCCTTGCGCTGAACAGAGATTCACCAAAATCGCAAAGACCCAATTCGAGAAATTCAGCGGTTTCCAAATTTAGGTCATAATTTATGCGAAAATGATAAGCAAACTTTACACGATTATATCTAATAAACTATGAGATTCATCCCTTTATTTTGGCCATCGTTATAACAGATGGGTCCTTGCAAGTCAGCAAAACGCTTTAGGGCCTTGTAAATGCGCGCGATTTCGAGCAAAGCAAACATATAGAAATTATAGTTTTCGCTATTTGTTGACGTTTGTCAGCGTTGAAGAGTCCTTCTCATGAAAAAAGCATTTTCTTAAAAAATCGTAGTTTTTTTTCCTTCAAATTTTTTCAGGGCCAAAATTGATTAACTAACTACCCGTACTCTGAATTTCATGGTCATTGAAAAACTGCGACATTATCTTCTATAAGCCCAAACATGAGTAAACATTGAAGATTTTTAGCGTTTTGGCTGAGTTTGTGCTTTGGGAGTTGTCTGTTGTTTCTAGTCTGTCATTATACAGCATTCTTGTTCAGCACGCGTGCAATGACCACGCTTTTCGACTCAGACCTCAAAGGGGCGTGGCATTATAACCACGTGACATTTACTCCGATCGCCAAACATTTTATGTTATATTGTAGATTGATCTATATGTTATCCATTCTATGTGTTAGACTTACGATAAAAGTAAGGGTGGGGATACCAGAGAGCTTCAAAGTAGGATGGTAAAAAAAAAAACTGGGTCAAGTCACCTTAAGGTCCCTAGAAATAAGACGCGAACCGTTTATACGAGCTGTTCTCGTCTTAGATAAGACATGCTCGTATAAATGGTACAGTTCGCGTCTTATGTAAGACGCGTCTTATTTTTCCTCGTATAAATGGCCCATGTAATAGTTCTACAAAAATGAGGTTTATACCGAGAGGTTAGTCGAGTTTGATAATGGTGAACCTGGTTACTACTTAAAAAGAGGTTACGAAAGCTACTCGGCAAAAGATTATGGTGATAGGAATACATAAATGTAGCAACAGAAAAAGAATTAATGCTATATATGTCAAGGACTTTAGTTAGCTGAATAATGGGGCGGTATTTGCTAGATAGTGAGCTTTTGATAAAAGCCGCGCTATGTGCTTTTGCAAAAGGTAAATACAGTTCAGGTTAGAGCCCGTGCGTACAGCTGAAACCTAGAAAATATCTATTTTTTATTTCCTGAAAGCATTTTTATCATTAAATCGGGTTGATTGATAAATCTTACGCATTAATCTCACCCTTTGCTAGTAATCTCCTTGATGGCGTTTTTTTTTTTCCGTAAGCATTGCACAACCGATAACACTAGCCGATGTAAATAAAACAACTCTGAATTATCGCATTTTCCTTTGTATTTATGTACCGAAAATGTCTTACGGAAAACGCCCAAAATGGCATTTATGCGGAGGTTGCCCCACACCTCCTAGTTGGTAGCACATTGGGAAGTCCATTCTTTCTTTCCGTGCGTACACCTTCAAAACGTCGCGCTACGCCCCTGATACTTTTTTAAATGGGTCAAAAAAGGTTCTAAGGCCCGGTTCAGACGCCGAACTTTTCATGAGCCGAACCTAATTCGAATTAAGGCAGACCCAGATTATTTAGACCGGTTGAGTTGATTCAGACGCCGATCTTAATTCCAGCCGAACTAAATTCAAAAGGAGAAAAATGTTCATTTCGGTCAAACTACTTACAAAATACGTTATAATAATTTACCGTGTAGCATGAAAATTTTGCAGGTTCTAATTTTTGCGAATTTTGTGGATTGACTTCGATCCGCAAAAATTAGTTCCCGCGGTAAAAAAAAAACCGCAAAATAAAACGCGGCAAAAATTAACTCCCTTCAGTCAAATAAAAAACTCTGCTTTTAATGGACTTGCTGTGTATGGTAGGGATAGGCTTTTGTTTTGTTTTGCTGTTGTTCAGTCCCTTTGTGTAGTAAGATATTACAGTGATTACCGTATTACATGTATTCTCCATTAAATATGTAAGTAGAGTGAACTTTGACTCAACATACCGTAAAATAAAAGTTAAAAATACCATATTAAGGTTTCTTCCACTTAAATATTCTGCTACTTGAACCAAAAATTAGTTCCCACCAGAAATTTCAGTCATCTCGAACCGCAAAAATTTGTTCCCGCAAACCACAAAAAATCGCCAATCCGCAAAATAAAACTCCCGCAAAATTTTCATGCTACACGGTGCGCATTAGGCTCGGTACATGAAAAATCCGGCATCTGAATCAAAGCTGTTCCAAAGTCGCTCCAAAGGCGAAATTCTTGGCCAGGCTAGGCCAAAAGAACGGCTGAGCCGTTCCAAATTGAAATAGGCGTTCCTAATTGATTCAGACGCCGAACTTTTCATGTACTTAATTCAATGTATTAGGTTCGGCTCTTGAAAAGATCGGCGTCAGAACCGGGCCTAAAGAGTTTATTAAAACACGTAAAAAGGTTTTGCACCTCGTCAATGTAATTCTATACCTTGGTCAGAAGTGAACCCTGAAACGCTAGGAGTACGGCAAATTGGGGGAGAATCTTCACTTAATCTGGCTGCATCCTCAGTGTTAGTGTCTTCATCAATTGGGCATTGGTCTCCTGAGAATCCAGAAGCTGAATGAGCACGTTTTCTTGCAACAGGCTGCTTTCCAGTGACAGACACATCCCTTGGTATATCAGAAGCATCTGGTGTGAGAACAAGGAATTAATAAGCTTCTTACAAAGCGATGTATGTATTAAATGTTTTAAATCGTTTATTTTCCACCTACCATAACTGGCACCCGTGTGGAACCACGCCCCATGTAGCACTTAAACCCTTATTCTACAAATCACAGGTCTTTTTATGATCGAAACCCACTTTCATAACTTCCCATACAAATTTAAAAGATGCGCACAAAATATTTAACCTCAAGAAGTAATAGGAATTCAGAGTAAATTCGCTTTTTTCCTCGGTTATACAGTCATCTCTATCAAGCTTTGAGCCACATTATTACAAAGGAAAAGTAGGCATCTTTTTCAAGCAGCAAATTTTATTTTTGCATGTTCGTCACTGCCCAACGCAAAACCGACTATAGTTTGTAGAGGGTCTGAGTGGCGTTTAGTGTTATTTGTGTTTAGTGTTATTAATCTCTATTGTTCGCTGTTAAATTGGCCAATTTTTTAACGTTTACTGTTTCAGAGAAAATACTGTTAAGTGTTCGGAGGGTTTTTCGTGGAAACCCCATGGTCTTTTAGCTCTGCTCAAACCATCGCCCAACCTTTATCCGCCTTGGGAATGAGAGAATCTTTAGCGCGATAACTTAAAAGAGAATGGAAACTGCTATAAATTGATTGGGCCTGATATCAGGTTAGATTATAAAGGGGTATATTATTTTAAGTGTCCTGGCCATATGTATCTCCCTGCTCTTACTTTTCACAATAAAATATTCTGGGACAATTATTACATGTACAAAATTTGCAAAGAGAACTGACAGTACCTGCGTGTATACTCGATAATGTGGGTAAAGACTATCGCTGCACACTTACATTTGGGTATATAGTACTACGAAAACTATATTACAGTGCAACATAATCAATTTAGTACATCAGCACTCTGTACTTAATTGAAAACTCTTACCATGAACCATTTTCTTCATTCTGTTCACAAGGGCTTCACATTGTTCCTTCCAACTGTACATCTCCCGATACGATTTTCTCAGTGATTTTATCTCTTTAAGTCTCATTCCATGCCTGATACGAACAGCTTCTATTGCTTTTGCCCATTCTGTAGGGTCATCTGAATTAACAATGCAAGTATAACCATGAGGAACATTTTCTAGTGCTTTAGCAAACCCTGACCTACTACCTACAAGAATGGGTAAACCTGCAGACAACGCCTCCAGTGCGACTAGTCCAAACCCTTCTGATTTTGATGGCATGATGGCAAGGTCAACTTCGCACAGCAAATCTTTCACCCTGTCTCTACTGTGTATATATTTTCTAACAGTCAACTGTGCTTCTGCAATACCATGTTGTAGAAGTGCTCCTCTAACATTTTCTTGCTTTCCTTCGGGTGCTCCGACAAAGAATAGATGATAAGGTTTGTTTTTTAGCCGTTGATCAGTAAATGCCTTAGCAGCAATGTTGTATCCTTTGAGTTCAAAGTCCTCATCATCCCCACGACCAAATAACAACACTTTGAATTCGCCATCCTCATTAGGATATTGCTTTGCTACTAAGTCCCCAAACTCCCTTTCAAAAAGACCTGGAGTAATAGACAAAACGTCTCGATCAGTCTTATGTCGCTGTAAGTATGAAGAGTATGCTTCTTTCAGTCTAGGTCCCACAGGAACAACAAGGTCAGCAAGTCTGCAAAGTTCCACTTCTGATTCGTGCTTTGTTTCACCTTTTGAAATGGAGTCACTGTAGCGTTTGTATCTGCTAAGGTCCTCTGGGGCAGTGTGAACCACTTGTACCCACTTACAATTTGAAAATTGAGGTGAGTCTCTTATGATTTGTACTTGCCGACCAAGTTTCACACCATGGCCAACAACGATGTCCATGAGGTGTTCATGGGGTGGTAAGCTTAACCAATCAAGACGATCAAATGCTGAAAGTCTCTTCGCCTCAACGACAGATATTCCATAGGTATCGGCTTCCCTCCTTTCCTCATAATTGCAAGCTCCCTGTGGGACTAGCAAAGAAACCTTCACTGCTGAATGATTTGAAAGGTGAATTGCAAGTTCTCTGTTTATTGTTGACAACCCACCAGCAGATGAACTCCACTCACCACCCAGAAGAGTAACATATAATATTGTCCTGGTAGAAAGAACACTTGTCTCAGGATAACAAGCCTACAAAAACAACGACAACAACGATCTTTGAGCCAAATGACGTAGCAGGTTTGGTAACTGATGGCTCTTTTAGTACATTGTGAACTGCTTTTTAAATTAACTTTGTCAATAACTCCACAAACGGTACAATACACAATTGACAACACTAGTAGACTAAAAAAAATTATTACACTACAGTACAAAATACAAAAATAAGAAAAAATTAAATAAGTAAAGGTACAAATAACAATTAAGAAATTAATAAATTAAAAAAATTTTGACATAAATAATTAAAGAGAAAAGCTGATTGTTGAACACAATAGGGCCATTTATACGAGGAAAAATAAGACGCGTCTTAAATAAGACGCGAACTTTCCGTATAAACGGCACATTTCGTCCAAAATAAGACGCGGCTTAGTTAAGACGCGTCTTATTAGATAAGACATGCTCGTATAAATGGTAGAGTTCGCGTCTTATTTAAGACGCGTCTTATGTGAGACGCGTCTTATTTTTCCTCGTATAAATGGCCCTAATGTTCTTTTTTAAAAAGGCTTTGGTACTAAGCTGTACAATGAGGAAACAATAAAAACAAGAAAGCCGTCTCAAGAGCATACAGGTCACTTGGGAACAAATATATATTTCCAAACTAACATTTAACGTTGAGGAGTGGGACAAAAGGATCCCATGTCTTTGACAAATAGACTTGTTTGAAGGTTTCCATTTTATATTGGGAATGAAGGGTCTTGTTACTGGTTCTAATACCCCAGATATAGTGTCTGGCTAGTAGAAAGCGAAAGTTTAAAATAAGGCTTCAGTTTTCTTGTCATTAAGTTTGAGACCAGACGCATAGCCGAAGTTATCTACAGTGATAAAAAAGATTCTCGTTCACCGTTAAGGATCAGGGTAGTGTCACCTGCGTTTTGGCTTATCTTAATTTCTGTGTTATTCACGGTGATACCTTTAATGCTAGAGTTAGCCCTAATTGATTTCCCTAGCACTACGACGGACAGAATAAACAAGTAAGGTGATAGAGGGCAGCCTTGCCGAACAATCGCTCGACGATTCGTTGTTCTAAACTCAACTTTCAATGTTGGTATAAAACGTTCGAATCAAATTTGTTAGAGAGGGGCCAAAACCAAAATATTGAAGCGTGCGATTAACAAACGACCATTCCAGGGAGTTGAAAGTCTTTTCGAGGTCAATGAAAAGTAACAAACCGGGGATTTGTTGAATAGTTTTTGATAAAGTGCGGATTAACGTCCTTTTTTGGTATTAGTTATAATTTAATCACTCCTCGTCACTGGGAGACCGAAAGTGTCCATGCCTCGGGCGTAGTTAAGCGCAGCAATCAAACTAGGAGCTAAATCATCCAAAAGGTTTTGTAAAATTCCGCTGGAAGTCCATCAATCCGTGGAGAGCTCTTTTCTGAATCCATATCTTTTAAAGCTTCTAGGCATTCTTTCACAGTTAAAAAGACCTTCACAGCTAGCAGAGTCATTATAATCCAAAAATGTGTCATTTTTGAGTCGGAAAAATTCGTCATCTGTTGCGATTGTGTTTCCTTGAAATGTGAGAAGAATTTTATAGAAAGTTTAACACTCAGAGAGTTTCCGAATAAGAGGTGGCAAATTTTTTCTCGCTGATTTGGAGCTGACTTATAGTGTTAAGCTTATCACGCTTCTTTTCAAGATTGAATGAGAAAATACTTCGTATTTCTTTCTCCTTCATTATACTATCTTGCTGTGCACCTTAAAATTGCTCCTTGTGTGCGCCACTTTGCTATATCTTCTAATTCTTTTTTGCACAAGGTATTAATGTACTGTGACCCGACCGTCTATCGGGCTAATTCTTTTACAAATGAGAAAGTTTTTTCCTCTAAAACACTTTCCTTGTTTACCACTTGACGTTTTTTGCCAATCGAATACCGGTAACTGATTGATTTCTCTCGGATTCATTTTGATCATTTCCGCAAAGAAGAGATGGGTTCGCTGTATTATCATTTCTATATTCTTTCTGTGTCTGGTCGATAGTTAGTTTTATTGCGTTCGAGGTACGAGAACGCAACCCCTAATTTGTAGACATAAAATTCTGCAAGCAGAATACTGCAATGCTGATCACACTACGCTAAAATTAACTCTGCAAGATATCAACAAGACACCGAAAGAACTCAAAACAGAGCGGGATTGTAGCCATAGACAGCTGTTTCGCCCTTTTTGGGGCTCGTAAGTATGGCGCAACAACCGGACAAAGCTCTGATGAAAAATATCCGTGCACTCTGATTTTAACCCCTGACCCAGAACTCTCAACACCCACAGAATCACGCCATACCACGTGTCTTCTGGAGGGCAAGAGAGAGAGTCCAAGTGTCAAGTTGATGTCTCGCAGAGAAAATAAAGAATTGGCCAAAACCAACCTCAAAACATGGACAGAACCATGCAAGAATTACAGCATATCGGATCTGTAAAAGATCTACGGCCCAAAACTTGCATAGTTAATTTTCGCGAAGTACGATCAGCATTTTCGAAGTTTTCTGATGATGAATTAACTATAAGAAGATGCAGGTAGTTTGTCTTTGAAGTACCTGTATCAGAGTGACAGTAATATGAATCTGAGATCTTACTCCGTGGAAAGACCTGGGTTTTTTACACCTTTGTAGTAATTTAGCATGTACAATAAACACTTCAGCAACCAGAACAAATTTAAAATCCTGGCATAATTATTCCAATCATTATGTTCCCTTCCTTTTCATATAGTGTGTTATTTCAAAGATTTTCCCCTCAAAATATTAGTTTACTACCTAAGATTGTGACTGAAGCTCCTGCTAATTTAATAAAGAAAACGACAACTAGCTGCAACACTACTTTGAAGCATGGAATGTCCAAGTCTAATTTCCAGTCTGATTTGCTAGCGGGTAGTATTTTTTCTATTTATTCATCATTAATTCATCATCAAAGTTCATATGGGCTGTAGTGCATTATCACATAGTGCACATTTGCCCCCGGCGCTCTATCACTATCATTTTATAAACTAAAAGAAGGACCGGGTTCACTCGCCAGGAGGTGAATATAGAAGGGAAATTTTCAATTTTCATCGGTCAACAAAAAGACCTTTGGACCACAAGGAATGGGACAAAACATTCTTTTTTAGCACCATTTCAAGCACTAAGGCAGATGTCGGAATTCTATTCAACAACAATTTCGAACTTCAAATTATAAAACAACAAGAGTGAAGCGCGCTTTGATTGGTCAGTTAGCCATCTACCATTTGCCCATTGGTCCACGCCTTCATGCCAACAAAAGCTAACGCGGTAAAATTGAGATAAATTCAGCAAATCTCCTCTCCTGCACCGAAGAAATACAAATGAATACAAATGAAAAGTAGAAGTTGAAGAAAATACTCAGTTGTCGTTTTGAAGGAAAGTGAAAAGATCAAGCGACAAATTTGCCTTAGAGAGGCAAATTTGTCGCTTGATCTTTTCACTTTCCTTCAAAACGAATAGAATTCCGACATCTGCCTTAGTGCTTGAAATGGTGCTAAAAAAGAATGTTTTGTCCCATTCCTTGTGGTCCAAAGGTCTTTTTGTTGACCGATGAAAATTGAAAATTTCCCTTCTATATTCACCTCCTGGCGAGTAAATAATGCATGAGCTCGGTGTCTTTAATTTCCAGTTTTTTTAGAGAACGATATTTCGAAATTCGACAAAATCTTAGGATTGACGTTTTTTAAGGCAAGAGAACACGTCGTACGATTCAAAACAGCGTTTTGCCATACTTTAGCTGAGTTTTTGGCTCGATGAATGTTCACATCTAATGTTTGTTCGAGTAGCAGGCCAGGGGAAGAGGTTGTTTTGTGAACTCAGTGTTTCTTACCAAGAAAAATAATGCCCAAAAATTTGAGTTTATTTATGGCAAACAAAAATGAAAGTAAATGTGTGCGAAAATTGTACGTTTCAAGCAATTAGGACAAAGAATGCCGCAGGAAAACGACGCCTTACCTCGAGCAACCGAGCCGCCATGTCAGTACTTCATGCGAAGAACGACGCAACAAAACTTTTTCACTTACTTGACGAGTTTACAGAAAATAACGAAGCTCTAGTTTTCTTCTAATTTTTTTTTCCTTTAAACTCTTGACGGTGCCATTTAAGCCGTTACGCTGTTGTTTGCGAAATGATAAACTTGCGAATTGCCATGTTTGAAAATTCTGCAAAGATCTAACTTTTGCGCATGTGCTGGTACCGCTACATGAAATTTTTCACGCATGATTTGATCCGTCAATCAAATCGTACTTTTTAATGGTTTCCTTTCTGACTTTGTTGAGATCACTTTGTGTGTATATACTAAAACAATTATTCTTTTCAGTCTCGGTGAATAATGGCTTTACGAATATTAATATTCAGACACTATTTACCTCGATTTCAAAGAATAATTGTTAAATGTAGTTAGTAACAATTCCAGCCATGTGTTGCTTGTAAAAATTGGCGGTAAAAGGCCGACGGAAAACATAGTCGTCCTCAACCCGCTATCACTCGACCCAACCTCTTTTTTCTGTTCTCTTTTGTTCTAATAATAATAATAATAATAATAATAATAATAATAATACTTTAATTATCCTCTCAACTTATGGGGCTTTTCAGGGATAATAAAACAAAAAATTGAAATAGACCATAAAATGGTTAATAATCCCAATTGATAAGAGTTGAACCAGTTGGCTATTTACAAGCGTGGCCGGGTATTGGAACTCGGGACTACTGAGAACAAATCAAGCTAGCAATCAGGGCTGCATGGACTTGTTTTATTTCTGTTAGTAGTATTTTGATCATTGATCAACTAAAAGGTGTATTTTTTACTTTAAAAACATGACCCGCTTAATGCAGGCACCCCGTTTATACGGACACTTTCTATGGCCCCTACAATGTCCGTATCAAAGGTGTTTGACTGTATTACTCTCAAACCAGCCATGCACTTTGAAAAATTAGCAGCTTACAATTACAGCTTTATCTAATAAGAAGGATTTCTTTCAAATCCAAAGATAAATGCTACAAGTTATGAAGTGACAAATACGCCAGTTTAATGAATTGGCATATATTTGTCACTTTCATTTTTTTAAATACCCAATAACACCCTCCTCGATCTCCATAATTCTTCAGATGATACTCTGCCTCATTCAACAATTGTTTAAGATTAGTCAACAATTCAACCATGTCAGTCAACATGCCAGCTGACAAGTCAACAATATAGTATAATGAATATTAAGTATAGCATTTTATGAAAAGCAATAAGAAAAAAGAATAAACCTCTGAATTGTCCAGACTCCTTGTTGCTTTCATGGTCTCAGGATGATCGGATGAGACATCCATGACTGATGAATAGAAGGGGAATATAAGTACTTGCTATAGTAACATATTAATCAAACTGCACGCCCACGTGTAAAATATCAGAGAGTCTATACAACGACGACGGCGACGCGGCTACGAAAACGTCACTTACATTTTCACAAACACGGTTCTGCACTTAGCCTTGTTTTGAAAGCAAGATATTTTGAATATTAATATAGTAGGCGAATCTTTTCAATGCGGGGGGAGGTGACCGGGAATTGAGTAAGTTGGTCAAGAATCAGTGTGTAATGTTGCATTAAACCGGACTTACGGTTTAATCGAAATGCCTTGGCGCCCATTAATTGCCACTTGAATAATCAAAGAGTTCGTTTATTTTTTTTTTCTTAATACATACGCTTAAAGACTTAATGCCAGTTCAAACAGTGTTCAAAGCCGGAAGTGAAATGATCGTATGATTTTCTCGTCAAAAACGTTAACACTTTTCATCTCGGTTAATGCCGGTTAACTGTTACAGCTACGATAATATTTCAGGTGAAAATCATTCTTCTTGAACTTCTTTATAAGTTAAAGCTGCATTAAAGCTTGGCTACTTGTGAAAATTGCTTGCAAAGTAACACTGGACTGTGAGCAACTAGAAAACGTTTGTCCTTACCGGTGCGAGAATGTCAACTGCTTAGTCAGTGAGCGGCGTCGATCTGTTTATATGCTAATTACGTATCGTAGTGATATTCTTAGAAGATTGAGCTAGATTTGTTTCCAAATCTATCCTTGAAATCAAAGAATACATGCGATCTTGGATATGACAATTACGAAAGAGAACATATATACTCCAAGTTACCCTCTCATAATCTTAACTGAGACGAACAAATTCAAATGTTACCTCTCCTTCACTTTCTTGTTTTCGAATCTTATCAACTGTAAAATAAAATATTCAAATGAATAACAACATAATTTTTTAAAAACTGTCTGTAACAGCATACTTTTGAAGACAAACGTACCACTAAAGAGTGCACAAGGAGTCTAGAAGCAAGTTTCCTTTCTTAGGCTAGATCCTAAACACAGCAATGTAACCACTTCCGCCCTGCCACATGAAAACGAATCTTCAAATTCTACCTTGAAGATATGAGCTTGGCGTGAAGCTTAAAATGGGTTTTATCCGTTATAGTGTACTAAACTACTGATAAAACAAGCTTCTTTCCAAGTCCAAGTAGCTAAGAATCAACCAGTTGTAAGTCTAACAAGCGACCTACTCTCTCCGCCATCTTGCTCAGTCATGGTCTGGAAGGGTCTAGAAAATTGCTTGTTCCCAGAGTCCTAAGGGCCTCGGTCATGCTACCGCCCCCTTCCCGCTTCCCGTTAATGCAGTGACAAAAAAAAACATGTTTCTTTTCATTTTCAAATACAAATCCGATTTTGCATTCGAATGGCTTCCCATCACAGCTGTTAGTAAAACTAATTTTAAAAGAGGGATACATGAGGAGATTATCATATTGGGGGAGGCAACCTCGTCCCCAGGGCTTTTCCCTTAAAAAATGGGTGGGGCGGGAAAAGTATATGTAAATATTTAATAAAGCCACGTGACCGGCCGACGCCAGGGCCTTTTCCCGCCCCACCCATTTTTTAAGGGAAAAGCCCTGGGGACGAGGTTGAGCCTGGGTGGCAAGCGTTAAAAGGGGAAGGGGGAATTTGGGCGCGCGAGAGCGTGTGAGGCGCGCGACGGAGAAAGGAACGGTTCCCCTCCTCCCTCCTCCCTTGCGCGTGGTCTCGCGCCCGAATTCCCTTCCCCTTCCCTTTCGAACACCTGCCACGCAGGCTATCCCTTTCTCTGCGACATTTGCTGTCTAAAAACATCAAGTCAAACGTGTGTGGTCCAAACCGCGCTTGAACTCGGGCCCACGCCTCCTCGGACAAGGAACAATCAATGTCAGACAGAGTACGGGAGGGCGCGTCAGCAATGATTTCGTTCGATGGGACATATGTTTCAGTTCGAGAAATTTCTTCAATTTTTTTCTACTCCTGAGTCACTAGAGAACTCCTACAACCGCCATTTTCCCAGGCTGCTCGGAGAGTCACGTTGTCCGTCCTCACATCGATTCTTGCGTTTCTGATAGAATGGGAAAAGGAGCTCAAAGCGTTACATAAAGCCCTGGCCTCAAGGGTGTTGATCGACTCCTTTCTTAGCTCCGCAAGTTAAAACACGGGCTGACTTGCGCGAGCGGTCGCGCGAGCGCTTTTAGTTGCTTAGTTTTAGCGATAAAGTTTTAGCGGGAGGATTACCCGTTCCAGTCCCTGACCGTTGTTCTTTGGCGCGAAGGCTCCAAACAAGATGGCGGCTGTTTCCAGTTTGAGTGTGTGCCTTCCGGAGATCAAAAGAGACCTTCTTTACGCCGTGAAAGAATGTTCAGAGAGAGGCTTACTGCACAGTGCTAAGTGGTAAGCGTAGGAAAAGGGGAAAGTTAATACTTTTCTTATTTTTGTGAGGATGAAGTAGAGATCTTGATGTGATGGTTTGTGATAGAGAATTCGAAGTTCTTCTGACGTGCAACTACAAACATGTACTGTCAACAGGACGACTTAAACTAAGGCTTATTTACATCTCAAATTATGAATCAGAGTAGGGTAAGATTTCTGCACAGCCCCATACATTTATTATGTATGAGGCAATCTCATACTATTTCAAAGAAACAGTTTATATGAATACAGTCGAAAGTATGCAAAATGAATGTACGGGACTGTGCGGAAATCTCTGCCCTGCGGTTATGCTGATTGTCCTTGAATGCCGTCTAACTCATGACATGTCGTTGTATATAGAAAGGCAGACTGACTGTTGAGTGTGTTGATGGATGAATTCAAGAAATAACCACCCCACCCACCCCTTTCCCTCTTTGGTATGTGGTCAGGAACTGAGAAATGCTCGGAACGGTTCGCATATCCTATAATATTACTCAACAAGTGCTCTGATCTCTTCTAGAGTTTTTGACTGTCCCCTGAGACCCTCAATATGTCTCAGTTCCAGACCTCGCACCAGCTGACAAAAGAATTTAAAATGACCAGCAAAGGAAACAAATTCCAAGCAATTAGATAGTTATTATAATCAGATCAGATGTTAGAGCCCCCAGTGACTGTACTAGCTTTCCAGAAGTTATGGCTGTTAACCCTCGCAACTAATAGTGGCCAAAGAAGAAAACCACATGAAACTTTTTGGGGGGAAATCCTGGGAAATAAATAGAACTATGCAGAAGTTCTGGCAAAGAGGTTTCATTTGAGTGGTAACACCACAGGATTTCATCCACACACTCAAAAGTTAGAACTACATACTAAACAAATAGTACCATGTGAAAGTACTGCTGAAAAGGTTTCATTTGCATCGTAACACCATAGGATTTCATCCACAGACTCAAAAGTTAGAACAACATACTAAACAAATAGTACCATGTGAAAGTAGTGCTGAAGAGGTTTCATTTGAATGGTAACACCATAGGATTTCATCCACAGAATCAAAAGTTACAACCACATACTAAACAAATAGTACCATGTGAAAGTACTGTTGAAGAGGTTTCATTTGAATGGTAACACCATAGCATTTTCTCCACACAAATAATACTGCCATAATGTGGTCTTGGAGTGAAAAGGTTCTAGGCAATGCCATTGGGCAGCTCCAATTTTATTTTTGGCCAAAACAGCTGTTCAATGGCTGCTAATTGCCTTGGGAATACGACTACCAACACTACAAGTTAGGTCCTGTTTACATGGAGGTGTGGGAAGACAACACGCTTAGGTGGGGTAACCTGCCTGTCCATATAACCTCTCATATGGTTACCCACATATCATGTAAACGTGATCAAATTTAGAATAATAAGAGATTATATGACAGGCGGTTTACCCCACCTAAGTGGGTTACCTCGCCTATCTCCCAGGGAGGGGTACCCCGGATTTCAAGTGAAAGGGATGATAGAATGGAGGCAAAAATGAAAACCCCAAAAAAAATCCCAGGGCTTCAAACAAAACCCAAGAAAATCCCTGGACCAAAATTTAACCCCCAAAAAATCCCATGCCGAATTTCCAAGCCATAAAAATTTCCAGAAAGCATTAAATGATATAAAACAAAATAGAAACATTAGTAATGGAATGTTTGTGTTTGTTTGTTCATCACACCTTCTGGAGTAAGAACCTTTTCCTTATCTGGTGGTCATTGTAACAACACTCCAGACACCCAAGAACATCTTAAAACAGTTGCAAAACAAGTTTGGTTTTACTTTATTCGCGGACCTATGTGGCTGGGATGCGCAGGAACTATCACGAATCTTCAGATTGTTTTGAATACCCAAATCAAGCTACCAAAAAAAATACTTGCCAAAATTTTCCTACCCATAAAAATCCCAAAATTGAAAATTTCAAACGCATAAAAATCCTTCAATCATTCCTGTCACTTGAAATCCAGAGAACCCCCCTGGGGTCCCCCATCTCAACACAAGCAGGCCCTTAGTGTCATATGGAATAATCATTAATTTTATGGATTGCCTCAGTAAGTTTTTGCTGATGACATCTTTTTTTGTCACTTAGGTCTTCAGAGATGGCCTATTCTATTCCATCCTTCACATCTCCTGTTTATCTCCCCAAGTCTGATTATTCTGATCAACAGTTTATAAAAGATTTTGATAAGTATACTCTGGGAAAAGCATTCTTTGATCTGAAGGAGTTTGACAGGGCAGCTTTCTTTTTAGAAGGTTGTATCAGCCAGAAAGCATATTTCCTTTACATGTATTCACGTTATTTGGTGAGTAACAACAGTTTTGACAGAAATAGCATTTACTGGGTGGCTACTGTTTTGTTTAGGTTATATAATCTTTTTTTTTGTTGTTCATCTCTTGTATCATACAATGTATGAAAAAGCAAATCTTTAAAGATAGGTTACCTGTTAATAGCAAAATACCTTTACACCTCTTTTGACTATTAAAATGTGTTTTGTTTTAAAGGCTGGTGAGAAACACAAAAATGATGACATGTTAGATATATTAGGTGGGTATGGAAATGTGCTGCTTTTCTTTCTTTGCTTTGTTTTTGTTAAGTGCTACATAGTTGACCAACGATCACAGCAGGCTTGTCTGTTGGACAAGCAGCTTAAAAATCTTCTTTTTGTTGTTTCTTGCCCCGGTCATTGCTTGCTTATCCTAGTTGATAATTTTTTTAGCCTTTTCTAGCTCTAGGTTGTAGTTTTAGATTTAATTTTGAAATATTTTTAAACAGTTGCATTTTTGCTTTTCTAGCCTTTTCTAGCTCTAGGTTTTAGTCTTAGTTTTTGATGACATTGGTTGTAAATTTTGTTTTTCCAGCCTTTTTAATTTGTAGTTAGAGTCTATTTGTAAGCCATTTTTATTTAGTGAGGCCTTTTTTTTCTCTGGGAAACTCTATAGGGCATTATTTTTATGGATATAGTGCTATATAAGTAAATATTTACTTATTATGTTATTGTGAAAGGTTTGAACCCAGGAGTCATTTCAAAAGTAGGTTGAGTTTGATTGTCTGGGTGAATAAGTCCTGAATAGGACTGTTGTTGTTGACAGTAACTGACGTTTCAATAACCTGTGCGGTAGTCATCTTCAGAGTCAAAGTGAGATGTATCATGTCAGTTGATGGTATTATACTCTGGTTATTGATCTGATTGGTCAATTACGTTGCGATGTTATTGGTCGTCTGTCAGTTAAGCCATGATGTTATTGGCTATGAAGACTCGTAATCATTAATTGGTGCGTTTCGATCCGTCTATTGTCACAGTTAAACAGTCGTCTATTGTTAGTCAAATTGTCATTCTCTCATAGTTAGTTTTGCTTGATCTCGTCAATAAGTCGCTTTATTATTGTAATTAGAAGATATTGACTTGCCCAGAACTTTGCTCATTGGGCAAGTCATCTTAAAAAGTTCCTTGTCCATTAAGAATATCTACTCTTCCTTGATGAACGGATAGGAATTTTTCTCAAGCCCTGAATACAGAAAAACAGTCATGTTAAAGAAGTTGATGAATTTCACACTCCATGTTCACTCAGAGTTGTGGCAAAATATTCAAATCAGTAGATTTCAACCAAACACTGTTGAATCATGAATCATAAAAATAATGTTCCTTTGTGTTATTGCAAGTATGGCAAGAAATTATTTAGTTTCAATTTTGTATCTCTTATTGCTTTACAAGGTCCACAAGAAACTGTGGCAAACAAGGCACTGACTTCTTTGAGAGCAGAACTGTGTGGCAAACACAGAGAGCTTGATGGGTTTTGCCTTTACTTGTGAGTGACTGTGCAACATATATCTTTTACATTTTGCTTTTAATTTTCTCTTACTGTTGTCTAGTTTTTACTTTATCTGTCACAATTGACCCACATGAGTGTGCAAAGAATATCTTCCTTTTTATCTCTTATTTGTGGAAAAAGAAAATTGTATTATGTTGAATTCTGTTCTCTTCTGAATGTGAATTTCTTAAAGCTCTTCTTCCTTTCTTTACATAAAAGCTCTAAAACAGCTTAAGAGTAACTGCAGGATTTGTATCTCATATGTGTCCATAGGTATGGCATTGTCCTGAAGAAGCTTGATTTAACAGAAGATTCCCTGAAGGTGATGCAGGAAGCTGTTAATAAAGAACCACTTCACTGGGGAGCATGGCTTGAACTCTCATCTCTTTGCACTGAAAAAGAAATTGTAAGGCTTTTTTGGCAATATTTGAACACAACAATCAATAATTTCGTGACTTAAATCTACTAAATGGTTCCAAGAAGACCAGTTAATTTTGTTTTGAGACTTTTCCAGTGGGGATAAAACTGGAAAATGCAGTCGGGGGTTTGTGACATGCTAAGTGAGAGACCCTGGCCCTTATGTCAGATTTTCCAGGCTACCGCATTTCAGACGTTCTGTTCTCAACATGCAAACAGTCAATGCTCTTGTAAGCAATCGGCTTGGAAATCCATGAAAGTGGTTGCAACTAGAGCTGGTTGTTTAGGAGAGTGGGTTTTTGCAAGTTACCATTTAGTTAATTTAGTCTGGACACAGTCACTTGCAGGAGCTTTAAGAAAGCAATAATGCTTGGTATATTTTGTTCAATACTAATATTTAGCATTCTAGTTAACCAATAGAAGGCGTCACCGTATGCACAAATTAACTTCAAAAGCTGAAAGAGCTGGATAATTTGAGCAATTTTCACCTCTTTGCAAGCAATAACAAAGGAAATAGCAGTCATCAAAAACTGTGAAATTGCTGGTTGGCAAAAACGTTCATGAGCACATACATTGTTTGTAAAGTTTTGTGTTTTTCAAAGATACTTTTTCCGAAACTGTTTGCTATGCCAGGCTCAGATTTCTCGGAAAACTGAAATTGTTGTAAATGCTCTTTAGTTATTCAGAGAGCTTATTGGACAGAGAATTAAAGGCATGTGCTAATGAGACAAAACATGTAAACAAAGATTTGCCTATATACATCTTAAATAGCTTTATTTTTGTAAATCATCACATTGGAAGCTGATGAACCATTAGAGCTACTGACAATGTCATTTTTTCTGTATTTTATCAGCTTCAATCTCTGTCTCTCCCCTCTCATTGGATGACACAGTTTTTCCAAGCTCATGTGGCCATTGATCTTCAGTCATATGAAGAAGGACTGGAAAGATATTCAAATCTCAGCCAAGCTGGATTTTCAGAGAACAAATACATTTTACTCCAGACAGCACTTGCACAGTATCACGCAAGAGGTGTAGTACTTTCAATTCAATACACTGAATAACAGGGTTTTTCCTAACTCTTGCATTTCCTTGTCCAAGGCCTGGAAAACTCCTTACAATTTTTTTTCTACCTGTTCTTTGAAAACTCCAAATTGTAAATGGTACATAATAGTTGTTTTCCCAGTAAACACTAAGGAGCTTTCAAGACCTTGTTTGAAAGTGGCTGTAAAATTGGAATTTGCAAGTGTTTGTTTTTTAGAAGTGCTGAAAAATGAAGTAACTGCAGAAAAACTTCTCAGAGTAAGGGTTAGAACCAGGACTTGACCCCAGACTCATAGAGCTGGAAGCCAAGGATGTTACCGTTGGGGCACACCTGCTTCCTGTGGGATACAGTGGACGAATAAGGGCTGCTCTTTTTCCTTGAAAAAAATTGAATAATAAAATGAGTTTAAAAACGTCATGTTAGCTACGCAGCTAAGCCTTTTGTGTGAGTTCTAGGCCCTGGAGTTTTCATATTGGTTCCTGAAAAACTCGTAATTACAGTCAAGGGATCATATTAATTTTGTGTCCAGTAGCACACTGGTAAATGACATACATTTTTTACATTTTAAAAGAGGGGAAATCAGCGACCCACACGAGGCTATAAAATAACCTCAGTAGATTGAAGTCAATTTTTTTACATATTGTTCTCTTGTTTATCGCGTTCGTCAGAACGCACCCTAATCTGGTGTTCCTGTGGCACAAAGGCAGAAATTTTCGAGCTATCACGGGTGACTGCAGATTAGCCGCCCCCACTGATTTTATAAGGCGCATCACGACCAGGAAACTGGACTCCTTTCGACTCGATTTCGTTTCCGTAAATAACGAACGCGGATCCGTAATCAATGATTACCTGTAGTAACCAATAGTAAGCTATGAATTCGTGGGTGTGAGAGTTAAAGTCTCAAATTTTGTTTCTCAGTCAAGTCTACCATTATTTTCTTAAGATTTATAAATATTTCATGAAAACCACGTATTAATTTGCTTTTTGTGTAATGCAGATTTTGATGCAGCTTGCGATTTATTTAAAGAGGTGCAAAAAAGAGATCCATACTCACTGGAACACGTGGACACATACTCTAACATTCTCTATGTGAAGGTTAGAAGTAGTTGAACTGTGCTGGGTCAGAGTAGCCTGAGTATCAGGCCTTCCTAAGGGGATAGGGGAGAGGAGATTTTTTTATGATGGGGGAGGGGGGAGGAGAGAAAGTTTCTCTCCTGCAGCTCTCTCCCTTTTTCGCTTCCATCTTTCCCCTTTTCCCCCAGAAACGCCTGATACTCAGGCTAGGGTCAGAGCTTTCAAATTACATGAGCAGTAAATGCAGCGCTCGAAAAAAAGTCCCGTCCATTCGTCTGGGACAAGTAGATTTTCCTTCTTGGCAAGTAACTTGTAAATTCACTTACAATGTTCCAGGCAAGAAAAATCTGCGAGCTGCTTGCCCAAGGGACAATCGTTAATTGAATTTTTGCTTCAAGCTCTCTGAGTGCAACGCTAAATAATTAAAACAAAATATCTGCAAACATAAGTAAATCTGGAGGGACAATCACAATATAATGAACTCTTTTAGGAAATGAAACCGGAGCTGAGCTACTTAGCGCACCATACCAACAGCATTGACAAGTATAGGGAGGAAACATGTTGCGTAATAGGTAAGTCACCTGTCAGTTCCCAAACAAAAATTAAAATTATCAACATCTAGACTGTTTACATGTTTGTTTTTCTTTGCTTGCCATTAAGGCGTAGTGGAGTTCAAAGTTGGGAGAACTGCAAATAACAGTCAGTTATCAGGGTGCAAAGAAAGTCAGTTTACAGCTTGCCATTCGGACAAGCTTCAGCTTGCGTGTACTAGCCAATCAAAAGTCATTTCAATTAGCGACAACTTTTTTGGTTCTTCCGACTAAAACAGTCACGTGGGCAGACATACGTCTTTTTTTCACTTTTTGGCACTTGTTGCCATTTCTGTATTCCCCTACTTACCCGAGAATAAGCCTGCTTTTTGACAGCGAACTATAATTCAGCGAATGTTTTTTTCCAGGAAATTATTACAGTCTTCATGACCAACACGAGAAAGCAGTGACATATTTTCAGCGAGCATTAAAGTTGAATCCACAGTACACATCTGCCTGGACACTGATGGGACATGAATTTATGGAGAGAAAGAACACTTCAGCAGCCATCGAAGCTTACAGGAAGGCTATAGGTACGCGAGATATTTAAATGTCATCGATCTCTCGTAGGTCTCCGTAATTCCTGTCCTATGTAGTTCGTTCTTTGCTTTGTAGTACTTGGTGGGTGGGAGATTTCATAACAACCATAAAGGAAATTCCCCTTTCTTTTGGAGAGGAAATAAACTTCGCTTGTGATACCTCAATTTGCCGCTATGTGGTTCTCCAAAAAAATCCCCCGACCATTTGAACAATCTACTAATATTATTTATACATCTCCTGGAAATTTTGGAAATGACTCGTATTTTGACCTGCGGATAAAGATGTGAAAGTGGAAATGATCCTGGCAGTTGAATAAACAACCTAAGCGATTGAAAAAGAACCTGAAAAAAATTCAGGCTTGACCGGGAATCAAACCTGGCCGTTGCGATGATCGGACGCGCTATCCATTAAGCTAATCAAGTCAACTGGAGAGTAGGCCATTGTGAGTTCGTAATATACACGATGGTGGAATGACAGGAATGGAAATGGTGAAATGACCCTTTTTTTGAACTGCGGATAAAGATATGGACATCTCTTGTCCAACACAGACAAGCTGATAAGGTCTGTTAAATTTACAGGGGCAACCAACGCATTGAAAACACTTTTTAAGCTATCCAGAGTACTTTTAGATATCTAGAAATGCATTCTAAGCAGCGCTATAAAATTTGTATCTCTTCGGTCATCCTAGGGCAACTTGAGTCTTTTCGAAATTACAAGGGGTTCAGTATTATTTTCCCGAAAATTTTAGATGCAATTTTAAGTTTTACGAAGGTAATTTTTTTCCTGATTCCTTCCTCCATCGCATTCTCGAATCCGAAAATTGCAGGTTTCCCTTTTTCAACGAAAAATAGCTTAACCTGGTGAGTGAAATGCGAAAAATTAAACTTTAGAAGATAGTAGGGAATTAATTAGAAAAGTTTCGAAAATTGTACATGAATGGAACAGTCTTCTAGACATTTTTAGCCTTCCTCAAGCTATATAAAATTGCAGACAATTTTTGCTTCTCCGAACAGATATTTTACAGAAAACGGTCGTTGGGTGCCCCTAAAATTACCCTGCAAGGCAGGTGCAAAATGGGGAAGGGAGAGGGAGAGGGAGAGAAAACAGAGAAAAGGGAGATGGGATCTCTACAGGCTACAGCAGTTTCTTATTTCGCGCTCAACATCTTCTCTACAGGCCGCAGCAGTTTCCCCTTTTCGTGCGCAAAGTCTTCTCCACAGGTCGCAACAGTTCGTCCATTTCGACTTTCCACTTCTCCGCAGTGATGTATTTATTCCCTCCTGTTTTCCTCTCGCCTTTTATGCCTTTCTCATTCTTCCTCGTTTCCTCAACCAACGAAGACTCTCTAAATAATATTTCATCTCACGCATAAATTTTTTATTCTTTTTATTGCTAGAGGTAAACTGTCGGGACTATAGAGCATGGTATGGATTGGGGCAGACATATGAAATCCTAAAAATGCCTTTTTATTGCTTATACTACTACAGACAAGCTCACAAATTCAGGTATGCGCTCTTGAGTTGACACGCACGAAAATTCGCTCCCTATAAAATTTTTGTATCGCAATTTCTTCATTCCTTGATAGTGACCCTTCTACGATTTTTTTCAACGTTTGATATGAACAAGTTGGGGAAAATCCGTCAACACCACTAAAAAAGCGCCTTAAAATTAGTAAACTTGCCAAATTTGAAAGTGATACGTCTTAAGCGAGCGAAGATGTGGCTCCGTAAAGTTGCGAAAATTTACAGACGTTGGTATGGTGCGGGGCAAGTTGGTTGACAAGTTTGTGCCTCCCATCATACAAACGTCTGTAAATTTTCGCGACTTTGAGGAGCTATTCTTTGTTTTCACTCACGTAGCCAGCATCTATGCAAATTTATTGGAACAAAAGAAAGCGTTTACTTAAGAAAAGAGTTCAACTCCCACAGGACTGGTTTGGGACACAAACATGGCCGCCGTGTCAAAATATGGCTGCTATGACGTCATGTGAAAACACACAATAGCCTGCGAACCGCAGACGTATTTCCGGTCGTCGCTTCTCTCCCTGCGAAAAGTTTTCGGCGGGTGAAACTAGGGCCGAAAAAACCGGATGCTCTCGCGGGCTAGAGGAGCTATTTCTTCGTTAGTTTTCAACAAATTACTTTCAAACTTGGCAATTTTACTCATTTTAAGGCGCTCTTTTCAGTGGTGTTGACGGATTTTCCAGAACTTGTCCATGTCAAAAGTTGAGAACAACCGTGGAAGGGTCTAGGATAGCCTATTCTAGACCAGAAAGTTAAAAGACTAACGTCAGAATCAGTCCCTGATTCAACTTGTGTTCCTTTGATATTCACGGCAAAGTTGCGCTCAAACTATGGCGTCCACAGCTGCGCATACAAATTTAATTTATATTGATGTGCACTTTACAGACCCAATGACTCACGAATGCTGGTTGCCCTTGGAGAAAGTTACGAAAAGCTAGAAAGAATGCAGCAAGCCAAAAAAGTGAGTAGTGCACAGCTAGCGCGTCTGTGATTTTGAAAATCAAGTCGGAATTTACATTAATAGTTTCATAACTTTGAGTGATTAGCTTAAAACGTTCTTATATTTCGTTCGAATTTCTCGACCTTCATTGGCGATTTCATTTCATCAAATTGACAGTTGAGATCATGTGACTTCGTGGAGAATCATTATTGGCTGGAACTTCAAACCCCTTGTCCCGACTCAGTGAAGGTTTTTCCCTGTTTTATGGCGGTTGCCGCCGTCACGCGACTTTTTAATAGTGACACAATCTTCAGTGTTGTAAAAACCTTATTCTGTGTGGATTGAAGTTGTGTCCGATATTTTTGTTTCAAAATGGCAAAGATTTCCCGGACTGGTGATCTTTAGCTTGGACACCGCATGTCCTTGCAGTCTGGCCAATTTAATTGTGTTTACAATGTTCACAAGGAATCAGTATCAGTAGTATCTACAGCCAAGTCAGAATTCTTGTGGCTAATCGTTGGCAGAACAATAGAATTCCAGCGCCGAAAGTTCACCTGTGACAGTTTTAAAAGGCGCGAAATTAGGGCGCCAATCAAAAAGCGTGGCGATACAAAACTAGATTGGCAAAGTGATTGCGAAGTAACTTTCCTTATTTGACTAAAACAGTGAGACCTCGTTATAAATAGTTTTTTTGTGTGTTCAGAATTTTCACTGTGACCCTTTAAAGTTAGAAAAAAACTTTTTAGGATATATTTTCTGTTCATTATTGTGAATCCCATTTCAGTGCTATTTTAGAGCGATGTCAGTCGGCGATTTGGAGGGAATGGCTGTGATAAAATTAGCAAGGTAAGGAAAATAGGAACGTGGGATGATTTATTTTACTTCTTTATTCCTTCGATTGTGTAGTCCGAGGTCCTTTTTAAGACTCTTCAGTTTGAGTTCTTGATTTCTCTAATTTTTCGGTTGTTTTCCTGTTGTTAGACTGCATGAAAAACTCCAAGAAGACGATGATGCAGCCGTCCATTACAACCGCTATGTAGAACAGACAGAAATTGTTGGGGTAAGAAAATATTTTTTCCTTAAATCTTCACAGTTTGCAGTTCTAATCAACACGCGCGTTCCATCTCGCTTATTTTACGGCTTAGTGAATCCCTAGCGTACCCACTGCCCCCAGCCGGCGCCACAGGCGAAACTGGACTCTGGTTAAGTCCGTATGACGTTATTAAGGCCCAGATTAAACTTCGATCTTTTCATGTACCGAACCTAATCCTTTCAATTAAGTACATGAAAAGATTGACGTTTGAATCAATTAAGTTCGACGTATCTAATTTGTGTCGACCCATGAATAGGCCACTTCCGAGTTCCAAACACCCTCACTTTCAAAATGAGGCCAAGTGCACAACCTTTCTTTTGAAAATGAGTTTTATTGCATAAGAATGAAAAATTATTTCCATATCAAAGGCTGAGCACCTACCCTCATTTTGAAACAGAGGCCCGGGGGAACTCGGAAATGGCCTATTAAGACCAAGTGACCCATATGGGAATTGAGCGACTTCGTTTCAAACGTCGAACTTCTCATGAGCCGAACCTAATGCATAAATTACTAAAATATAGTTTCACTTGTAAGCATTGTAGACCATTGAATATCGTGAAAATGAATTGGGTCCGACTAATTAACTTCGACGTCTGAGTCAACCGTCGAACTTATATCGTTTAGGTCGACCTAAATATGTATAAAGTTCCGTACATGAAAAGATCGACTGGTTTGAACTGGGCCAAACTGGGGTTTAAACTACGTCTGCGAGACAGGCTATATGCCCCCGACGGGTATTTGTCAGGCTCTGAGATCCCGCGGTGTGGTACATTTTATGTGGGGTCTGCTGGATCAACCGAGGTTTCTGGGTAACTGACCATCTACCCCTCCCCTAAGTCAACATTAACACTTACTTCTCACTTTACGCTTAATGTTGACTTAGGGGAGGGGTAGGTGGCCAGTTACCCAGAAATCTCAATTGATCTGGGCCCAGGGGAGGGTTTTTTTAAGTTTCCGAAGCCAAAATAGGAAAGTAATGACTAATCGATTGTGGAGTGATGGCTACGGAAACCTTTGGAAAAATTTGCAATGAATTTCAAGGTATTAAAATTGTCGCCGACTGTGAAGATTACCCCGAGAAGTTTCATCTTATTGAAAGTGTCACATTTTTATACGACACAGTTTATTGTAATCCCTGTGGTAGGATATTTGTACGACTCTTCTGGCCCCAATATCTGCTGGTATTCACAGCTTCCCAAAAAATTGCAATTGTCTACGTAGGAAGATGAGCAAACTTAGAATTCAGATGACAGCATGTTGTTGTTTGTTTAGCAGGTTATGTCCGTGGCTGAACTCTGTTCTGCTTATCTTTTCCTGTCGAGATATAACCTGAAGAAAAGAAATCTTGAAGCTGCCGAAATGTACGCTCACAAATGCTGTGAATTTAACGAAGTAAGTCGTTTACATTCATTTATTTAGATCTTCAATTTGCTGACCTGATCGCACACGTCGTAGACTACTAGTACTGAGTCCCCCACTCCCCAGGGATAGTAGAGCGCATGAAATAGGCGAACTCGCGTGAAAATTGTCGCGCGCGAAGAGAAGAAGGACGCGAGAAAGGAGAGAAAATTTTCTCCCCTCCCTTCTCCGCGTCTCGCGTATGCCCGCTAGCTGTAATATTCACGCGCGCTCGTGTATTTCGTGCTTCCTACTATCCCTGAGCTTGTATTTCGTTTTCAGTTTACATGATACCCATAATGAAATTTTGTACCAGAACGAAAATTTCATTCGGTATGAAAACCGGAATGACTGACTTGTGCTGGACCCAAATTTCGCCTCAGTATCATTTGAACAGATGCAATGAAATGTATGGAGATGGAATGAACTCGTTCCGGAATGAAATTCGTCCCGATATTATGTAAACAGCTCCGAAGGAATGTTACGATATAGTACTCGAGTCCTAATTATTCCCGCAATGTTTATTTCCAGGGTAGAGAAGAGGGAAAAGGCCTCCTCCGGCAGATTTCTAACAGCAGATCCAGTGGCGGCGACGGTGACAGGGAGAGCTGTGATGCTTTTACACAAGAGTTATCCCTTGTAGGAAATATCACCGCTGATCATGAATTAGCGCCTACAAATCTGGACTTCAATACGCCTTGATTCTCCCGTGCGAACTACAGTCGCTTTGCTTGTATCGCCCCTTGTAAGGGAGTCCAAGACAGTCTCGGAATCTGTATTCCACGCCCTGCATTCCGGATTCCAGGTACTATTACCTGGTACCATTACATTGTCACTGGAACTTGGAATCTGGATTCCAACTGTTAGTGGGATGCCGGATTCCACAAGCAAAAGTTCCCGGATTTGGCAATCCTGATTTCCTTACATGGGGTGACTTGTAATTGCCTTTACTTGTAGCAAATTCGCGCGAGGTTAGGAATTTTTCCGCAAAAGGACGTCGCTCATTCCTCCTCATTCAAATGCAGCTGAAGTTGGCCTTACAATTGTTCATACTGGAAACGACAGTACTTGATGCTACAATGCCCACAAGACAGCCGAGCTTATACAACTAGATCCTTGCAATACTTTGTGAGAAAATGCGCTGTATAGATGGCATGGATTTGTGTCTCCAAAAAAACACTGGCGCATAGGATTCCCGAAAGAAAAATCTTCTATGAACCTGCATGGGAGAACTCTTAGAAAAGGCGTGTGTATGAAACTGAATGGAAGAACCCAAACACGTGCTGAGGAATTCAGATGATTCAAATTACTTCACTGAGATATCGCGAATTTTCGTTATTACCAACCTCTCTGTATTTTATACCTTTATAGCGCGGATAAAATTTCTTCAGTCTGTGGATAGTACTTGTGAATCCCTTTCTTCAGTGTTTCTTGTCAATAACAAGAAAACTATATGCAAAGAAGACCGTCGTTGCGAAAGGCGTCACTTATCGCAATGCCAAAAAAATTCTGGCTTTCGTTTCGCAACTGTAAGTTGCGTCATTAACTGCGATGATCTTATTTACATTCATATATTCATTATTTCAGAAAGAAAACTGATCGTAAAAGATATAATTCTCTATTTCTCCTGCCTTTTACGCTGATGAATTTAAATAACAGACGACAGACCGATATCTTCCTCATATCCAGGGCTGGGTTGTTCAAAGCAGGGTTACCCATGGTTAGTGCGAACTTTGAATTCAGGTGTGAGAGTTTAAAAAGTCAATTCAATTTAATTCTTTTTTTTCTACAATTCTGTAATTGGGTGCTCTGAAAAGAATAGAGGAAGTCATCCGAGAAAAGGCTTCTGAACTAAAGAAAAAGAAACCTGTATTAAAATTTAAAATCAGGTTAGCGCTAATCGACTGTCGCGCTAATCAAGTTTCGAACAACTGGGTCCAGACGTCCTTCTCTCGATGAAAATTTGCGCGCAAAGAAAGGCGGGAAGGAGAAAACGGGCGAAGCGGCGCTTCGTCTCCAGTCACTCACGTTTCCCGTTCACCTCTGTGAAAAAAAACAGTCGAAGTGCCTGAGGAGGAGGCGGGACCAGTATCATAATGTTACCCAGTTAAATGTAATATAGTCGAACCGAAAAGTGCACGTGTGACCACCTAAACAACAAAATTTCGTTAGCGACCGCGATCATTTGTTTTTCCATTGTTTTTAATTTCTTGCAACCGACTTCTTTATACATGGTCTGATCTTTATTTTGCTTTTTTGAATTATGCTACCCAGAGATTACGAAGAACTATATGCAACTACACATATCATAAAAGACCTGGGAAAAGACTCTCTTGCCCTGTGGTTCGATTCTTGTAAACGACCACTTAGAATCTTCGCATGTTTACTACGAGAGCCAAGAAGTTCCACTTCGACTGTGTAAAAGACCCTTAAAGCAGATTTGGAGCCCACTCAAACGGACCTGACTTTGGATTTAAAATAAAATGTCGTACTACTAGTTTTCGATTTGCGAGGTCTTAGTCGTATTTGTCATTATTATCTTCCATCAAATTTGCGCAGCAACAGGTAAGCAAGGGCAGGAATAAAACCATAGAGCGAAGAGTGCGAAATTCTTGGGAATTGACGAACGGCCATCGAGCCCCACACGCTGATGTTCCTCTCGTGAACAACGTAGCCTGCGTAGCATGGCGGTTTTGTCGGGAGCACCACTGTTTAACTGATTATTAATTATGGCAAATTTTACAGAAAGCAATAGGCACTGACCGCAGTTAGCAGATTAGCTAGTCGAGGCGAGCAGTGGTTACAGGTATGTAATATATAAACAAATAGATCACAGGAAAGACTAGAGAAAAAGAGTAAAAATGTTAAATAAATAAACAAATAAATAAAAATAAATTCAATTTGATTAAGTTTACAATCATGTACATTGCAAATATAAGAATTTTCCCAGCCAATCAGAAATAAAGTGTGTTCATTCTGAACCCCCGTCCTTGCAGGCGGTTTTTCAAGTTGTTCCCGCCCCAATCTCCTCGAGGTTTCTCTGCCCTCGCTCGCCTTAATTTAGCGCGCCCAACCAAAACCGTCATGCTACGCAGGCTATCGTGTGATCGCCTGCGCCGTTATCTTCTGTTACCGACTATTTGACTTCATAAATAACTAGTATAAGTATATAGAGGCCAAATCTTTTGTTTTTCTCTTCTGTTTAATTTTGTTTATTTATCGTCGCTCGGGCGCCAACGCAGCTGTTGTTTCGTCACGCAATGCTCAGCCGTGAGAACGACTGTTATGCAGGGACTACGTGACGTTATAACTTTGGATCAATATATAAAAGAGAACTGAACATAAAGCGAAAATTTCTTAAAAGACACAGTTGACTTAGGACACAATCTCTGGGAGACAATGGTGAATCTGGTTGCCTCTCTTGCCCGTCATAAGAATTGCGTGCGTGCGTGCGTGCGTGCGAATGTATGTTAAATATGGAAATTTGCTTTCCTCGCATTGCGTGACCGACCTGTCAAACCAAACTGGAGTTTCAAGAAAAACCGGTTTTAGTGGTTTCCACTGACATCTGACCGAAGTGCAAGTCCATGCTGTCGCTGTATTGTGGTGTCTGGTCTTCATTCTTCCTTTATTTTCGACCTTATTTTCGGCATGGTGGATAAATCGACGCAAGACGAAAAGAAAGACACTCCAGCTGAAGAAGTTGTTCCTTCAAGCGAGTCAACGGAGTCTGATGTTGTTGATAATGCGAAGGACGAAGAAGTATTAACGGAGACAACAGAGCCCCAAGCGACATCAGACGAGAAATCACACGACAGCGACAAAGAAGCTCAAGAGGAGACAAAAGATCCAAAGGCAGACGTCGAAGAACCAGTGAAAAAATCCCGAGGCAGACCTAAACAGAGTGAAGGCACGGAACCAGTCAAGAAGAAACCTAAGAAAGAGATCGAGAAACCATCACCGACTCGGGCAAGTGCTCGCGTGAGGAATCAAAAGACTGGTGTTAAACACGAGAACAAGGAAAAACTTCCTGAGCGGAAAAGATCGCTGACGAAAAAGGTTACAAAGGACAAAGGACAGCAGAATGGCGAAGCAGTGGAGGCTTGAGCTGATATCAGTCAAGTTGCTTTTGTCGTGCCGATTTCTAAAGTTTTTAAGAAAAGAAAAGTTGAGTGTTTTTTTTAATCGTTATTGCACAAATCTCATTCCTAACCCCCTCCCCGAAAGAACTAATTTCGACCATTTGTGTTCGCATCAACCCTTCCCTTTGGACAATTGGACAAGGGAGAAACTATTTTGCCATTTATAACGACTTTCGTTCGCAAAGCAGACGTATTTTGTTCTCTATCCATTTCGCTCAGACTAAATATTAGGAAGATATAACAAGTTGTGTTGACTGCCCTCGTATGCACGTAACTCCATCCCTGTTCCTGATGTTTTGGTTTAGCGGGTGTTAAATTTACCGACTTAATAGCAGTCTTGAAAACGTAGGAAAAAATTTCGTGCATGAAACATTTTTCTGCTTCCAGACCGCTAACTCATTGATCAAACCATGAAGGACTGGTCTGTAAGGCCTGTGTTAAACATTGAAATTCACATTATGTGACAATCAGCGAGAACAATTTCCATCATTAACATTTGATTGAGCGTGAGGTTAGACGTTTAAAACAGGTCTAATTTAAAAAATAAGACACAGTTCACAAAACTTGCAAATTAATGATGTATTTTAGACATTATCTGTACGGGTACTGGAGGGTGCCAACACCCCTACCCGTTATTTGCGGGGGAGGGGCAACTGAACCCTAATACACCATATAAACATCTTCATTTTGTTTTCTTATATATATTTCATATCGCTCAACTTATCATACAATAACCAAGCTACATAACCATGTTGAATCCGTTATGTACATGTTTGCTATACACTATATACAGATTTTACATTTCATAAAATACATGCTGTGTAATGTTGAAGTTGTGAGTAAATTAAGTAAGATTTTTTCATAATTATTTTATTACATTAAGCAAGATAGAGCCAGTAGTTATGTCATTGTGCAACTTTTGAGATGTTTCCAAGACATTTGTAATAAACTCTACAACAATTTGCTACAAAAAGTGGCTTAAGTTTGAGACAAATAATTGACAAGTTTAACCTGCTTTCTATAAATAATGAATAAAATATAAACTGGGAAATGATCAGTTTAGAGACAATTATTTTGCCTTTCCACCTCTACAAAGACACTACAAGTTATGTACAGGCTCTGGCTGTCAAAAGACAGCCACTTTAGCAAAGAATTAGTCACATATTTTTATCAAAATAATAGCATTATAAATTATTTAGTGTATGGCAGTTGTTTTTCTATGGGGTGGGGGGTCTTTAGGTGGGGTGGGCGGAAGTGGTCGGCTGTTGTTGAGTCTTTTTTCGTGTACTGGCATATTGGGTATTGGATCCAGTTTGGAGGCACTCATAACAAGTGAGGTGGCATGTCGAATTCCATCTTTTCCAGGTTTAGTCTTTGCTTGAAGAGGGTTTATGACTCCAATATTTGGAGCTGCTTTGAACACCTTGTTGAAATTTGTTTCTCTGTTGAGTAATTCCATCTGAAAATACCTCTTTTCATCCTAAAAGAAAATGATGAAAGAGATGATTATTTTCAAATAACAAAGTGATGTCTAAAACAACATCCAAAGTTTGGTTGTAAAATATAACCTCCACTCTGACAGTAAGAACAAATACTGGGGTAATTACCATAACAACTTATTATTTATTTAATTGTTTGCAAGTACATCGACACTTAGCAACCAGAACCTCTGCTCCATAAATCAAAGAAATGATGGAAATTATAGGAGTGCTTGAATGCAGTCAAAAGACAAGACAATCAGAGAGGGGCTGAAGTACATGAGGGGGGGTTACCACCAACTGGCATACATCAGCTATACAGGTAACGGGTAGGTGGATACAGAATGGACTTTCACGAAGTTCAGTCTAAGATAACATACAGAATTAGGCAGGTCTTAGTCTGAAACAGAATACTGTTATGGAAAATTTATCAGTGGCGTGAAAAAGTAGAGTTTCCGGTATCTAGTTGGTTGAGGATGGGTTAGAATAGTATTAAAGATGGTCAATTGGTCTGGTAAAGGCTAAGGTTCCAGGGTTCAAGCAACAGACACTGTGCTCCGGCCAACCAAAATTTCAAAGATTACTCCTAGGAACCGTTGCAGCCTTATTAGTCAAGTGGCTAAAGGCTCAGATCTATACAGAGTGGACAAAAGCACCAAACTTTGCATGGTTGTAGCTTAGGGCATGTTAGTCAATATTAGGATCGGTGCCCACAGCTACCTCTTCAGGATTTGCAGCAACTGCTCGCTGAAGTTCTTCAACAACCTTCTATGATGGGTTCCCTGTGCTGAAAATTGCAATCATTTGTTTTTTGCCATTTTTTGATGAAAATCACATAAAAAGGGACGTAGATGGAAAAAGAAACTGTATTAATGCTATTATTATTGAAACCAATGACTAAAACAAGTCAACTTATTGATACAACAATTATGATGTACTATGGTGGGTATCCTGTGCTAAAAATATCAATTCCTTGATTTTTGCCATTATTTTGATGAAAATCACATGAAAGACAAGAAAATAAGAAAAGAAATTGTATTATTATTGAAACCAATGACAAAAACAAGTCAACTAAATGGAAAATCCAAGGGAGATGTTTTCAGGCGCGTACACAGTCCCAAATAGTCTTTCAAGATGGCGGCTTGAAGGTGTCTTTTCATGGACTGTAAGTATCTGCTAGAATAAATTGCCGTTTTTTAGGGGAAATTGTGCACAATTTGAATCACAACAGGTTTAAGTGAAGTTTTCAGCTCTTCTTGGTGATAAATTTGTTATCGACAGCCACATTTTCGCTTCATATTTTGTGCCGATTATGAATGACTATACTGACTTTATTAACTTACTGCTTAGTTGAAGGTTTCTGAAGCTGAGATGTTTTCTACACACCAGGATGGATATTAAGTGGGATCGTTGTTATATTTACCAAGAATCAACAAAAGAAGATTTGAGAAGCCCACTGGTTTAACGGTACAAGCATTAATTTATAGAACGCTCAGGAGAACGCTCCTTGAAACTGTACTAAAAAGGCTGACGTGCGAAATAGGCATACATGTCAGAGGAACTCGAGAAGAAAAGTGGAGCAGCTTGGAAGGCCGAAGAAGACGAGAAATTAAATAAATCAAGAGCATTTGTTGAACTCACTGCGTACATAGCAAATGCAGTGGACAATGATACACATTTCTTTATACTTGCCGAACTTCATATTAAGCTGTATTCGTTACAAACAAAGGCACACACTTTGCAGTCCCACTATAGTGTCAGTCTTACAAGCTCGTTTGGTGCCACAATCTCCAGCTTGCTGTTTCTGATCTGCTTCAACGTGCTTTTTTCTCTTTTCTAGTTTGCTTTTTCTAACTTGGACGTAAGGTGACAGGATTGATGCCACTTTGCACTTCAGTAACGTGTTTACTACTGTAGTGGTTTCAATATGAAACATAATTGCAACAAGACGGCACAGTCCTCTTTCTTGAATTCTAGTAAATTGTCAAGGAGCCGTCTATAAATAATTGTTCCGTTAAATTTATGGGTTTCTCAGATCCTCTCTTTTCGATTCTCACCCTAGGTAAATATGACTGATGACAACGATCCCAACTGATTTCCATCTTGGTGTGTAGAAACGAGTTTAAACTCAATCATGATAAGACTGAAATCATGCTTATCTTGTCGATGTACCATACTCGTCCACCCTTTAGCGACGTCATTATGGGTAATGCAAGGCTAAGAACCACCACCAACAAAGCCTGGGAGTAGTATTTGATGACAACGTGCTGTTTGACCCACGTCTCAGCATTCTTTTGCAGATTATCGTTTCACCAACTCAGGAACTTATCAAAGATAAGATTGTGTCTCACACAGGAGTCTAGCGAAATTGCAGTGCATGCTTTTATTACATCTAAAACAGACTATTAATTGCAGTTCCTTGCTCTATGGTTGTAAGAAAATGCACTTGAAGGAACTTTTAATAATATGTTCAGAACACTGCCCCCAGGATCGTTACTCGGACTCGTAAACTTTGCGAACACATCATTTATTTGACCTTCACTGGCTTCCTAGCTGTTAGTTATCATGTTGTTTTTAAACTTATTTTGTCAGTTTTCAAAATAACCTTCCACCTAGCTATTTAGCGGACAGTTATCGAAGGCCTTCCAGGAACGTGTGGTCCGCATCTCAGCAGCTCTTAGAACAACCTCGAAAACTCACGGGGAAAAGACTTTTTCAGTGTGCCCCCCCTAAACGTTGGAACTCACTACCATTAGCTAGATTTTCACAAGTCACCATCTTTAGCCAGTTGACAGAAAGGACTGAGAACATATCTTTTTACGCAATTTTTAGAGAGTAAGTCAATACTTTTGTAAAACGTCTTTAATATCTGCAGATCATATACCTATATTTATAGAATGTATATTTAGTTTTTTGCATGACCTATTATCATTATATATAAACTTTAAAGGCAAAATAATTTTAAAACAGATGAATTCTTGTTTCCTTCTCTTGTTCTATGTGAATTGCAAATAGATTTTAATATATGTTATTTCATGCTCGAGATATAATTTTTTTCCTCTTTAACATTGTAAAGCACCATGTGCTCAGGATATGAGCGCTATAGAAAGAAGCTATTTTTACTACTATTAATTTTAACCAGTACGAAAATATACTAAGTATACAGTCAACTCTCTCCAAGACGGACACCTTTGGGACCGGCACTAAGTGTCCGTCTTAGAGAGATGTCCGTCTTATGAAGAGTCAAATAAAGGGAATAAGCAAAGGCAGGAACCAGCTCAAGGGGTCCGTTTTACAGAGGTGTCCGTCTTATAGAGGTGTCCGTTAAGAGAGAGTCGACTGTAGTCATTCATAATCGGCACAAAATGTGAAGAGAAAGTGTGGCTTTCGATGACAAATTTATCACCAAAAAGAACTTAAAATTCACTTAAACCTGTCGTGATTCAAATTGTACACAATTTCCCCTAAAAAACGGCAATTTATTCTAGTAGATACTTACAGTCCATGAAAAGACACAGCCGCCATCTTGAAAGGCTATTTGGGACTGTGTATGCGTCTGAAAACACCTTCCTTGGATTTTCCATTTAGTTGACTTGTTTTTTTCATTGGTTTCAATAATAATACAATTTTTTTTTATTTTCATGTCTTTCATGTGATTTTCATCAAAATAATGGCAAAAAAAAGGAATTGATATTTTTTAGCACAGGGCACCCACCATGGTACATCATAATTGCTGTATCATTAAGTTGACTTGTTTTAGTCATTGGTTTCAATAATAATAGTATTAATACAGTTTCTTTTTCCATTTACTTCCGTTTTTATGTGATTTTCATCAAAAATGGCAAAAAAAAGGTATTGCAATTTTCAGCACAGGGCACCCATCATGGAAGGTTGTTGAAGAACTTCAGCGAGCAGTTGCTGCCAAATCCTGAAGAGGTAGTTGTGGGCACCGATCCTAATATTGACTAACATACCTTAAGTTACAACCATGCAAAGTTTGATGCTTTTGTCCGCTCTGTATAGATCTCGCCAAAATTTTGCACTAAGCCACCGGACTATATGGTGGGGACATCTACATTACAGCTTGCACCCAAATTTTAGGCCATTTAACACCACTTCAACATGGACAAAGAATGTACCAAAAATTGTGACATGGAGCACACACCCTCCTGTCCTATGTAACAAGGCCACAGAAACTTCAGAGTTAACTTCGCTGTTATTTAGTTTGTTTGAGCAGGGCTTGAAAAGAGTCCCATCCCCAGGATAAATAGATTTTCTTGAGTGGGCAAGTAACTTTTAAAGCTTACATTGTACTGGCCCAAAGGGCATGGCAAGTGCCTTTATAAACTAGACGAGCAGCCAGCAAAATGTGAAAGCTGCTTTCCCAAAGGACAAGCTGGAAATCAATTTTTTTTCTGAGCCCTGTTGAGAAACATCATTTTACAAGAGTACTCACCACAAGTTTTTTCATATCAAGTTCCCTTTCTGCCAGCACTCTCTTTAGCTGTTCAATGACTTCCAAGTCCTCAGGGCGTGACTGTCTGCTTCTGTATTTCTCTTCAGCCTCCTCCAGCCTATTTTAAAAAAAAAACAAGATCATATATTAGAAAACAATCTTATTTTAAAACTCTACACCAATGTTCCAGGGTTAACATCATTTCTTCCCCTTTTAAGTCAGTTTGACCTCAAAATTAATAGTAGTCATTCTTCAAAATGTGGGGTCACCTTATACTATGTTAGTGAAGTACCTGACAAGTACTCGTAGGAGAACCGCTGAGTGAAAGAAGTTTACACTCAAAATATAGACTACAGATCCTTGGTGAACCAAAGCAAATAACCTACAGCAATTGGCAAACTTCATTTCACAAAATAATATGTTTTGCTGCAAAACTGTCCAACAATATCTGTTAGTTACGTATGTTTATTAGTTTTGGCTGGCAGAAATCAAATTCTGATGAACAGTATTTTCAGCTCTACACTGGGATCAAAATGTTCACTCAATGCAAGAATTCTCTGGAGTAACCAACAAATTTTGGTGTCAAATACACCATGCTTGGCATATTTTATTTGTATAAACTGTACATATCTTATCATGATAATATTTATAAATTCAAAATTGAAAATGGTAGAGGTACAAAGTTCTTTGTAGACTGTTACATTGTAATAAATCTGTGGGACGTTAAAGAACCCACACACTCTTCGTAAAGAGTAGGGCACGTAGTGCCCGGTGTAGTGGTCTATCTCACTTGCACACTCATATATGGGGGCATCATCACTCATTCCTTCAGTACTTGTAAACTGCATCTTGAGCAGTCTGGCAAAGTCCCCCAACCAGTGTTGTAAATTATCCCTGAAAAGCCCTGAGGGGAGTGGATAATAAGATAATTACAATTACAAATTACAATTACAATTACATTCACTTACATTAGCTGTAACGCAGATATCTTGTCACTAAGGAGTTCTTTAGACCTGTTAAACTCTGTAAGCAGAGCCTGAGTCTCGCGTAGATGATCTGCAACCATGAAGTCTACCTCCTTCTGATGTGCTCTGGCCAGATCTTCTTCCCGCTTCCTGTTGAGTAAGTGAAAAATGTTTTAAACAGACGATGGGTGTAATTATTAAGAGGCATGTGGATTAAGCCCTAAGCTCTGACCTTTGGTGATATGTCAAATTCCTCCTTAGTCTCGCAAGCAGATACAAGACAATATGGAAATTAAGGGAATCTACTAGTAGTTTACCACAAGCAACTTGCATGGGCTTTTTTCATGCAACTTTCAAACAGTTAGGCAGAAAGTGATATCTACTAGTAGTTGAATACAAAATTATTTGATCCTCAATGGCCAAACAGTTAAGAGTCTCTGTACCCCTTAATGAAAAGTAATCTGCCGAAAGTCAGTGATGGACTAACACCTAAATTAAACAGTTGCCAACCCTCCAAGTTTAAGTTTTTGCTCAGCCGCCATTTGGCAACCAACTCTTTTGGTTAGGGAGACTTTTTTACACATCAAGTCGCCAGCTCCAAAATTTTAGGCGCCATGGTGACCAAACTGGTCACAACTTGGAGGGTTGGTTGCATATTTAATCAACTGATTTTCACCTGATTTGCGAGTTAGCCTCTCGTCTGACACTGAGAATCTCTTGTCCTTTAGCCTGTAATTCATGCTGTAGCTCCTCCACATTCCCTCTTACATGACTAATCTCCTCATCAAGTTCATTAATCTGATATTGCCTCTGTTCTATTTCCTGTTTTAATTCCTCTATTTGGCTCTGATGTTCAGATTCCTGTGAACATAAAATGATTGGAACGTCTAAGTTATTGCTTTGGGGGCTGAAAAAGGAAGAGAGGAGTGAAAATCGATCACTAGAATAAGGCTTTTTCTACTGATAATTATTACTGACACAACGGTTATCACTGAAAAATGATTCAGCAGTCATGCAAACAAAATTTTAATCAGCAATCAGAGGGATCATTAAAATCATTATTTCTTAGACAGACTTAAAGCTCTCTATTAAAGGCTGGTTAATTCTATACCACTGCAGATGCATTGTTGCTGCTAGTCTTTTTGAGCAATAACTAGTAGAACTAGCAGCAGTCTTTGAGAAATCAGCCATTAACAGTTAACCTAAGGTTCAACCCCTTTTCATTGTCTGGATATTAGAAACACTTACTGCTTGTGTTCAATACATGCATGTTAACAAAATAACAAAAACCGGATACAAGGTAGGATCAAAAGGAATTACAATGTGGAATTTGGAAAAAAAAGTCCATAGTAAGCTCAGGGTGCAGGGGTGGGGGGTGGGGGAATGGTACTTAACTTTATATATTAATAGTAAATGAGGCCAACTTGTTATACTCGAAAAAACATTGTTGGGCGAAAACCAGACCTCAAAAAAGTCCAGTGTTTTGAACCAACCCTGGCACTGTATGCAGAAGTGGAATTTCTAGTACACTACATGTACATTTACACAATGCTTACATTTCGTGAGTGTAGTTCATTGGTTCTCTGTAGCTGCAGTTTCACAGATGCCAGCTGAACCTCAAAATCTCTGTGTAATCTTTGCATTTCTTCCTGTTGTACTCTTAACAATTCACTTCTCATATTTTCTGAAATAAAAAGCAAGAATTGAAGAAAAAAAATAGCATTGAAAAAGCTCGATCATCAACAATTTAATAGATAAGTACAACATAAAAATGTCCTGTAACTCAAGAAAACAACCTGCAGTAATACACGTAAATACACGGCAGAGTACCTTTTGTGCTTTTGTTACATCAAGGTTTGACTGTAATGTTATTAAACATAAACCAATTTTTGACTATTATCAACAAACCTTGATCATTTTCATGTTCAATATTCAACTCCTCAATGTCCTTCAATCTTTTCTGTTCAGCTTGAGACTTAACTGCCTCAATTGTGAGTTTATTTGCCTGAAGCTGTGAGGTGATTTCTTCTCTGTGAATCTTTTGAAGCCTCTCATCACATTCCTGTAATAAAACATATATAAGACATACACTTATAACAATTACCAGTAATTAAATGTCACATTGGAGGCATCTTTGTAAATCCTTGAAATTTCAGCAGTTCCTAATAGTGCTGTTACTTGCTGGCCCAGTGACAAAAGTCTGGTAGAAAAATCCCTTCAACGTTTTTTTGCCGTTTTTTTTAATAAAGAACTACCTTAATTTCTTCATCTTTTAATGCTTCAAGTTTCCTCAACTCTGCATTGTGTTGTTCAATCAGTTCTTCAAGACGCTTGCTATGTTGAAGAGACAGAGAAGCTAGTTCCTCTTCCTTATACTGCCGCTGCAAATCAAGTTCTCTGCGTAGATCGAGCTCTGTTGTTGTTGCATGCCGATTGGCCTTTTCCACATCAGTACGGGCTTCAGAGATCTACGAGAAGGGAGGCAGAAGGGATTTAAAATCACCTTGTAAATATTTCATCCATGCATACAGAGTGTCAATGACAAATTTAGCGAAAGGGCAGATAATCTAGAGAAGGGAAACTTTCTATAAAAAATTTATTACCACCTAAACGGTGAAAACTTGACTGAAGGATAAGTTCAACGAAGACTGAGCAAAGTCAGCAATGCATGCCAGTTCAGACATTACATTGAAATACTAGGACACCCTATCATAACAATAATAATTATTGTAAATACTTATTCCTTCAAGCTACACTTTACTGCTGCACTGTTTCACTTATTAGGTTTGCATCTTTTTCCTTTTAATTTCGTTTTTTTTCCTTTGCAAATTTAGTTTTTTTTCTATATATATATATAAAAATAAATAAATAAATAAATAAAAAATAATAATAATAATAATAATAATAATAATTGTAAGTAACAACTATCATTACCCCTGAGGGCTTAATTCCTTCCCATGTGTAAAATATAAATAGACTGTTTTGTGCAGAATGTATTTCACTTATTAAAACTTATGATACACAAAGACCACCACACAATAAATTGGCGGATCTACCATACGGGTCACTTTTCCACAGGTCAGAGTACAGTTCACGATGATACAGATAAATGAATAGCATTAAAAGTGTCTCCTAGCCCTCTAAATCTCTTAACAAAATGCTGATGTATTAGATCGAGGGGAATCTGTGTGGTTTGGTTATAATGACCTTGCAGTATTGCTACTACATCACTAAAAAATAGTACAAAGTAACTTTCATCAAGCCCCAGGGCCTGCAACCTGTTTAAAACAATAATGTTTTTGTTTGTGTTAAGATTACTGTAAGCTACATGCTCATAAAATATAAAAAGGATGTGCATCAGCAACCAGAATAAATGTCTACATTCTCTGGAGTCTTCACAGCAAAGCATAACAAAGTCACTAAACCAAGACAATAAATATTAATAATTATTAAGTAGGTGTCCTAAAATATGATTTACTAACAAGCTTCTTGGAGAGCTGTAGGACACCTTTTTTAACAAGTGTGAGATGTTTGACCTGAGTATTAAAACAATAAAGAACCACTATAAATCAATTAACTTATTTTCTGAAAATTAAATTTACTCTTTGTGTAGTTGCACCCAAATACAATGTTTATTACCCTGTATAAAGCAATAAGATGTTATTACATGTAATACAACATTCAGGAAATCCCTAAATAAATTTAGTACAAATCATAGGCTTTATAAGTTTAGTGAGGTGTCAAAATTAACAGTTTTATTATGTACTCTGTCACCGAGTCAATGCTCTGTCTTCAGGTCCTAAGAGAACTGAATTCTTTCCAGAGAGACTCGCTGTATTTCTTAACATATAAGACTAGAATTTTTCAAAATAATAATTATTATTTACAAACTAAACAGGATAAGATAATAAATTTAATTCCACTTACTGTCTTTCTCAAAGCATCTATCTTGCTCTGCAGCTCTGCCCTCAGTTCATCTCTTTGAATGTCTTTCACTTTTGTTAACTCCTCTAAAGATACTCGATTCTCTTCTCTGTGTTGCTCATTCAGTTGAGAGCGAAGTTTACCACATTCCTCACTGAAATACATTTAAGCATTAATGACAATGATAATTTCAGTTCATGAGGATTCCCTGAGAAATCATTTTTCCACTGATTCAATTTACTTTCTGTTGTACCTATGTGGAAGCATATGACAAGACTTCAGCATCAAAAATTTATACTACTATAATGCCTCAAACAACTCTGAGTCATTTACATATACTATCCAATCAACTAGCGATTTAGCTGCCTACATAGTATGATTTATATTTATAACTACATGAAAACAACACTTAACTATATAAACATTTATCAGATCTTTCTTATATTTGTATTTCTTGTAAAAATCCTTTCTTAGGTTCAACCAGAGACCCCTTGTCTCCTGTGAATACTAACCTCTTATAAGGCTTGGAAACAAGGGGAATTCTGAATCAAACTACAATCGGCGACAAATTGTTGAGACAATGTACTCATATTTCATTTTCTGTCCTTTTCACTTTGTTCCTTATTTCAATTAAGGAAAGAATAAGAAATTGTGTGCAACGCGCCACATCTCACGATGTCAAGGCACGTGAAGCGTGACACGAAATGTCACACACTGAAAATAACAAAATTGCCATTTTCTAATAATTATTGTTCTAAACTAGGTGTGATGATGTTAATCATAACAAATAAAAAGCTACCAAGGGTCTTACATCCCAGCGGTAAGAAATGAGTTGAATTAGTTTTCTTTAGAATGAATGGCCACTTTTGCAATTCAAACAATTGGTGACAAAATTGTTGAGACACTGCACTCAAAAAGAAAAAAAGAATCCACACCCCCACTCCCCTCCCCTCCATTCAAAGTTGGGGTGTTTGTTGTTTTCTATAGGTAGTTCAAACAGTAGCACAACATAGATGGGGGGGAAGGGAGAGGAAACGCTATATTTTTCCCTTTTGAAGCCGGTAAAATGTCAGAAAGCCCCTCTAGGGCAAAGTGCCTTGACTGATTTTGTCGCCAATTGCAGGTTGAACACTGCCTTTACCAACAACATAAATACCCCCATTGTTTTCTCTGTTTTTATTAACACTGATGTTTCTTCACCTTAATCTCTCGCTCCACTTGGTGTTCAACTCATTTGTTAATGTCTCCAGTCGGGCATTCAAGTCTATTTCCCCATCCTTCATTGCTTTGCTATGCAATGCCTGAAGTTTGTAAATTTCATCCTACACAAGAAACAATTACAGTATGTGTAAGTTTACCTAAACTTGGATGTGTCACTTTCACATGATTAAAAGCCTGGTTCAAAGCACAGAATTAACCCCATATCATTAAATATAATTTATATAGGATGCAGTGACCACTCAGGAACAAGCTTTTTAACTGAACAGTTTAGACTCCATCTCTGACATATAAAAAAACAAGTAATTCACTGTCAAACCCTGCAATTGATGAGTTTAGGGGTGAAGAGCTGTGTAATAACCAGATGCAATAATTTAGAATATTACAGCTACTTTGTTACTAAATGTTGGCAGATTTCAAAGCAAGATCAAGTCCAGTGGCACTGACTGAAAGCACAAGATAAAATGGGCGTCATAATAAAGTATGGTCTGCAGAGCTGTTAGCTAAAAAAGAAAGAGACAGCTATACTAAGAAATCACTAGAAAACACTTGTATGTCACAACCAGACACATTAAAACTTCCAAACACAAAACTAGGCCTGTTGCACTGGATATCTTTACCACTGTTTCCTTACCAATGAATTTGTGTATTTGCTCTCCGCTTCCTTTAGATCATTCTTAGTTTTTTGTAACTCTTGTTTCGCCTGACTAAGAGCCTCTTTCAGACTGTCAATATGTGATGATGCAGAACCAAGTCCTTGTTCACTATCATGCACTACTTTTTCTAACCTCTCAACTTCTTCTTCAGAAGAGTTTAGCTTATTTTTCAAATCATTGCAGTGGTTCTCAAACTGTGCAATGACTTCATTTTTCTCTCCTCGCAATCTCTCCAGTTCTTGTTCAGACTTTTCTATTAAGTCTCTCTCCTGTGTTGCCAGTTTCTGTTGAAATTCTTCCCGCAAAGTCTTGACGTAAGAATTGTGTTCATCATCAAGTCTTGTTGTTTTTTCATGTAATTCCTTGTCGTGATCTCTTTTCAACCTTGCTGTAACTTCTTCCAGTTCTTGTCGAAGTGAAGCTTCCTTGCTTGTAGACTGTTCACTTGCCCTTTTTAACTCCATATTATATTTGGCCGCCAAGTCGGCTTTTTCCCTTGAAAGTTTCTCAGTTTCCTTTCAGGAAAAGAAAAGTGTCATTAAATGATTTGAAAACAAGGAAGCATGGAGGGAATGTAACCTAGACCAAGCAAGATTAATTTATTTAATTGATGATTATGATGATGGCATTAAGAACACTCACAGCCAAATTAACTCCTTCACTCCCAAAAATTTTCAACATAAAAATGTCTGAACAAAACATTTTACCTTTTTCTTCTACAACTTCTCACAGCCTAAATTTTTCAAAAAGCAGGTACGTTGCCCATCCCCTTCTCAATACTAATCTTTTAATACTGTTAATGAGATTCCTCCTTTACAATCCACATGCAAAAGAAATAGATCTTTTGACTTCATTCCCAACTAATTCTGTGAGTCTTTTCACTTGTTCCTCACTAACCTGCTGAAGTCGTTTAAGCTCGGAATCAGCTTGTATGGTATGTGAACTATGCCTTTTATCCAAATCATCATGTTCCTTCTCCAGAGTGTTTAGCTTCCTCTGAAGACTGCTAATATTTGCTTTCAAATCTTTTATTATTGTCTCCTGTGACAACTTGCTTGCATCAAGCTTACTGATTTGCACTGAAAATAATTTTAGTTTGTCAGTAAAATGATATGTGCACCAAAGTAAATGGATTTGTGCATACCAGTAAAAGTGTGCTCAAAGCTATAAGTCACACTAACTTGTTGATGCCTCTGTTTTGTACCAGGAAGTAATGAATATAGTATCACTATACATACTGAAGGTAACGTATGGTTAACCCTGAAGTTTTCTCTTTGGAGACACAAATCAAGTCATACACCTTTATAAAACTGCTTTATATGGGAACTTGTAAACCTCTATTATCCTTATCCTTTCCTGAGTAACAAATAAACCCCCTTGTAAACGTACCACCTTCCAAAGGGTTTATACAAGAAATGAGATTCCATTTTTTAATGACTTTTCAAGGATGACATTCAGTTTTCAATGACCAGCTACCAGGAATGTACTGGTAATGTCCCAGATTGTACAAAAATGCACATTCCCAGTCCATTCTAACATGACTTTAAGGCTTGAACTATCTACTCTATTGGTAGTTAATTATTGCATAAAACAAAAGACCCTTTATGTAAATCACCTTTAACTTCTCTGAGCTATGATTTATACTCTGTCTCAGACAACCAAAAGGCATTAAAAAACACTTTCCAGGTCACTGCATTCAAAGTTGAAGAAAATTAAATGACTTTTCAAGGACTTCCCTAAAATTCAAGGACTTTTCAAGCCTGTGTGGGCCCTGTTTCAGTTGTAGTCTAATAAACAAAAAGGCAGACATAGATTTGAATTCCATGACTGCACTTGCATTAGGGGTAGGCATGGCAGGGGGGAAGCCTCTCCTTTTCATTAGAAGAATCGGGCTCTATCCCAGAAACATATTATACTTTTTTCTATATATTTTCTTTTTTTTTCTTATTTATTCATTTATTTATTCACTTTATTTTCAATTTTCTTCATGGGGGGGATCTGCAAAAGGCATTTCTCTTAAAGTAATCACAGAAAGAAGTTAAGTCTTCAGGATGGCAATTATTTACGCACAATTTACATTAATTTAATTTGAGAAACACATTTTCTGTGGGTAGACAGTGCCACATTGACGTTTGCTGGTCACCTGAGCTCCTTGGGACACTGCTAAAGGTCACTTCATTTTGTGAAAATATGATTAACAAAATATTATTATCATTTATGCCTGGTAATGATGAGAGTCTTTGATTTGACAAGACAATAACAAATCACTAATATTACTTTCACGTTTTTTAGGTTACTTCATCTATTATTATTCAGACCTTGTGGTCAAGTTAGAGTGAGTGTGAGTTGGTGATTGGTTAAGTTTTTTGTGATAAGGGGTGGGTGAGGTGAGGTGCATTTAAGATCAAGTTCGTGACCTGTGAAAATGTGCATGAAATGGATGAACTCACAGTTAGCTGCTTTTAACCCAGCGATGGCAATTTCTATAGAAGCTGATTTGAAAACATCTGAATCATGAAAATAGAATAATAACTTAATTTATGAACACTCAGACAAAGAGATAAATCACTTCTGCTTGGATGTTCTTCCTTAGAATCTGATTCTGAAAACAATTCTACCCCTTGTCTGTGCTTTGATTCTCGTCTTTTTCCTCCACCTGTCATTAATAATCATATATTTGATTGCAATGGTTACTGTCCACAAAAACTGCTTTTATGATTCCAGTGTGTTAACTTTCAGAACAAAAGATCCCTTTGTTTCAATACCACATGCCCCCCAGTAAGGCATACTTAGTATAAACATGGTGACATAATATGAATCCTTGCTATTATTTTTAGTTTTTCAATTAAAAAAAAAATAACAAGACCATGAATGAAAAAAGGCTGAAATACAAACAATCCAGTAAATGTTGCATAGTGGGGGTATGCAAAACAGTTAAATTTTTTAAATTTATTTTTATCATGTAATTGAGTTACATTATTTGAGATGCTCTCTGGGTAACATGGTCAAGTACATCTGCAAACTAAGAAAACTACTTTAGCCTTAAAAAGAAGCTTTCCCACGAAGTTGTCTTCATTTAAATCATTCTACTATACTGTACTGTAGTACAGTTCAAGCAACAGTTAAACTTACTTGATTGTCGGGCGATTTCTGCTTCCTGCTCCTCAGAGCGTTTCTTAGATACAGTTAAATCATTTTCTGTATCTCTCAAACTCTGCAAAGCTTTTGCGACTTCTTTCCTGGATTCCTCAAGTTGTTTTGCTAAAACAGTAGAGTCACCTTCTTTGCCATGAAGTTTCGACTCTAACTCATTTAGTTGTACTTTTAAAATTGACATTTGTTGTTCTCCATCACTAAGTTGATTCAACAATTCAGAGATTCTGTCCTTTAGAATCCTTTCCTGCCTACTCCATTCGGACCTGAGCACTTTTTCTCGAACTTCCCACTCTTTAAGCTGAGTCTCTTTCGAAGATTCCTGTAGTGCTTTGGAAGCAGCAAGCTCTTTTTCGTAAAATGTCTTTAGTTTTTCAACTTTTTCCTGGTATTCCAATTCTATTTTCCGCCTTTCCTCCGCAGCAACGTCGCCAGAAGACTGCAATGTAGAAAGTTTTTGTTCAAACTGTTTCTGAAGTTTTTCTTTTTCCTTCACGAGCTCATCATACCGTACGCGATGAGCCTTCATCAGTTGATCCATTTCATCATGGTGTTTGCTTGACAATTCCTCCACAGCCGTATCTCTATCCTCTTCCAGTTTTCTCCTAGTTGCCTGGAAATTTTTCATCCGCTCTTCAAACTGCTTTTTTGCCGCAAGCAATTCCTTTGACATAGTCAAAATTTTGTCTGAAAACTCTGACTTTAGTCTCGCCTCATGATCTTCGTTTCGCCGTTTGAACTGTTCAAATTCTGACATAGCTTCCTCTCGTTGCAGTCGTTCCTTGGCTAAATGCGACTCCAAAACTTCGATCTTCTGCTTTTGTTCAGTAACAGCGCCTAGCCTTGTCTTGAAGTAGTTCATCTTTTCTTTCGTCTCTGCTATCAGTTTTTGCATTTCTTCCTCATGTGCTACTTTCATGTTTTCCACAACATTCTCATGTTCATCGTTTTTTGTGTTCAGTGCGTAAATAACCTTGGTAAGCTGTGCGATTTTTTTCGACATCTTAAGATGTAAGTCAGGAGTAACGTCTGCACTCGTACTGCTCCCATGGCTGGCCACGTATGTGCCGTTTCGATGCGGCATACTGTGGAAACTAGAAGCCGTCTTGCTCGCCGCCATTTTGTTATTTGACTCCTGCCCACCTCTGTGTTCTTCGATTCAAAGCGGTTGCCATAACTACCACCATGGCTAAGTTTTTCATCAAGTCCAAATATGGTAAATAGACCAGTCGCCATATTGGATTGAGCAAGGTAAACATTCTGCAGAATTTTTATCATTTTGGGCAGAAAAGTTGTGTTGGATCTGGACGTGACTGTATAAAACAAGTAGCCGAACAATATTATGTTTAACGATGAATCACAAGAAGCTGTAGAATTTCTTTCTTCTTGGAAAACTGAAAGGTAAGGTTCAATAATATATATTTATTTGCCGGGATTTTGAGGTAGTAAGGTTTTTGATCGGTTATCATTCCAAGATCTCCTGTCCACCAAAGTACCAAAAGTTTTTTTTTTTTCTGCAACAAAAGAGCACTAGTGCTCTAATCACAACTTGGCACAATGTTGCTGACCCTACGTAGGGTCCAACTCTGCATATGTAAGTTTAATTTAAAACCAAGGATACATGACAGTGCCTTAACCGTGGGGATGGGGGGAAGTAAGATTTTTTATCCCCAACCCACCCCCCTCCCAAAAAAGATGGTTGGAAACGGAACCCCACAATTTTTTGTGTGGAAATCCAACAGGTTAACCTTTAGTCAACACAATCATAAAAAATTGTCTGGAAGGGGGCAAATTTCATTGGCATCTTTGAACAAAGAGTCCAAAACTCCCAAGACATTAAAAATGTGCTATTAGGACAGTGCTGATAAAATATGGAATATCCCAAAGGAGTTCCAATGCTATATAGCTATCTGCATTATAAGTCAGACTTTAAGATATAAGATAAGATGAGATATTTTATTAATTTTATATTATTTATGGCACTAAAACTATATACATATCCTAATGGCCGATAAAGGCTGCCAAACACTAACGCATAACATCCATAACAAACAGTGCACCCAAACAAAAGGAAAATAAAACACCCCAATCACTGTGAAAGGAATTGGTTCGTTGAGAAAATGCCAAAAAGGTCTTTAGAGCCGGCTTAAACCCTGAACACTCTGTATACTTCTGATAGCTGAAGGAAGAGTGTTCCACAGTTACTGGCCAACGCATACACGAGTGAAGGCCTTGTCCCCAAGGGTCTTGCACTGTGTTTTGGACCTTTAATTCAAAGCTGGTATTGGATCTTAAATTGTTAGCACTACTCTACTTGAAACTTAAAAGCTTTTTCAGGAAGAATAAGTGGCAGAACATCAAACAATGTGCATGATCTTCTTCTTACTGGCTGGGGCACAACTTCAAAGTTTGTTGGGTGTTCTGCAGTTGACCCTTTTTAACATGAATTCACAATTTAATTTTTTTATAAAATTGTTTTAATTTGCAGAACCATTAAAGATGCTGTTGCACAAACTAGTGAGATTATAACTTATGAGGCTAATGTGCAGTCCATTTACAAAGTAGATCAAGAGGTCAGTGATGAACTAGCTTACAATATTTTCAACTTCTAATAAATAATAATTATTATTATTTATTAGAAGTTGATCATTCTTTTGGACATTTATATTTGTTACGCATGTTTATTTTGTTCATTATATTGTTGACTAATATAAGCATCTTCCTGTATATGTTGTGAATTTGACAGTGTTTGGCCAATTGATGTTTGAGTGGTCTTGAATGAGATCATTGGAACTTAAGTTTTGCTTATAAGAAAAAGGGTCATTCATTCATTCAGCAAAATTACATAAATGATAGGCCACACTCCTACAGGTTTTTTTGAGGATCCTAAGGGTACCTTTAAAAAGTGGGATTAAGGATATCAGAGGAACATTGACAGAAAGTATTTACAGCATGTAGCATTAATTTGTTTATTACAGGCTCAAACTGAGGAAGAAGATGAGAAAGGAAAACTTGTCTTTATTTGTGAGGAAGAGACTCCGGTGAGGGAATTCATATAATTTAATCAACAAATTAATTAGCTTTATTGCCATTAGGCTGGGGGAACAATCCCTTTTGAAAGTGATGGGTAGGGCAGGGGTGCTCGTTATCTTCGTTAGGGATGTAGATTGCAGATTCAAGACTTGATCTTCATGTTCTCTTGTGCATATAAGCGTTAGATACACTCCCTCTGTCTACTCCCGTCTTTAATGACTACCCTTGCCTCCTGTCTTGTTGACCTTGGTATCTTCATTTTCAATGTCTCACAATGCACAGAGGGGAACTGCAGGCTTCAGTAAGGCATTGAATACACTGTAGGTTCACCTTAGTTCTCTTGCTGAGCTGTTTGGAGCTGCCAACCTTCCTTAACCTCTTAAAAGTGGCTTTAGCTTTACTTAACCTGCATTCTATATCTTTGTGGGTCCCACCATCATTGTTTGAGTATAGCTCCTAATACACGTAATCCTTGTCTTCTTCAAATCGACAAATAATTTGTGAAATTTTCTTCAATTTGTCTTCATTTTGCCGATAAATTGTAGGCAGGGCAAATTCATAAGTGTGAAGCCATTTAAACTGCCCCTGGGCCCTCAATAGCATTTCCCTCCCCACCATAAAAGACCACCAGGCTCTAAATCTTTACTCTTTATGGGTAGAAGATTGGGTGATTTTACATCCCCTTTGAATTTAGTTACAAGGTTGAAGGATTGAAGAAGGCCAACAGCTTAATGCCATTGCTCAATAACAAAATTAGCTGAACTGAAACAGTGTCTCAAATCAAAGTGAGCAAGATCATTCCCAGCTTTTTGTAGTTTTAAACTGGTTAAACTGGTTTGTGGTAGTCAACTGGGGTTCAAACCTGCTCAGCAAATGGTGATCTTTCCACTAAGGTTTACTCTAGAGGCAGTCCTAAGAGTTCAGGGTTGTCAAAACGTTTTTAAGTAGCAGGCTGATGATCAATAGTAAGCAGCTGTGGAACTCGCACCAAAGGCACAAGCTGTTGTGGGCCAAGGCATCTAGGGACATTTTGAAAATTAGAGTCTTGGAAATGGCATTTCCAAGGGTTTTCAAGAGGTGTTTTCCACCTCGGACACCATGTTGTTTCGTCAGAATACACGCAAGCCTGGAAACAATGACATCCCAGACGTTCCAAGACATTGCACAGTTCAAACGTTTCACAGGCCAGGGTCTAAATCTGTTTGAATATGCATTCAATTTCATTCAAAACTGGGAAAGGAAACGGATGCTTTACAATTTTATTCGAAGGTGCTTATTTTTTTTAGCAGTCATGGCAGAAGGAGATGAAAGTAGCTAGGTAAGGATGGCCAACTAGCCGGCGGTTTTGGCCAGCTACCAGCCCTTATTGACAGCCCTAAGAGTTAAGGGAGTATTATCAATGTTATTAATATACAGTGTACTAAAACTCACATTTTTATGCTTTTTTAACAGGGTCTAATCAATTTCCTTCAGAGAGTGTACCCTGACCTCAGTCGCCAGCTTCAGCTTAACACAACAAGTCATGCATTTGATGGTACAGTATGGATCCTCTCCTTATTGTTTACATTTTTTTCATGATCTACTTTCCTAACAACATATTCATTCATTAATATTTTTTAAGACTGTCTGTTCGCTGGAAACAGACAGGGAATGGAACATTTGCCACTTAGAAATGAGAACAAAAATATGCATCCCACAATAGTAATAAACGACTGTTTAACTGTGACAATAGACAGATCAAAGCACACTAATGACATTACAAGTCTTCATAGCCAATAACATCATGGCTTAATTATTGTTTCCGGATTCGTTACTGGAGACGTACTGGTCAGCTATTGGCCAATGTTTTCCTTGTCCCAAGTGACAGTCCTACAGTTCATAAGAAGGTTGAGTATGATAGTCCAGGTGAACGTAGTCCTGAATAGGATTGTTGTTATTGACAGTCGCTGGCGTTTCGACAACCTGTGCAGTAGTCATCTTCATAGTCAAAGTGAGTTGTATCACGTCAGTTGATGGTATTATACTCTGGTTATTGACTGAATTGGTCATTTAAGTCGCAATGTTATTGGTCGTCTGTCAGTTAAGCCATGATGTTACTGGCTTTGAAGACTCATAATGTCGTTGGTGCGTTTCGATCCCTCTTTTGTCACAGTTATGGAGTCATTTATTGTTGGTCAAATTGTCAGTTGTCCAGTCATTATCTCATAGTTAGTTTTGCTTGATTCCATCTGCAAGTCATTTGTACGGTGTTGTTGTTGTTGTTGTTGACTACGATTCAGTGGCGTTTGTTCTAAGTTTGTTCTTTGCAAATTAACTCCACCCAGATTTCTTCTTGTTTCTTAAGTGACGAAATGCAGGTTCAACTTGTTTGGACAAACATCTATTTTTATTATTTTGTGTTTTTTTTTTTAATCTCTACTTTTCATACATTAGGATTTGAAGTCAGTTTAGAAGAATCAGCCAGCTCAGTATCGTGTATTCATACCTTAACAAATGCGAATTTGATTGAAGAAGAGGTAATAAAAATAAACTGTACATGTAAAGTTATTTTATTTATGTGGCTGTGTATTATTGTAGGTTAAATTACCTAATCTGTTCTTAGTTTGAAACAGTATTCAACCTATTGAAGGCAGCTTTTTGTAAGTCCTGGCAAACTTCGTTAAATCCTGATTTGAACTATACTAGTATTTCTTCTTATAATGGCCTCTAGAGGCAGTTTGTTACTTTGTACTCTTCGCTGATTGCTTAACCATTTCATTCTTTCATTTCTTTTGTAGGTTAACTAACATTTTCTCTTAGGTCATCATTTCAATTTTGATATATAATATTCTCATAACCTTATCTCTTGGGGATGCATTGATTTTGTTAGGTGAAAATTGATACTGGTCACTCTGGGGACTTTATAAGCATTATATAATAATATTCTTTTGTTTTCAGCTGCAAGTGACTGGCTTGTCATGGAATTCTACTGGATCTGTAATTGCTGCTTCGTATCCTTCTACAACATTCTAATTATTTGAGATTTGTTTTTCAATCAGAGACACAGGGGGCTTGGAAGAAAAAGTTTGAATACTATCAATAGGAGTCAAAGCTATGACCTTCTAATTACTATTAACAATGCTATGCAACTAAGCTACAGAAGACTCCTGGGAGCTAAGGCCACTAAAGGACATTTTAATACCAGTAGTCCAAGACATAAAATATATCTGAAGGTGGATTTTACCAAATTTTCCAGTTATACCGTGATATTATTTTAATTGTCCATTTCTCTCACTGGGTGTGAATATTGATTTTACCTGTCTTTTTCTCTGACATTTTGAGTGGTGCAAACTTGACAATACCACTGTAGATATGGGAGATTTGACCATGAGGACTGGTGTACTCACAAATCTACACTTTGCACCTGGAACATTGACAGAAAAGCTCTTGATCCAAACAAACCTGATGCTAACATAGACTTGTCAGTAAGTAACTTCCTTTGCAGTTCAATTGCCATTAAAAGTTTCATGATAAATGCCTTATTAAAATAAGTGATTCTTAAATAATTTTTTTAGTTCCATCATGACTTTCCTCCATTTCCCTACCAGTGTCGTGCAACAAACTGTGACTTTTTTATTTGTTGTTAAAAATTTGTTGAATCATATGTAAAACTATTATGTACTGGTTGTTGTCACTTTTTTCAGAGCTGTTTGATGTGCATTACATTTCACCCTAAACTGCCCTCAGTCATAGCCGGAGGAACATTTAACGGTTAGTCTTGATGCACCGAACAATAAAAATTCAGATTATTATATTGTTTTGGGTTACCACTGAGAGGCATTTGCAGCACTCGAAAAAAGTCCTATTCTGTAGTCTGGGAAAAATCATTGTTTTGCTCGGTAAGTAACATTTAAAGCTCACTTGCCCAATGGACAAGGGTGCAAGCTAGTCATCTTCTAACCAAATCGTTAAGTTAAACTAAGACGAGCAAGAAGTGGCCCTGGGCATTAGCAAAATGTGAGAGCTACTTGCTTAAAGCACAAGCTGGGATTCAAGTCTTTTTTGAGCCCAGATATGTGCACATCCATCTTCCTTAATTTTCTTGAATGTGTTAATAAAAGTTTATGTGTTTTCTGTAGCTGTAAATTTTTTTAACATACTCTTTGAATGATTTTCAGGTGAAGTGCAAGTTTGGGACATGGGAAGAGAAGATGACACTCTTATTGCTACATCTGGGATGGGATCAGATTCACACCGTGAACCAGTCACCAAGGTAAAATAATTTATGTGGTAATATTTAAAGTAATGCTAGGATTCTGTTTCCATATGCGACTGACAGTCCTGTTTCCTGCATTGGTGGTGTTTGAGGAGGAAGGTGATCAAAAGAAAATCTAGGTGCCCTGGAATGCGAATGGTGTTCTTCCTCCCTTGCATGCCCTTCTTACACAACTGAATTCCCTCTTTTCTTTCTTTTTTTTAAATGCTTGCCATGCAAGCTAGCACTTCATTGGCAAGTTAGATGTAGAGGTGAAAGAAATTAGGTACAAGACAACAGGACAATGGTCTGTTGAAGTTACAAGAGTTTTCTGTGTCTCTATTTAATACTCTGTTCTATGTCTGTTTCGTGTTCTTATTGTGTAATATCTTGCCTGATTCTTGTACGATTTGCATAATATCCAGTTTCACCTAGATTAAAATGGTTGTGGTCCATTTTTGCATATATTCATTTGCCATCAGCAATTTCACGGTTCCCAATCTTTTTTCAAACAATATCTAGAATTTACAAAAGTGCAATTTGGTTGTTAATGGTCCATTTTTCTGTTTCTTGCATTCATTTGTCACTGTTCTTTTTAGTAATTTAAAGGTCAGTCCCCATCTTTTTTTCAAACAATAACTAGAATGCTACAAAAGTGCATATTTAGCTGTTAATGGAATCAGTTTCATCAAAACCATTGTCGTTTATTATGTTAGGTCCTGTGGATGTTGGATACCAGTTCTAAAGCAAGCAAGTATCAGGTAGAAGATTTTGCTGAAAAGATAGAATCTTTTTGTTGTTGTTGTTGTTTTTTTTGTTGTTTTTTTTCCATGAAGGGGCAGGGGTGGGGCAGAGAGCATTGACCTCCTGAACTGAAATATATTTTATGTTGTGGTTTAGTTCTTTTCAAAATTGTCTACCAAAACATCATGAAATAGTGATATCTTCATATCACAAGCCCCTGCTTAACCCTCAGCACTCTAAGGTAAATTCCCTAAAATTTTCTCCATATACTGCTAACGCTCGCTGGTTTTGTAAAATGATGTATCAACTTGCTTTACTTGTCCTAGGTCCTCAGCATAAGTGGAGATGGTAAGTTGCTCATCTGGCAACTGTCACCTGGATCACATGACCTCAAACTGGTCAGTGGATTCATCTTACAGACAGAGAGTGTTCCTCGCAGCATGCGCTTGAGCAAAGCCCGTGGTGATGCAGAAATGGGAGGTACTGTACTCTTCTGGTGATAAATTACTTTGTGCGTAGTGACACTCATGTTGACGTGACCTATTGATATTAATGTATCTCTAGTCTGAAAAAAGCCACTCTTATTTTTTGGCTGATTTTCTATTACCGGTAGGCTTTGTTCATATGGCACTGGACAAATTTGCGACTGTTTGAAAATTTGTCCATGTGAACAGAGCAAAAATATTGAACAGTCCCGTGTGAGCAAAGTGTCGCATCAAATTTAAATTCAAGTGGTCAAAAATTCTTCCAGTGCCGTGTGAACATAAGGTAGCCTTACTTATCATTTTTATAGTCTCCATGTCTATCACTCTCACTCACTCTGCATACTGTATATTAAATTTCTCTTGTTTTTTCCCCTCAATTTCCAGTGACAAGCATGTCTTTTTCTCATGAAGATCGCAGTCTGTTTGTGTTAGGATCAGAGGCAGGGGGTGTATTCAAATGCTCCATGACCTCAAGGGGTCCTCCTCTGACAAGTAAGTTACCTGCAACCTAAACCATAAATTAGCCAACTCAGAAATGAGAATGTCTGCTTTGGCTTGTTTCACCAATATAGTCAGTAGATTTCTGTTCACACTATTTATTCTTCTAAAACCTCCATGTGAGCAGTGAGCCCGAGCAAAGCAGCACAAGCACTGAGTCCCAAGCAGTGGGCGGGGTTGGATTATTTATTTATTTTATTTGTTTATTTTTTTATTATTATTATTTTTTTCATTTTTTTCATGTACTCAATTTCAATTTCAGGGCAGGAAATATGACTTAACTGAGTGTTTAAGCCTGAATAAGGTGTTCAAAAGGGGTCAAAGAATGCCGATTTATTGAATAAATCTTAGTCCTTAAAAAATATAATTTGTCCTTGAAAAGTCCACCAAAAGTCATTAAAAATTATTTTTCTGAAGTTGTATGAACCATGCCTATAGCCGAGACGTTAGAGTGTCTAACCGGTAACTGGCAGGTCGTGCATTCAATTCCTGCTGAGGGCTCACAATTTTTTTTCCGAGCATTTCTTCACATAGTTCACATCTACTTCAGCTTGAAAATCGCTGGTCTATTTTGCACCCAACTAGACTGCTAAAGGAGCCTTTGTGACCTGTGACAGAACCAGACTGGCTGCAAAATCCTTTACTCATTAAGGACCGTATTTATCTCCTTAACAAAGTCATTTCTCCTTGTATTTAGAAATTCTTTTGTCGTTGTTGTTGCTGTTGAGGTTGTAATTCTGTTTCTGCGATATCATTGTTATTATCACAGACACGCACAGTTCGGTGCCGCTACGTTCTCCAGTAACCTTCGCATTCTCTCCTCATTTTGGTCCCGTGTTTTCTGTGGATTGTTCACCTTATCATAGGAATCTTTTCCTCACGTGTGGTACAGACGCGTCTGTCAGACTCTACTCCATGCTACAGGTCAGCAAATGTGTGCTTCCCTTGTGTAAGCGAATGTTAAATCCCTTCTGTCTTTTCTATACTGAGACGTTTCAGAGTGCGCGGATTTTGCTTCAAGCAAACCAGTGACATGTATGGTTTAAAGAAATTAGAGGTTTCCTCGAAAAGAGTTGACCATGCATCGTTTAGTTCCATGGACATGTCCACGACTGTCCTTTAGATTCGAGACGAGCAAAAGCGGTCGTTTCGCCCGAAAGTCGATTCGCCCGACGGCGTTCGCCAGGACATTGGTCGATTCGCCCGATGACATACAACACTCTAAAACATGGTGAGCATACCTTTAGAGGTTTTATTTTAGTTACCCTTGGATTCCACATGTGCAGGCACTGTCTTTCCAAACATATTCCCCTTTTTCAGGCTTAAAGAACGACAAACACGCTTCGGGCGAATCGACTTAGTCTGGGCGAACTGCTATCGGGCGAAACGAAATGATACCGAGACGAGGACGACCACAAGGACGAGACTTTAATCCAAGTTTTTTCGCGTTTTCCCAAAAAATAGACACCCCGGAAAGCTTTTTGTTAATTTTTCTCCACAGAAAAGTTAACTGAGTTCAACTGTAGTTTTCGACTTTACCTTTGTTTTCACAACATAAAATTAGAACCAAGTGGCCCAAACCAGGTCACATATGTGGGGCGAACACGTTTCGGGATGGGACCACTCTGGCATTGTTCACTAAGTCCTCCCTAGCATAGACGATTCTTTTCATTGACAAGTAGTCCGTTATTGCATTTACTACAGGGGGAGCCTTGGGTTGCTTCCTCCAGTGAAATGAAATACGAGTAAAATAAAAAGTCTTTACGTTTCACAGTCCAAGCCTTTGTTCTCTGTGGAGCCTGGTGCTGGGTACTTGTTCAGAGTTCGCTGGTCACCCTCGAGACCTTTGGTGTTTTCCGTGGTCACAGCCGATGGTAGATTACTTATTTATGACTTAAAGGTGTGTGTAAACGTTCACTTCGTTAGTGTCCTGGGGTCAATTTAATAAAACTTGTACACGTGTAATTCACAAGTGTAGCCACGAGTCTGAAAACAACATCTACACTTGGAAATCTTACTTGTGAAAGTTTTATTGAATTGCCCCCAGACTAGGTGTGCCTTAGAAATGTAAACTTTCGAATGGCACCCCTTACAGTTCGCCCTTCAGCTATCCTTAGCTAAAATTAGCCTGCGAACACGTTCTCGACTTTCCCCCTCTTCCACGCTGTTACGCAAAAATTCCGAAATTTTTAGTTTATTTTATAGTTGTTCATAACAATCTTTCATAACTGATACGTCTATAATAGGTGATCTGAGCCCTTTTGCAAGCATTATATAAATGTGAATTTAACTAAGTGGAAATTTTTTTGAATTGTTTGCTTTAGAAATGTAAACTTTCGAATGGCACCCCTTACAGTTCGCTCTTGGGACGAGGCTGGGTATTAACTGTTTACGCAAGGGGAATAGGCGGTGGCGTGTTAAATTACTGTGAGAATATTTATTTTGTAGATTAACCGCATCAACCCAGTTGTCTCATTGGACGTCACGGCCAATAAATCACCAGTCTATTCACTGGAATACAACCTTCAAAGGTACCCTTTTTTGGTTTATTTTCCCCTTCGGCTATATTTCATCCAGTTTTGGTTGGTTGGCGAACTAAAGCCACAGGATACCCACTCAGTCGAGCTCTATAGCACAAAGCACCTATTAGTATTGCTACTCCCCACCCCTTCCCTGGACGGAATGCTTTCTTTCACAGTATTAGCCCAAGCATGACATCGCTATTTCTGATTTATTTCCCACCCCTCCCTCAGGCGGAATGCTTTCTATCACGGGATCAACCTAAGCTCTGCATCGCTATTTTGCTATTGGTACCAGAAGCTCTCACCCTGCCCCTACCCAGGTGGAACGTGGGATATTGTACAGCTTACATTAAATAAAACGAAGCTTTTGCCACGCAGCTTTTGGAAAGTTCGTGAAAGAACGTTAATGGGCCCTTTGCACAATACAGTCACATGGCACAAAAACGCCTTGATGGAGGGCAAACCGGCAACGCAATGGAACGTAGAAAAGGTGAAGGATTATTACTTTTCGGAATGATGTTTGTCTTTCTTGTCGTTTGCCATCCAGCAAGGTGTTTTTGTCCTATCTGATCGTTTTATGCCAAGGGCCCATTAGTTTAGTTCCTTTTTAAAGCCCTTTCTGTAGCCCTGTGGTGCTTTACGTAGCCTTACACTGCCATTTCTTTGTGTTTCGTCTTTTAGACGTCAAATAGTTGCCACTGGAGATTCTCAGGGACGTATTAAAATATGGCGACTAAGCGATGACTTAACAAACCAGAGCGCTCGAGAGGAAGAATTTTTAGCTGTTATAGCAAATGACGCACAAACAGAATAAAGTACACATGTAGATTTGGACAGTGAAGCGTCATCTGAATGGAATTTCTGCAGTCGCTCATCAGACGTCATTTCGTGGGGGAATCAGTTGGGGCGTCGCGAAATGATGTCGGCTGTTTTCTCCGGCTATCCTAAATTAAACTTTATAGAAATATGAATGTTATTATATGAGATTTTAGCTGTCTTGTCGATGTCTTTACCTAGCTTTTTTTCTTTTTTTGTATATTTATTTATGCAAACAATGAAACAAGATGTAGAATACTTCACTCAGTCATAAGGGTGTTTGATACAAATACATGTATTTATTATAATTATTTATTTATTCGTTTTTAAACGTGTTGCTGCTTTTGATCATCAGACGACTTAATTACGATCACAAAATTAAGGAAATACGGTGAAACTTGTATTAAACAGACACCCACGAGGCCTTCGCTAGTGTCCGCTTAATAGAGCTGTCGACTAATTACAGGTTCGGTTTACAGAAAATATGGGGAGAAACGTGTGAAACAAACAGAAACGTTGATTCGCTTAATACAGAATGCCCTTAAGGGTTCATGGTCTTAAGACTGCGCGTGCACGCCGTTTTGTCGGCCGACGCCAACCTCGTGAAAAAGCGTCTGCGAATGCTCAAGGCGTGCGTTTGCCTTAGCCTGTTCCCTCTTCTCTCTCTGCTTCTCCCTCTCCTCCTCCTTATTTTTTTTCTCCTGCTCTCTGATTTCGCGCCGCAGACTATTTCCCTTTCATAAACGGTCGTTGCTATTTTTAACGGTCGATGCTACCACTGGAAACTAAGGCTTGAGTCACGATAGATTTAATATATTCCCTGAATTAATAAGTAACAGTAAGGCAAATAATACGTTTTTCTGAATAGTCATAAACCACGTTGAAGCCCAAGTTGAATTTACGTGAAATTTACGGAAAGGGCTAGGTTCACTGTTATTGATGTATTAGGTGAGAAAGACAGTTTGCTAGTTTATGCACTTAAATTTTTCGGAATTTTGGCGGGTCGGTGTGGGAAATTGTCTGCGCCGCACTACATCCCCGCGGCTGCACCACTAGCTGAGCGCCTGGGACATCTTTTAGCAGTTGTTGTAGTTGTCTCATCTTCCCTTTTTCAAAGATCGATCGTCAGCGGGCATCTCTGTAAAAGTTGAATGTGACATCGTCACCGATCAGTACGAATGGAGCCCAATGTTTGACATCACTGAATCTGTCTGATTCCCTCATTACTTTCATCGCCATGCTTAGACACCTACTGGCACTAAGTCCTTCCACCAGATTGTTGTAGAAGTTTCTCATGAGTTCTTGAGTGGCTTCATTGCAAATTCCCCACAATGACACTAAAACCGAGCGCGCGCCAGCGCTCAGAAAAGCCCGAGCAATATTCACCACACCCTCAGACCTGACCTCTCCTCGACCACTATGATAGCAGCTTAGAACAACCAATTTCGCTTGTAGCTCTACGTCTTTGAGGTCTCTTATAGTCAAGAGGTAGTCTTCCTCTTTGAGGGTCTCTGAAAAGTGCGTCGTATTAGGGGACAAAACAATTTCACCAGTTTCCACTTTTCCACGAGCGGCAATGTGTACAAGCGTCGCTGAGCGTATCCGTCCTAGCACCTCTTGCTTTGTCGCGTCTCTTCCACTGAGCGGCTTAGTGTTCAGAATCATTCCTATCAATTCGATCTCTGTTTTAGCGGCTGGCAGTTGAGGAAGGCCAGTAACCTCGACTTTTTTATTTCCTTTCCTTTTCTTTTTCTTCTTGTCTTTTTTCTTTCCTTTTTTCTCGACGCGAATGCTTCCCAGCCATGGATCTCCAACAAGCAGCGCAACGTCTGTTCTGCGTCGACCTTCTGAGCACTGTTCCATTACCGTCAAGCTGCTTAAAGTGGGTATTATACGAACTGTAGACATTTCAGAGAAAAATTTGGAATGTCGATCTAGGAGGGCAGCAAACGGAGCATATAACAATGGACCATCCGGAACAACAACAACCTCATCACCTTGAATTTTGTTTGCCATAGGGCTTATAACCATGTCATCTAATACCCTCAAAGGATCTTCTGTCCCACTAACTGGAGCTGGCCTTTTCATATTAGATTTATCGCGCGTTTCTGCATTCACCAAAGCGTCAAAAGAACGATCCTCATAACTACCGCTTTCCTCCTCCCCAGTTCTATAGTAATCATTCTGACTTAACGAAGCCAACGAAGCGTCGACACAGTCTTTCAAATATCGCTGATCAATTTCTTTTTGTTCATAGTAAAGGCTATTGCCTTTGTCTAAAACCCAAAAATTGATTGCGTTTTGGTCAACTGCTATGAATACTATTTGCGGCGAAGAAGCATTGAGAAATTCATTTTCATTCGCTTCACGAAAAACTGTCTGATTAGAGGTAATACCATATTCCCATTCTATGAGATCCTCTAGAGCTTGCTCGCGCTCCCTTTCAGCTGTCAAAAGGGCTTCCTTGACATTTCCTTGCTGCAAAAGAACTTTCCATAGAGCATTGTAGTTATCTTTTTGATAATTTCGAAGGCTAATTTGCCAGTGTTCTTTCAACTGAGGATTATTTTTGATGCCATCGAACAATTTTGCGCTTAATTTGTACGATTCTTCTGCCCTCGACAAGTCACCTAAAAAGTAATGTGTATTTCCTAGATGGTTGTAACCAATTCCCTCCTCAGCCTGGTCGCCTGTCATTTTAGCAGTACTTAGGTGCAGTAAATGATACTCTAAACCTTTCTTGAAATTGCCCTGACGGCAAAAGTCACGGCCAAGACTCTGATACCCATGTCCTTCTGCCGCTTTGTCTTGCAATTCTTTGGAAATGCTTAGAGCTTGTTGATGGCATTGTGCCGCTGTTTCAAAATTGCCGAGAAAGTGGTAAGCATCGCCAAGGCTGCCATACGCTTGTCCTTCACCAGTCCTGTCTCCTACCTCTTGTGTAATAACGAGGTGTAACTGGGAACAATATAGTGCTCTTTCGAAATCACGTAGAAAACAGTAACTAGTAGACAGACTAGCATAGGCACGTCCTTCTACTTTCCTATCTCCAGTTTCTTTGGCTGCACTGAGATATAGGTCGTAGTACTTAACTGCTGTCCTATAATCACCAAGAGATCTATAACAATGTCCAAGACTAGCGCACGCATCTGCTTCTGAATGCCTGTCTCGTCGGTCCTTTGCAATTTCAAGTTGTTGCTGATGATACCCTACGGCTGTACGGAAATCCCCTAAGTTACGATACGCCATTCCCAGGTTTGAGTAAGCAACTTCTTCTTTAACTTTGTCCCCGATTTCTTGGACAACGCTTAAATGAAGGTTGTGATACTGTATGGATCTTCTAAAATTGCAAAGGGATGCATAAGCAAAGGCAAGATTGGCATACGCATTTACTTCCCCTGTTCGATCACCCAGTTTTTTGGCAATGATGAGATGTAAGCGGTGGTACTCTATTGCTTTGTTAAAATCCCTCAGGCGAACATATACTCTCCCAAGATTAGCACAAGCACTTTTTTCACCTTTCTTGTCGCCCAGTTGCTTGGTAATGTCAAGATGAAGTTGGTGGTAGACTTTGGCGTTTATGAAATCATTCAAACCGTAGAAGGCAGAGCCAAGATTGCTGTACGCACGTCCTTCCCCAGCTCGGTCTCCCAATTCTTTACAGATAGCGAGATGTCTCTCGAGGTAGTTGATAGCTTCCTTCAAGTCACCGAGATGAAAGAAGGTAATGCCAAGGCTGCCACAGGCGAGGCCTTCTCCAGTTCTGTCGGCAATTTCCTCGGTAATTTTAAGATGCAATTCATGCCACCGTATGGCTTCCTGGAAATCACCTTCATTGAAAGATTTAATGGCAGTTCTACGATACAAATGTCCCTCTAAAGCTTTATCATGGAACTCCTCCTCCCAGTTCTTTTCATTAACATTCTAAAGATGCAAAGACAGTCGTTAAAACAAATGTAGAACCATAGCAAGTGTGCCAGGCGTTTCAACATAGTTTGAAGTGCTCCCCTCTTATTTTTAGATTCTACTCTAGGCCAGCATGGCCGTGGAACCCAGATGCACCCGCCACCTGGTCAGCGAAATCGATTGAAAGTCAGACTTCGGGTGAGTAGGCCCGTACTCATTCTGGGGTGGACCAACTCACTCATGGTCTCAGAATTAATAACTGAGGAAAAGGTGCCTCTCACAAAAGGTGCCTTTGTTTCACATTTGCAGAAGTTTGGACCTTTAAGCTTTCTAATGTACTCGGATAAGCTCCAAAACTGTACTGATCTGGCTTTTGTGGGACGTAAAAGAACCCCAAGGGACCTAAGAATATCCTGGATTGACGACCCCTGGTGTCCGTTTCCAGGCAGCAGTATCCTGGAGCCTAATTTATCTTTTTTGAATTGGGCCATACCACGAGAATGTTGTTAAAGTGTTCAAAGGTTATTTCTACACTACACCGAATGGCTATTGCGCCAACACGAACACTGTATCAGATAGGGCTTTTTTCACACATAACAACAACGAAGCTGCACCACCACCATCCCCGATCTAATTGAACTGTATTGGCCCTGATTTAAGGCAACCAAATTAGACTAAAAAACAGGACTATTTTACTCACCGAAACGGCCCCATTCACGGTAGAGCTAAAACAGATCTTTCTGATTTACAGTGTGTAATTTCAAAGATCAAATACCACATTTGTTACTTTTAAGCTTTACAACCGTTTATAAAGAGAATGAATAAGTTGCGCAATGTTTCCCTCAGAGCCTCAAAAAAAAAAACAAATCCAAAGCCACTTATGGCTATCACGCAAACCTTCTTGTTATTGGCCATGGCTACATAATTTTGTTTTGTTCCTGCTCAATTTATCCAGTTTTCTTGATCTGAATCTGAGTAGCTCTAACCTTTCTTAGAGTTGAGGTAGGTACGGGACTTTTACAAAGCTTTTTTGTGCCTGCAACCCAGTCACAAATAAATGAAATCAATGATTGAAACTTAATTGAAGCCCTACCGCTGCCTTGTCCTCCCCAGTTCCATATTCTGACTCAATTTCTTGAAAATCAGTTGCTTCAACTGCAGTAGTCGTGTCACTCATATCTGTGGCTTTAGCTTTTTTCACTCTGGCGTTTTTAAAAGAAAATGGGCCTCTTCTAGCTGCTCACCTGATTAAACATAATGAAGGAATGTATATAAGTTGTGATTTGTATATAACGTACAGATGCGTGTTTCTTTGACACAATGTAATGGATAAGGTGGTCTCCTTCCAGCAGCAAGTGTCGTTAGACTTATTTGAATGTTTCTTCTTTCTTGTGTGGTGCTCAAGCGAATTTATGGCCACTTTATATAATTTTATTGGGACAAACAGGTTCCAATAAAACACATAAGATGGCCATAAATTGGTTTGGGCAGCACACTGGAAAGAAGAAACACACAAGGAAAGTAAATTAAGCCGTTTTGTATTTAAATTCTTTCATATTCGTAGGTTCAAAGAAATGGTACATTATTTCCGCATACAAATCCTTATATGTTGAAAGTTATGCAACAATGCCAATGGTCATATTTCAAGCTTGGACGACCAGGGGCACCCAACGACAATTTTTGGAAAATATCTGTTCGGAAGACGATTTGAGATCTAGAATTTTCGGAACATTAGTTGTAAAATTTCTTGCTTGCCTGCCTCTCCTAGGATTTTCGAACTCTCAAAAAATGGTATAATTGCCCATTTTTAACGGATTTTTACCCTAAAAGGGTCACCTAGAATTTTCGGGAGCCTTTTTTCTAGCTGAAATTTTCGAAAAGGTAGGTTTTTGATCCCTATAATTTTCGGATCACCAGACTTTCAGCTAGGAAATCCGAACAGATGAAAAATTTTTGGGGATAAAAATATGCCTATATCTACTGTTTTACATACTAAAATACGTTCAACAATGCTATGGTTAAGTGGTTTTGAACTATATTCTCGTTGGGTGCCCCTGCCTAATATAAACAACAGCGCGACTCCCCAAAATGGAGAGCCGCTTATTACTCGCAGTCTAAATAGAAAGGAATAATTTCCTTAAAAAGATATAGAGATCTCTGCTTATCAGCTGCAGTAGATATTTGAGCCTCTTTTACTCAACCACATCGATCGTCACACTCAATACAGTTCTTGGAATGAAAACCGCAGTCGGTGATTAAACATGATTATATTGGTTGTGTGTTGGTCAATATTTCGCCGCTCACATTCACTGAGTAAGCTTGAGCAATATAACTCGGCCAAGCACGCGACTGGATAACTTACTTCTACTTGCAGTTCAATCTTTTAGTGAGTCTAGCAGTACTTTGTCGTCTGGACCCAAACTACGATAAATAAGTTTGGAAAAAAATTGAATATCACGCTTAATAATTTTAAACTGCTTTACATAAAAGTATTTAGACATTTTGACAAGAATTTAATACTTGCAGAAACACTTACATTTAATCCAACTATTCTGGATTACTATAATCTATTATTATTATTAAAATTATTATTATTATTATTGTTGTTGTTGTTGTTATCACGGCCTGTTTGAAATTTTTAACACATCAGTTTTATTTAGACATCACGACTATCTTAATTCACAAGAAAGATAATTCATTTCAAGTCAGGATAATTGGCTTAGTCCTAATTTTAAAAAGCGCACTATTTTTAACTCTTAGAGAGCAAGAAAGGTGAAAAAACGAAACCAGGTTCGGTTTTACATCCTTCGGTATTTCATTCTAAAATAGGCGGCTCAAGTTTAGACTCAAAAATCCAGATCGATGCCTTTAAATTCTTTGCAGTCGTGAAAGGGGTTTCGTTAACAGTCAGAAGTAATTTTAATTAAATGAAGAAAATTTTCAATTCACTTACATCACTAGTTTCACGTAGTTATTTTAATGACACATGTGCCACACTTTAATATATCTAACACTTTTCATGCCACCCCTATCGAAACCAAAACATGCCCTTGTTCATGGTTCAGCCACGGGGTCAGTTTTAAGTAGAGGTTTGTCAAACGTTTAATGCGACGTCTTTTGACAAGTATTACTAGTTTATATCTGTCAAATTAAGTGATGATGAATATGTGAACAATCAGGGCTAACTTTTTAACTCATACCTTGTAAATGCTGAAAATGTGACCAATAACTAAAATGTAGGACCACCGTATACCACGTTTGAAACCTCGATGTGGCTTTTAAACCCAAGTAATGAGGCCTCGGTGAAAATAGAGTTTTATCATGAAACGGCGACTTTGAAAAGAAATAGACTAAATCGTCCAGTGTTTACAGAGAAGGGCTTCCGCAGAGGTATATACCTTTAACTGCCAAAAATAAATTCCATCAATAAAGAACTACGTTTTAATAACTTACCTTTCCCTTCGCGTGCCGCCAAGTGCGCTTCGCGTGATCTAGCAATAAATACTATATGCCTAAAGGAAACATTAAAATATCGTTCATTGTCCTTATCCTTGAGAACGGCATTCCAGAACATTGTCCTATTGTTTTAAACATCATTATGATTCATTATTTTTAAATTGTTACAGCCTCTGGGTTTTTCTGTCCTCTCACTATGGTAACCTACTCACCCAAAAGGCTTTAATGAAGCAGTGAGTCGTACGTCAGTCTTTTGATGTCATTTCAAAAATCTTACAAACGCTTCTGTTAAATAGAATCCCTTCTTACCGACTTTTCAGTTAACTCTCCTCTTATAACACCCCTTCAAATTAACAATCCACTCTTCGCCAGTGGGAGGCCGGTTAACGACTCAAAAACTTCTGAAAATAACCACCCTAATAGCAAGAGGTATTAAATCCAGCCATCTAATGATGACTCATCTAATAAGTCATACCTTTGTTTCAGTATCGACTATACCCTTATCCCAGGATCAAAACGGGTGCATCACTAACTTTCGAGACTGTGATTAGAATTCTATGGTGTGAACATTCAACAACAACAACAAAGAAGCAAACAAACAAACAAACTTTATTTCAAAACAATATAAAAGAAAACGAGGAACATAAATGAACGTTTCAATAAACCCTCCTTTTCCATTTCAATGAAATGAAGGGTGAAAAGAAGTTTCCTTCCATTTTTATAGAATTTTGACTTTGCAAGTGAATGGGTTTAACGCCATTTTGCTTTGGAGTTTAGCTAGATCATAATTACCCACATCAACATCAATTATCCATCTTCATTCGAGCATAAAATTCTTTCTGGAGTGTTCGCCAGATATAGAGATCCCGTCTTGTAATGATTCTTTTCGATGCCCTCTTAATATTGCTACAGCCAGTTACAAGTGACCACGTGACAAAGTTTAGGGCGCTTATTGGTCGATCAGACCGGAACAATACTAAAGAGAATTCCACTATTGATCAATACCATACAGCCGGATTAGTGTATTCCGAATAGTATGCAAGCCATTATTGATTTTTTGGCAATAACTTTCGAAAAAAGCCTGCTTCATTTTCAAAATAACCGGCTCGGCCTTAGCCTTTAAACGACCACCTCCTCTCCTCGAGCAAAATTGGGGAGAGAGAGGTCTGTCTCCCTGATTTTGTTTGAGGGGAGGGGGTGGTTGTACACAGACTAGTTCGGACTTTCCTTTCGAACTTCGTACCCAGTGTCTCTTTGGGATGGGCGGGAACATTTGGCGCCTTGATATCTGCCTCGTACCAAGACGTCCCTTGCCTTTCGTCACCAGTCACTCGCGTTTCGCGTTCGCTTCTGTGCAAAAGGAGGCGGCAGTCGATATACTGACAGTGTCAGTGTACATTGTACCCCCGAGGGTTTAATTTTTTTTTTCAGTTCATATATATTTGCGATTACGTACAGAGTATACATTTAACTACTTACTTAACGTTTCATAATCATTGCGCGATTATTTAGTAAAATTCATCGTATTGCTGTTATCGTCGTGATAAAAATCTCATGCAGTTCCGACTAAAATTGTTGATTTTCATAATCCGCATCATTAGTAATGCTACTAGCCTCTGCAGATGATTCACTGAAAATATTATCTGACTTGTATGAGGAGTCATTTTCAATATTGCTCTCTCCTTCAATCTTACTGTGATTTCCATCCACTGACTCCACTTCTTTAATATTATTTTGTTTCTCTAGGTCCGAGCTACCATCCAAAGTATTCACATTTTCTATTTCTCGCTCGTCGTCCCCTGAAACACTTTTCATTTCCATGTCATCTTCATCCGCATTTTCTGAAAAGTTATTCTCACTTGTAGCAAGGTTTTCAATATCATTCCTCTTTGCTCCATTTGCGACTTGAGCCTTTTTAATCAGCTGCAGCTTGTGCATCAAATTATCAGCTCTTGTCTTGTGTTTCATCTTGCTATACAACATTGCCAATGACTCTTTCATTAACACATTAAACTTTTTAGGGATCAAACCCTTTTTCCCTTTATTAGCCTGGTGGAGAATCCCCTTCAGCATGTAATACACGTCTTTATCGTATTCTGCATGAGTACTATGCTCTTTTTCTATTACAGTTACATTGTTCATCGGAGGGCATTCCTTGTGATGTCTTTTGCCACTGATTACTGCAATATTATCAAGAACTTTCTTTAAAATCTTTTCATTGGTTTCGGACTCCATCCAAGGTGCCCAGTATCCTTTGTTGCTTCCTGTGTGGTATGCTGGATCTCCTTCCGGGTCTCTATCAGGGAACCACAATGGACGAGCATTTTTCTGGTATTTGATAAGCCTGTGAAGCAGCTTTTGAACAATGTCAAGATTGGAGTGCGCTATGTTATTGTACTCACAGGGATCTGAAAGAGAAATGCCAAAACAAAAGTCGGTAAAGGCTAATATAGCTTGAGAGGGCAGCTGACATCTCGTGACGCCAACGCAAAATGACGTCTGAGATACGAGCAATGATCAAATTTCCAACCAATCACAAGCACTGCCCAGATTTGGGTAGTGACACGTCATTAGTATGGATTTTCTGCGCCCGTTTCTTAGATTTCATCAGTTCCGCGTAGAAACCAACGGTAGTGTCATGAAATCTCAGCTGTTTTGTCAGGCGAGGCAGGTTAAAACTTTAAGGAATATCACACAAACGTCTAAAAGTACTGAGACTGAGAAAACACCAGGCAAGCAAAAGTGGAACATTTTACATTTACAATAAGTCAGCTTGTCTATCTTTCATAGAAGTACAGCAACCGTGACAACGATGCTTCTTAGTGCCGGTCTAAATTGATTTCTTCATGTCTTTGATTTTGTATCTTTAAGACCAGCCCTGTGATTGGCTGAAAATCCCGCTCCACTTTTTCAACCAATCAGTATGAACTGGGTGCTCGCCCTGGTTTTAGTGCGTTGGTGACGAATCGCTTAAAGATAGCCCCGTTGAGAGAATAGTTAACTTGGCCTCAGGGAGGGTGTGTTTCCTGGCGGGGAGCTCACCAGTAATACAGTGTTGATTATTTGAGTTGCTGCAAAACTTAAGGTAAGTTAAAAGATAATACACTGACAACATCAAAAATCGATGTACCTTCTTCGATATTAAATAAGCAAGGAAAAATATCAGTATCGCAAGAAGCCGCTTCACTTTTGTCCCATTTCCCGCACTTGATAACCGCGCCAGGTAACGTGGAGGGCTGCTGATCACCGTCCAATTCTTCGGTGAAGCTGTAGCGCGGGTGCCATGTAGTTTTGAACACAGCATCTTGGTTAATAATCAGCTTGTACTGTTTCATACGAATGGCTGCAAACTTGCGGATTGGGTCTATGTTGTGAAGAACCTAGAGCAAACGTAATGAAATAAAGAAAAGTAAAACGGAGAATCGGAATTGAAGAAATGAAGAAAGAAACAGCGCTTTTCTCCAAGCTGTATGTTGTTGTTTTTTTGGTTAATGTTCTTGTTTTACGATAGCATGTTTAGACCAAAATTGTTTCTCTTTACCTCAGTTCTTGGTGACTTTTTGCCATGTGCAATAGTGTCCCACTGATTCATGCCATCAATCTTATCCTGGATGGCAGTAACGTCACCTCCGGCCAAATGATAGAAGGTTGGTAACCAGTCTGTGACGTCAATCAAGTCATAGCTGACACGCCCTTTCTTCTTAATCAGCTTACTGTGTACAAATCCCACTCCACGGACCCCTCCCTCCCAGAAGGTGTCTTTACCTCCTTTAAAGGGAAAGTTACAGCCTTGATTCCTACAGAGGTTGAAATTAAAGACAATTTCTTGATTTGATGATCTAATTTCAGTATTATCTTCAGTAAAGAAAAGCAAAGAGTGATGAAACTGCTCCATCTTTTTATACCTAAGCGGTATACTTTTATTAAGCAAATGCAGAAACAAAGACTGAAACCCGAGTTGTTAAAAGGACTGGCCGTATTCCACTCACATCACATAATTAGCTGGTCTTTTCCACAGGCTTAGGCTTACGTAGAAAGGTAACATACATTTCTATATACAGTCTATCCTCCGCTAACGGCCACCTCCCTACAACGGTCACTTTTTTTTGTCCCGGCGGACAATCCATGCATTGACTCTTGTTTAAAACCTCTCTGCAACGGCAACCTTCTTATAACGGCCACTTTCTTCTGTCTCCAAGGTGCCCGTTGTAGAGAGGTTCAACTGTATTAAAGAAACTAAGGTGCCAACACAAAAAGCTATGCGTTATATTATGAACAGCAACGGCACAGAACTGGAACAAGTCGCTTACTTCCGTCTTAGTGGATTCCAGTCCTCACTCCCACTTATTCACTTCCGCCACGGTCCCAATACCTGTTCACACTGCACCAAAGTGAGGCACAGAACCTATCCGATATGCGACGCTACACTTTCGAGATCAGTGCGGCCATGGGCTCCTGGTGCGGCACAGCTTCTGTTCGCTCCGTTACAGAATTCGCGCCGAAATCACCGTCCTCATATGTGAACAGAAGCCCTCTCCGGTATAATTTTCGCGCCGGCGCAAGAGCTAACTGGTATATTGTGAACATAGCCTAAGAAAATCGGATCACTTTAGGTTTCTAGGAAACTGTCCACCCACCCCACCCTAACCCATATTTCTGCCCTTTAGTCACACGTCAGTGAGAAACATGGGTTAGGGGTGGGGTGGGTAGGCAGTTTCCTAGAACCTAAACTGATCCTATTACCAGTTAAATCCTCTGGGTGCACCTCCGTTGTCAGTAGTGAAGACAATAACAGAATTATCATATAATCCTGTTCTTTTCAGAGCTTTAGTTATGTTGCCAACTGACTCATCTAACGAAGCTACCATCGCCGCGTACATTTTTCTTTCGTCAGATGAAAAACGGGGTAATTTCTAAATACAAAATTGAGATGACATAATTAGACATAGAACCTACATACAACTTTTGTAAGCTTTGTTTGTACCTTGCGAAAATTCACTCTGTAGTTTTAACCCTGATTTTTTTAACCTCCCAATTATTTAAATCCATATTCGTTTTTTGCCTTTTTCCTAGCAGGTTCTAAAAATCCAGATTTTGCTTTAAAAAATTAATACTTGATTGATTTGTATGCTGACTTCCATTGCAATGAGTCGTGGAAAAGACAAACGTTCGAGCTTGAAGACCTTGAATTTAAAGTGAGATAACTGCCAGTGAATTCATCAAAGCAGCCTATAAATACAGGGTTTTTTTCTTTTTGCTTGTGTGGGACCCTTCACCTACTTTCCAAAAACCTTATTTGGCAAGGATATGTCGAATACACCGAATCTTAACCAATCTTTCCATTGTGCAGCCGGGCTCATGCATTTAGTTCATAAATAAAGCGAAAAAAAAACATTTAATGAGAAAAGTATCTTTTTAAGAGCACTGGCCTGATATTCAGGGCCCCGTTTCTGAAAGTGCCCATACCTTTTTGGGCCCGAAAAGCTGTTTTATGTTTGTCGTGTTTGTATTCAAGATCAAAGTTTCAATAATTTTGAAAATGGTATATTGAAACTAGCAGTTAACGAAGCAAATTGGCCGGTTTGTGAGTTAAGAACTGTGCCTACTATTCAACAGGTGTTGATTTCAAAATATGGACCCGAAAAGTTACCGGGCCTTTCGAGAAACAGGCCCTTGCGGAGACGAGATAAAATCAGGGTCGAACGTCCATCGCGTATGCTCTATTCTCACTTACATCCAGCAGTCTTTTCGGTGCTTGCAGAGGATCTTGTTCATTGGCTGAGTGAACAGCTTGTTGTGCGAGGTACAAATAAAGTGGCTCAGACTTGTTGTGGGTATCTATAATCCGTTCAGCTATTTCTGTATACAACTCTGTACCATAGTGACCGCTTTCATTTTTGACAGGCTACAGAAAAATAATAGTGAGAGAAAGATAAAGTTTCTACCACCAAAATCAGCCAATGTCTTAGAGCAGGTAGGCCAAAAAAGAAGTAATTGAAGAAAAGAAAATTAAAAGAAAAAACTGAAAAAGAAAAAAAAAACAGTAACTCTGTGGAATGAACTGAAACTCGCTTTTGAATTCTCTGTATTAAGAACTGGGCAGGATCTTGAGATAGGTCTGTTAGGCGTGCTAAATAAAAAAAAATTTTGTCACTTTCTAAGTTGGTATTTTAGCCATGTAGGTACCTGTATGCCGTATAATTCAAAAAGCCAAATAAGATACCATTCTCGTTCCTAGTGTCTCTCAGCTTTATTTTAGACCAAAACAAACGACAGGATCTGATCATTCGCCACTTTAGAAACGGCAAGGGAACTGTGCCGAGCTAAACTTTCGCAAAGCCGCCTGGGACTGTTACTGGGGACAGAGGAAAAAAATTGGCCAATAGCCGATAGGCGCATCCCCAGTACGCCCGTGGTAAGGTTGTTGGTGACGTAGCATTCTCATTCCCCACTTTAGAAACGAGAAGGAAACTGGGCCGAGTTAGCCTTCGCAAAGACGTCTGGGATAGTTGCTGCAGACGTCCCTATCAGCTATTGGCCAATTTTTTTCCCCTGTCTCCTGTCTTTGCGAAGACTAACTAGGCCAAGTTTCCTTTTCGTTTCTAAAGTGGGGAATGAGAATGCTACGTCATCAACAACCCAACCATGAGCATGCGCATAATAGTTTAGCCTGAGTCTACCTCCATGTCATTTCTCAGATCTGTACCCCAGACATCTTCTAGTGATGTGTGGTCCCAGTAGTCCTCCTTTCCATTCCAGAAGCCGTAGTAACTCTCAAACCCGCGATACAGGGGCGTGTACTCCTTCTCAAAAAATCCAAGATGCCACTGAAAGAAAACATCCAGAAACAATTAAGCTGGAAAGACGATTAGAAATTAACTAAGTATTCAGACTTAAACGAGTAAAGTTTCCCTGTTAAAATAATTGTCAAAAGACAATCTCGTTCTCAGGACCTTCATTAATCAATTACCTTGATCTCAGAATATACCTGAAATAAACGGCTTTTCATTATCCATAGAAAGTCACTGTTTTGCAGTCTACCTCTCTAGGAATTCAACTCCAGAAAAAATTACCAACAACTGACGAATTGAGCGAGATGGAATAGCCGCGACAAAGTTTGCAGCAGCGCGAATTCAATTTTTAAGTGACGTTTGAGTAGCCGCGCTGTCGTTGTCGCTTAAGCTGCTTAATCTACCTTTCCTACGCCGTGGGTCCGGTAACCAAGTGCCTTGAGATATTGTGGTGCAGTGGCCTCGCCCAACGGAAGACCGTACGGCTGAGTACCAAATATGGTTGCATGTTGAATACCTGTAAAATATTACGTAAAAACTAATTGACTGAACAATCACTCAAATATAAGCCTCATATCTCTAAAGCTAAAGCAATAAAACAAAATCAGAAGTAAGAATAAAATTCAGGAAAGAAGCACCTGTTAAGGCTACAGTTACCAAATCGCCCGGGCAGTGGTACTCATAACGGCTCATCAGCATGGCATAATTCTTGGTTTTAGGGAGTTCTTTGCACTCGTAAGGCAGGGTCTGTGACCGCCAGCAAGTGAGACTCTTTTCCCTGGGAATACTATGCTGATGAGTGAGTGCCGAGTGGTTTCTGCCCCATGCATCATTCGAACATTCATGATATAGGCACCCTTCTCTCGAATTCTCTTTCTTTGTTATTAAGATTATTTTTAAAAGGAACCTATCGGTGGCTGTCAAATCGTCTCTTAATCATCCTTAAATGTTTCTGTTATGGTCTCTTTTAATTCGAATTCCAAGTAATTCCAATAAGGTAGAGTTTTGTAAGACCCTGTAAACATAATTTTTGTACTCAATGGTCACTCTTAATAGATCTTTAAGGGAGGTCAAAAGACTTTTCTCTGCTCGTATGGTCTAATTCTTTGTACTAAGGCTAATGCACAGTGGGTTTAATGGCTATTTGTGGCGGTCGAATTTTCACTCCAGAGTTAATTCTCTGTTCCTTCATTTGTTCTCACTGCAGGAGTGATTTGACTGTATGCATGGGTAAGCGGAGCTTCCTTGCTTACTTTTGGTGAATGAGATATAACTTACCTAGGTTGACCGGATGTTTACCGGTCATAATAGAGGCCCGGGTTGGAGTGCAGATTGGTGAAACGTAATAACTGTTTAATATCACACCTTCGTTGGCCAACTTATCGATATGTGGAGTGGGGATTTGGGGAGAGCCATGAAAACTAACGTCATCCCAGCCCTAAAAAACAGAATGCAGCAGAAACTCTTTGAAAATACATGTTTCAACCTTTCTAAAAGAAACCTTTTAACAAGGAGAACTGTCCATTTCAAGGTATCCACACGTTCAATCACTCTTGCTATCACCAAAATGAACAAAAACGATAACTTTGACCAGTGAATTCTTTCCAGTCGCGCCAATTTGCTTTTAGTTTTTCTTTTCCTTCCATTTCCAAACTAACATCCTGCACAGAATACTTTCCGTGAAACCTCTGATTGGTAATTCCAAGCCACAACAAAGCAACTGAGTGTTTCGATTTTTGGCGAAAAAGAAAAGACAAACTAAGGCGGACGAGAAACTAAGATGCTCCCTGTTTTCCTATATTTGAAGACTGTAAACTTCACTATTGTTCCCCCGATGAATACTTTTTTTAGCCACTTCCACCAAGAACTGCTGTTTGCCTCTGAAATTTTATTTAGGTTCAGTTTACTTATAGTAAGATGTTCCATACCAGGTCATCAGCGACAATCATGATTATATGAGGTCTGGGAGCTTTCCAATGTTTCGACTTCGACGTCTTTGCTCGTTTTCCAAGCACTTTGAGTGAATTTAAAATCACAGACACAAGACTGATTAAAAGAAAATAATAACATTAAAGAACGAAAATATTACTTAAATGGGTGTCACTTGTTTGCGCAAAAGCAATTTAAACAAGTCTGTAAACGAGGCTAGAGAAGTCGATCCACTATCCTAAGCCCATGCTCTGTTAGTTCCACTGCGGGACAAATTGGAGAAACTTGCAAAAGCCAAACAAAGTATTTCAAAGATTAGGATGTTACTCGCACTGTTCGAAGTTTAATTCGTTTCCATATGCTGTCAATTTACTGAACCTTTTAAAAGTTACTGAAAAAGTTATAATTTTTGTAATTATTCGCGCCATTATAGCGATTATACATATTTACTTTGCATGTTATTCATTGTCCATATTTCGCTTAATGGCAAATGATAGCCCACTAAACAAAATAAGAAAAAACGTCTCATTCCACGGAGGAATTCCCGGTAGCCCTGACGAGTTTGCCAAGGCACGGGCGTCTTTATTCCTCACGATTTATTTGCTCGGGTCACGTGGTCTAAGCGTCGGATACGTCACCGACACTGCATAACCTTGAGGTCCTGGCCCTGTTTGAACTTCAAGAAAAACTAGATTTTGCCGTTTGCAAGAAATTTAAAAATTTTGTAATTACCAATTTATTTGTAACTTTGTTCGCACCTGAGACACGCGAAATTTTTCGTGCAACCAAAAAAGATCGTCGGTTAAAAAAGTAACTTTAATTGACCACGTTCGCGAACTAAGATGACCCGACGAAGGGGATAGTATTCAAAGAACAACGGATTTTATCGCCTTCAAATCTATTGTATGGCATCTTTAAAGTTTGGTGACTCTTGAGACAATTTTGGCAGGTGAAAAAATTCGTTCGCGCTGTAAATGGCACCCTGTTGAATATACCCATAGGCAAGTTTACAAGCTGTTTTGTGCCTTAGCGTTCCTTTGGGAGAAAAGCGCAAAAAGAACTTCGTTTTAACGACTGGCAATCGAGCTTAGAGAAACTAATATCCAGCTTGGACATGATGAATAACGAGTCGAGGTTATTTTTTAATAAGATTATTTCCACCAGGTACCGTACCTGTCAACGATTGACAGCATGACAATCCACCTGTCTCTAGACCTGCAGTTTAAGTCTTCCTCTTGTTGATATCAATTTTCAATAATAAAATAAAGAGAGAAACATCTCTCTAATTTAATATCAATAAGGGCATAAACCTTTTGTGTAGTTTCGTTTTTTTTTCAGTAACCGGTTTTTTTTAAACAGCTATGTACCCATGCTGTAAAGGCCATGCAGATTAGCCACGAGATTTTCGTCTCGACTCGTTTTATTTCTCATGTTGTTATTATGGGCAAAGGTAAGAGTACTGGTCATTCTTGAATATTAAGATCGACGTTCAAAGCCGAGAAAATCATTTAAAAGCTCATGTTTCTGATCCTGCAAAGAATTGCCGGGTTTATTCGGTGTGGTGATATTCAAACGCGACTCTCAGGCTGTCATAGACACTATCGCATTCTGAAACCACGTGTCTGGAAGATAATCATATTCACGTGACATAATGTACACTGCCTTAAAATCCAGGCTGTTAAGAATTGTTAGTCCAGATATACGAATTTAGCGCAAACCTTAAGTACAGGATTTACACGACGGCTGGTAAGTTGAACATACCAGGGAGACGCGTTAACCGTTAAATTAAGGCGTGATGAGAAATACAAGCAAAAAGGAAAATTGTGTAATTAAATTAAAGAGCGAGAGACATTACATCGCCGAGAAAGTAACTGCTAAATTAATTCGACGAATCTAACAGACCGAACAACTTATGTTCGATTCTCTAATTTAAGATCAATGGCATCTTTCTAAATCGACTTGGATGCTGTGAAACACTAATCAAATCCATGTGGATTTTACAAAAAGTACCATGGCTTGTGAATTATTTAACATGGCATTTAACAAAACCCGAGTCCAGCCCAACCTTCACACTTCCAGAATGACGGTTATATTCAGAATTTATTTGGAATAAAGCAGCTAGTAATCTTGCCGCAAGAACCAGCCTCCACTAGGGTCATGAGAGAATTGAAAAATTACTTGCTTGAACTTGTAAGATGACGGAATAAATTGCAAGGCTTCGAACAAATTTGATTTTAAAAATAAAACCTTACTTTTGATCAAAGCTGTCAATCTAATTAAACTAAGCCATCGAAACATTGCCACTTACCATAGCTTCCAAAGTAAATCAAACCACAATGCTCTAGAGACCATGTTGGTAAGCTGAAAGAAACACAAACACACTAGAGAATTTGTCCTATTTACTTTATGGCCAATTATAATCTAAGGTACATCTATTATTTATTATGTACTTGAATCGCAACAACCCTAACCCTAAATAGAAGCTAACTCGAACCAAAATCGATTTTCCCTGGACTTCCGTCATACATTTACTGTAATTTTACCCTCGGTAACTCGAACCCTTGATTAGTCCATGGGCCAATCCAGATTTTGGTACCAATTTGAGGGACAAAGGATGATTGCTGCAAATTGATAGCATATAAGGTGGAGATTGAAAATTTGTATGATAACCTTTCTGTAGCAGTAGCTTTCAAGGTATTTTTTTCATGTAAAAGTGCCGGAAATGACCTATGAGCATACTAAATGTGCACTTCATATGTACTATATCTTTTGTAGTTTAATTTATTGTGAGAGACATGAGAAGTTTTTGTTGCACTTTTTTATCGCCAAAATATTATTTGTTCTGAATTTAACCAAAGTAGAGCGAAGGAAACTCGAAAGTAGCCTTCGCATTGCATTATGGGTAAAATCCAAAATGGCGGCTACCATGGCAGGGTAGTGGGTTCTTGATTTGCCGGTTTAATAGCCATTTTACCAAGTAAAACGCAATAATTTCAAGAAAAGTGAGCAAAATAATCTAGTTAATAAAGCGCTTAAACTTTCTGAGGCAAAAGTCTTTGAACTTTTGACTTAATAAACAGAATTTTGGAAATACTTACAGATCTTGTAGAATGTTCACTTCGATAATCCGATAGAAATTGAATGTACGTATTTGGCTCATATCGATCATACACATCTGCTTATATATTTATAAATTTTGAAATATAATCTAATTTTAGGAATGATCAACCTGTTGCAGTCAACATTATTTGAATTATCGGTTATTCGGTAATGAAAACTCAATATGATATGCCAATTTTTAATACATAGATACATATGGTTTATTTAAACACGATAAAATCATCAGTCTGAGAAGGTTAAGTGAAGTAAAAAGGATATAAAGACTACATACACCTGAATGGCTTACATAATAACCCTGCGCTGGGAAACAGAAAAATTGAAAGCAAACTGGTTTACTTCCCTTTTGAATTGACATAGCGATGTTATTCTTCGTATGTTTTTTGTGGTAACTCATTCCAAATCACGGCACCGCTATGGAAAAAAAAACTTTTGGAAGTCCAGACTTTCGTAAATTATGATATACCGTATGTGCTGTTATGTCCCCGTTTATTGCAGTTGATTGCAACTTAAACGCTGAAAAATATTCATCTGACACAAAAAGGGTCCTCATCTAAGAGAGGTGTTGATGATGCTGAGGAGTCAAATGCAGTCAAACGATTCTGCAAGAAGAAGTGGATCATTTACTGCACCGACGACGGCAGTGATTTAGTTAATCCTAAAGACGAGGAGTCGTGGATTATCCCAGCCATCATCCAATAGCCAGACTCACCAGGAGCAAGTGGGTAGGAGAGTCTCTATTCGAGGATCTTCTAATATTTCCACAACATACGAGCGCAATTGTATTTTTGGTGAAAAGCCAAAAAATTTCAAGGGTACTAGGAATCGTGAGCCTTTAGTACAATGCCGAGATATGCGTGCAGATAGCTCTATCTTAAAGATTGCTACACAAAAGAATGACAGCAAGATGCTTGCCCTTGTGTCGCGCCTGATATGAGCAGTGAATCTTCGGATGATGAATATGCCCGTCTAGAGTCAGATGTTTACTAGATGCTTTTTGATTGTGATAGAAAATGAGAAAGACGTAAGGCTGTTTGAGATGACCCAGTTACTTGTTCAGTATCTTATGTCATTACGGGCTAAGGAATGTAAGCCATCAACAAAGACGCATATCAAAAGGAACATAGAAGCATAATTATATTGATCCAGTTTGAAAACTTGCTAGACAGCAACCGTGTATTCGTAATCCCTGCTAGCCTAACGCCAGTGCAAATCGCCAGAAATGTACTAAATATCCTTATGGCAGAAAAAGAAACCAAAGGTTCAACAACAAAGATCTCCAATATTCAGAAAGCTGCGCCTGACATCCGCGATGCTTTTCTAAACAAAGAAAGCAAAATGTCATGGCCACCGCGCCCTTCAGAGCTCAATGACAGTGCGTTTTTGCATACCTTGCTGACTGGTAGCAAATATTCGTTAGAGAGATAATGTTGTCAAAGAGTCCAGCGGTTGATGAAGTCGTTCGCGCAAGACCTGGTATTTGGAGTAACCAGAGGGATGATTAAGCCACCTAAACAAATTCTTCTGTCGTACACTGTAAAAACTCTTACAAACAGTGTGGAGCTACTGTCTATACTAAACTGTTATGGTCATGGTGTTTCTTATTCCCAGCTTGAGGATGCAGGTGAGCGTCAACGCCCTAAGCCTAGCCTGCGTAGCAAGCGTTTCCAATCGAGTTATTGCGCGAAAGTTAGAGCGGAAGTTCCCCACCCCCTTCCCCGTCATTCATGTTTTTTTGCTCTTGTCCCAGCTTTCTAGACGAACCTCGCGAGGAAACGCTTGCTACGCAGGCTACCCTAAGCCAAGAACATATGTTGAAGTAAATTGCCAGGAAGCGTTAGAAAATACCCGAAGAAAAAACCTTTTGTGGGTTTTAGTGCGCCTTCTTTCATCTCTCTCATGCAGCCAGATCGGATAACAGTACATTGATTGTGGTACCAAAAGATACAGATGTCTTTATTCTTTGTGTGTCATTTGAGTACTTATTTCCGTCTTCAATAGTTTTCAAGTGTGGAACACAACTGGTTGGGACACAGTAAGTGCTTTTGCTGGACGGGGTAAGATTGATGCACTTCGAATTGTCAAAGAACAGAGATCCTTTCAGGAAATGTTTGACCTCTTCGGAGTGGAATGGGAATTCTCAGATAATCTATTCCAGGTGCTTCAGAATTTCACCTGTTGTATGTACAGTTCCCACCCAGGGACAAACAGCATCAATGAGCTTAGATATAGATTGTTCTGTTCAAAGAGAGGTAACATCGAGTCCGGCCAACTACTGCCTTGCGCTGATTGCCTGTATAAACATAAGACATGGCTGAATTCAGGATGAGAACAAGTTAGGGATTGATTGGATGAGTGGTCAGCCAGCTCCCGCAACGGTTTTACAGCTACTCTCTTGTTCTTGCACCAAATCTTGTATAGGTTCCCGAACTATAGCTGCCTTGCGAATGGTCTTAAGTGCACAGACATGTGCCGGCTCTCCAATTGTGACAACAGGCGAGAAGAACAAGCTGTCACAGTAGACGTCGATGCTGATGATTACGAGAGTGACGAGGACTAGAATATGTGGTCTGATTCTGTTTTTCAGCTTATTGCCTTTGGCTGTCAACATGATAAATAAAATGTGTGTGAATTTATTGACCACAGAAGAAGTCGTTGCTACATTTAAACATATGACTTGCCAAATGTGTACCCAAAATACATAAAAAAACAAATGGTCATTAAAAGAGGAATTATAACGTGTTGCGTGTCAACCTCGGATGTCTAAAAGGCATGACTTCACTGAAAAACCACAATTAGTACTAGTACTTTTGCTAGTGATATGGAGAAATCTCTAGCAAAGCGGAAGAGTTTGCCTCTATGGTGTTTTAGTTTACAGCTTTAAGAGCAGCTTCCTTCACAGCTTGAATTATGAGGATTTTGCATGTTCCTTTCAGTTTTGTTCGTTTTTGGGCACTTCAGGGGACAAAATTGGCATGTTTGGAAATCAAAGATGGCGGATCCAATATGGCCGCCAAAAAGGTAATGTCGTATTAAAGCAGCGCCATAGGTAGCTATAACACCTGAGTCAAGCTAGTATCCAGTTGTCATCTAGAACTATCATTTAACAGATTTTTCAAACATTTAATTTTTATTAATTTAGTTTATATCGACCTTCTGGTTTAAAAGGCTGCCTTTCTACGTTACCATGGCAACCAACACCAAAATCCATCTAATTTTGTTACAAAAGCCTCAAAAATCACTTGCAAAACTGTGGTACCATTTAATCATCTAGACGTGTCCCCAAAACATGAGTAAAAATATGAGTAAAAACTTATTTATGTACATTTATTCGACATTGTTGAAAGCTGAGTGACGTCACTTCATTACGTGATAAACCCTATAAAACTACTCATCTGACGTGGTTATCATACATTAAAATAAACTAGAGGATTCATAGTTTTTAAAAAATATAAGCCACTCTTTGTCCCTCTTTTTGGTACCAAATCATCAAATTTGGGGTCCTGGCCCATGGACTATGATGACTCGAACTCCCGCTAACTCGAACCAATTTTCGTTTCCTCTCAGGTCATTTTCCATATAATTTTACCCTCGATAACTCGAACCATGTTTTGAGCCCTTAAAAAGTCGGGAAAAAAACCGTCTACTGGCGTCCGAAACATTGAATTTTGGATTTCCTATTAACGTGTTGTAGGAGTATAGTTTACTAATGGAGGCTGATGTTGATTGCCACAGGCTAACGTGAAGCAGCTTTACTTCTCAAAACAGTAAAACGCATGCTCTATTTAGGCTATGTTTTGTTACGTTACGTTCTGTTTTGTAATCTAGAAGTATCTTTAGATTTTCACTTGACATTTCTACAATTAAATGTTACTACAATGTTCACTGTGCAGTAAAAAACTGTTTTTTACCTTACTCTCGGTTATTTTCTTCGAGCTCCCGATAACTCGAACTTTTTCCGATTTCCCTTGAAGGTTCGAGTCATCGGGTGTCGACTGTATTTACGTAAAATTTGTATCAGCTAAAAGAAAGGAGCCTCTGAGAACAGGTGCGCGAATTTTGCGTGAACAGTCAGTTCTCGTACCTTATCAAAGCGTTTGATCCCTGGGTATCAACCTAAGCCTTTTTTCAAGCTGCTCACTTAAAATCACATGAAGATTATTAAGCTACGTGCAAACGGACGCAACAACTCCCAACATTGTCGAGAGTTGTTGTGTCCATTTGCACGGATCTAAACCTTTGACCAGTTTAAAAAACTTTGCGTGCAACAGGGTGTGCAAACGTACCAAACATGTAACATCCAACAATGTTGCGTCCGTTTGCACAGGGCTTTAGACATTTTGAGGTTCGCGTGTGGGACTGGGCTGGTGTTGCGGAACTGCACCACGGGCATTAACCATAGGACTGTTTGGAAAACAAGGTCCTGCAGGAAACTGGTTCAAAATTTGTCCCTCAAAACATACCGAGAAGGCACCTCCACACAACACCGACCCAATCTCACCTCGCGCGAAATGGAGAACAACATTGTGTACACCTCATCAGGTGTTAAGGGAGCTTTAGGCCTACTCGTCCCCAACCACGTTCCCAGGGTTCTCTCCTACCCGTCCCTCTCGCTCTATAGGGACGGGTAGGAGCCCGGAACCCTGGCAACGAGGTTGACTCGTCCCAAGCGAATAGCACGGCAGAGCAATGTTCACTTGGGGGCTACAAGAGAGCACAACACTCTCTTTCTTCTTCCATTCCATCAACTCGCCTACCCATCTCTCGTTCTAAAAGTGACTCAAAGGGAAGAACAAACTTGAAACCACCAACACACTCAATCTTGAAATACTTTATTACGCATTCTAAAAAAACAATTTTATTTACAAATTATTCGCCACGATAGTCATGCCAAAACAAACAATAAATACAGCAGAATCTTGGTTAAGAATATATTACAGAAAGAGAAAAATAAGAGCAAAATTAAAAGTATGGTAAGGGAATTATTTGTTTATCAATCTGCCTGCAGATTATAACTTGATTCCTTTTAATATGTAGCACAAAGTAGGCAGGCAGATAATTTTACACAGGACAGTCATGAGTAGGATTATTGACATCATCAAACTAATATGGCAAGCTCTTTCAACCTAAGCCACAGCATTTTAGTTACTGTCAAAGATGTTGATAAATTATTCTCGTATTTTGGATCATCAAACAAGCTTCATATAATATATTATGCTTCTAATTTAGTGACGCAGAAATGGCAAAAAATCCAAATTATTAAATAGATCTTTCATTTGTTGGAAAAACTTTCATTCTTCTTATTCGTGGAGACGAGAAATATTTACAGAGAAGGCAATTTTGAGTATTTTAAGCCGGAAAATTTTAATTCCTACAAGTTTTCAAAAAAAAAATAAGGCAGGTTTAGAGGAGTGAAATTTTCAGGAAATATTTCGTCGGCGTAGTGTTCACGTTAGTCAATAGCTCGTATATTTTAAGGCGAACTGAATAAAGATGTTGTCAAACTCGTTCCCAGGGTTTCCTTACTCTTCTCCCTCTCGCTCCGGCGGACGCGGTTGAGATGTTGTAAGGTGCAAAGCAGCGAAGACAAGCAAATAATACAAATCTAGCAACGATATCCAAGCCCAGGACGGAAACCTTTTGTTAGAATGTTTCCCTCAGATTTGGATCGTTTCGAAAACCTCTTTAGCTCTTGGGAGAAATTTTCGTCTATCATTGGTAGATAACTCTGGGGTTCGCAGTATTCCTGAAAAAAAAAAAAAAGATTAGCGATGCGTTAAATTTTGATTCTCTCGAAATTCAGAAAAGACCTTTCCCAAAATGAGGCTAATAATTTCAAATACCGTAAATGATCGATTAAGCGCCGCAGCGCTTATTTCATTATTGCCCGTTATAGGTGCGGCGCTTATACAAGAGAGGCGCTTATTTCAACTACGGGTAAAACACTGAGAATTTAGAGAGAATTAAGTCAAAATATGTACACCTCGAACCGCTACACGAACCCAGTTTCAAGAGTTTCCTAAGCGATATGGTTTTTACGTCCTTATATCGAGCGCCGTAACAAAGGTGGGTCATTAATTTTAAAAATACCCAAATTACGCCGCGGCGCTTATTCGAAAGCGGCTCTTATTAAATTATTCTCTGTAAAGGTGCGGCGCTTAATCGATCACTTGCGGAACACAAAATGTTTCCAAAAACGGCCCTCCCAAAAAAAGGGTTCTTGAACCAACAAACTGTTCAAATTAAGGCCAGATTTGTCTTTAAGTTTACAAGTTACAGTTTTCACTGAAAAGACGATATGTTGAAAAATCACCTACCAATTAATAAAGAAATTAAGATGAAACTGTTGTAAGATTATAAAAACCGACATTAGGCTGTTTTAGCAACAGGACGGGAACGTCAGTTGGCGACGGTAAGGTGCGCGGAAAGGACTAAACACGACTTTCGGTACCCAATTTGCCGCCCTGCCATTGGTCAAGCCAGTTGTTTGATTTGCGCGCGCCGTTGTCAAGTGACGTTCCCGTTCTGTTGCTAAATCAGCCTAATAGGGAGCTTAAGCAGCGACGTTTTTGAGCGACGCACGTCAACCGGAAGTGAGGTATTTTCCCTCTTAACATGCCTTGATGATATAAAATTTGTATTCCTTAGCTTCTTTACTTTTATAGAGGCGATTTGACTGAAAATTTGCGCGAAACCACCGTCAAAAAATGAAAAAAGGCCACTTCCGGTTGACGTGCGTCGCTCAAAAACGTTGTTGCTTAAGCTCCCTAATGTCAGTTACGTTACCTTGCATTTGCTAAAGAACGCTTTGTAGCCTCCTTCAATGAGGTACAGTTCTGGGTAAAATAATTCTGGGTAATTGAACATATGCAAGTCGCGGTCCTTGTTCCGTAAAAATCGACTCCTAAAAAACAAATAAAAACTCGATTAAGCAATCTTCTTACAGTAAATGCCTTGCTATAACTGCAGTGATTCTGTTACCTCTGCGTCCTGCGTCCCTGAGACAAAAATCCTCAAAGACGCAAGAATTAATAATTCATGGCATGTGTCCCATTGCCGGACGCAAAGATCGATCGATCAGATCGACCCATCTGAAGATTTTTATTGTAGAATATCCTGTTCGTGTGATTTCTGTCGCTATTCTTGTGGCTACTTTTTAACAACGCATATTTTTTAGTCTTTGTTGTGCTTTACAATAGAAGCAGTATATTTTTATTTCAGTAAACTGTAATGGCAGAGTTTTGGAGTCAGATTAACTGTCTGGTTACATAAAAGCCCAATTTAGGATTCTTTGTTTTTTTTGAACTGGGACTCATTGGTTATGGACTTGGATTCATGATTTTTCACAAGATGAGTAACCCAGGACTAACCATAACTATTTGTAACAAAATTACTGTACTTCAAAAGATGAACAGTTTTTCCTGATTAATGATAAGGAATTCTTTCAACTCACATGTCAGGTCCTCTTTTGGATGAGAATTCACAGTGAAATATTAAAATTGTCTTCTTTCCCGTCAGACTTTTCTTCGGCTTTTCAATAAATTCACTGAGCATGTCCTCTTTGGTGTAAATGTTCACGGCTCCCTGTATGAAGAAAAACGCAATGTTCAACAGCATTCCTAAAATTATGATCTTATTGACCAATGAAAACGTCACGTTAATTTATTCCGTCCTGATTCCGTCACAACTAGTGAACAAACTGTGCACGGTCAGGAAGCTTCTAACGTCAACTGTAGCACCGTTGTTTTCAACCTTTGATGTTTTCTACCTTTCATAACCAGTCTCCTCTACTAACTATGGCTGCAGTCTCTAAGAATCCAACGCGAGGAACAAATTCAATTAACGGCAAATTGAACTGAGTTGGAATAATCGTAACCTGAGATCAGACCCAATTTTAGCGGTTCTCATACATTCTCTCTAACGGCTACCGCTGACCTTTGCCCGCCGAAATGTAATTTTCAAAGCGAAAAGAAAATAGAGCCTGATCTCAGGTTAGAATAATCGCGATCGAGTTTAAAAGAACGTTTTTTTTTCTTTTTTTATGGCTGCTACGAACTTCGCAAAAGAAAATCTTCTTTTGGGAAGGATAGATATTTTGATCTTGATTATTAAACCATAATAATTTTAAATCACACCTTGATGTGACCCCCTTCATATTCATAAGGATAGCGACAATCTATGATATGAGCTTCTAAATCTGGGTATTCGCCCTCCAGAACACGAGTAACCTGTAGAGAAGGAAGCAAAAAAATGAGTCATTGAAAATTCTTCTGTTGGGACATTAATAAAAGACATTGTTCTTCGTACACCAACACAATTTTGAAAGTTTCCTCAAAGCCTTCACCTTCGGTTGGTTTTCACCTGAGATGAATCGCGACTAGGGATAATACTTCTTTTCTTTAAATATACAGGATGATTTTGCAACCTCAGGCTAGAAATATCAGTGACGATCACTGACAAGTTTTGACAGTTTTCGAAAGCTTCAACCGAACTTTTATTTTATTTTATTGCTGTAGGTTATGAAGAATGATTTTCTTCCCGAGGCTAAAAATTGTCTACCTCCACGTACATTTAAAACAACAACAACAGTTTACTTCTACAACTGTAGACAACTAAAAGAATTTACAAGAACATAATCATAAATAAATAGATAAACAGTACATATAGTAAAACAAAATTGAGATGAAGAATGTGTATCAATTATGCCTTGGAACAAAACTAATCGAATGCGATCAGGTCATGTGCCTTAAAACCGCGGGAAGTCAGTGATGTGCCACTCGCGCCAAGCCATTTTTCCTTCTGGGCGAAATCCCATGCAGGGGGCAATAACAAATTAAAACACCTGATGACTGGCAGCACGGAAAACAAGATGCACAGTTTTCCTTGGCACCTGTCATTAGGTCCTGATTATTTATTACAATGACATTACCGTTTCTGGTGTTAAGCACTTCAAATCTTCATGTTGCCCAGGTATAGATGGAAGGGTGTAAGGCTAAAAAAATAAAAAGCTAAATGAAGTTTGGTTTTGTTTAATACTACATATTTCGTCCATTTTTGGTTCCCGCAGTCCCTCGATACACTGCTCAAAAATTACCCGCGCTGCAAATTCCCATCTTCCGTCCTTTCATAACAAGATTTCTTTTAAGTCGTACTTCCATAGGACTGTTAGGGTGTGGAATAGTCTCCCTCGTTCTATTAAGCATGCTACCTAACGCTCAACAGTTTAAAAATTTTCTACATGCTCACTATAAGAACAGGCTAAGTATTCTTATTACGCACACCCTCAAATTGAAATAACTCAGTATGGCCAGGGCTAATTGAAGATTGTATTCCTACATAGACATTTTTTTTTTCACCTGATTTCAGTATGTCTGTCATATAATTTTAGACATTATAGGGGTTGAAAGTCAATTGGGGTTCCTGCATTGTTTTCATCTCCTGTTGGCCTGCTGTTGTTTATATGTATGTAATTTCTTTCTTGACAAATATCAAGAAACTAAAGTAAACTAAGTTCGACTTTAAACGACTCGAGAATATTACAGCCACAAAGTAATTATATCAGGTTTAATAGATCATTCACTATCGCAATGATAGTTTCTGTATGATTTTGGGTTTCTATTGATCTGATGGAGAAAGGAAAGAAACTTATTAAACTGTAACTGCATTCCAGTTTAATACATAAACCTACCCCACTGAAATCTCCTACAACATTTTTTTGACCTGAATAAAAAACAATTGAAATAAACACTATCAGAAATAGGAATGCATTTTTCCATCCTACGCATCTAACTAGCAGGGCTTTTAATTGGGCGCCACAGAAACATTGCAATACTTGGGCCAAAAAATATAAGGGACCTTTAGATTCGAGTACGGCTGAGGGCTACCACGAGGACGAAAGTTGACGAGACGTTTTTCGCGTAAAAAAAGGGACGCCGGAAAGCTTCATTGTACTCTCCTTTACCAGAAAAGCTAGCACGATTATTTTTAATTGAAGAAACTTGAAAAATAATCAGCCATTGACTTGTTACTGCCACAGACATTTTTGCTGAAACTCGTAGTAGAATGACGATGGCTATCACATTTTCCCGCCAAAATGACGCTGGTTCACGCTTGGGCACTACAGTATTGAGAAAATCTCATTCTTGTGGTCATATTCATCTTAGAAACTAAAGATCTCTAAGATGAAACGAGGAAGAGTCTACTAACACTAGCACTTTGCCTTCGCATGCACAACAGGTGAGCGAAGGCACGCGTGAGGCGGGCGTTGAGCGCGAGACACGGCGCCTTCCCCCATCTCGAGCCTAGAAAACGCGAAAAAATAACACCTGTTATGCAGGCTAACTTTGCCTTTTTAAAACCCTACCTGAAGCATCAAGCATGTTTCCCAGATCTTCATGATGTTCAAATGTTGCTGACTGTGATCGACGTAGGAAAGCAGAGCTGGCATCTTGTACTGGATGGAATATTGCCTCCAAGGGCTGGTTCTCAAACTTCGCAAAGAAAATTAATGTTTAATGAGTGTTTGGAAAAAATATTTGCCTCCCAAAAATGATTTTGTTAAAACACAAGAGCACAGTGAAATGTAGATCAATGCTGTATTAAAAGGAGAATTGGAAACAGGATCTAATAATTACCGAATTCTGAATTTAAGCTACACTTCAAAATCAACACTCAACAGAAAGGTTGTTAAGGTAAGAAAACCAGTCTGAGTTCACGGTTTGGGCAGATCTATTTACTAGGTAAACAAAGTCAAGGACTTGTTAATTCCATTCCAAACTCACATTTACCACTTGGGTAAATAATTCCTAAGTACTGAAAAATGGCTACAAAAGCCTGAGAGAGGTTTCAAAGATGGTTTGGGAGAAATGAGTTTAAGCGAATATTCAGATTTCAATATAATATTCAGACAACTTGAAGTCAGACTTTAAAAGAATCATGGCTACACATGGCACTGCAGCACCTTATTATTTTCTTTCACCTACTGCTTGCAATAATTTGGTGTCTGGATATCCAATAAACTTGAAACCATGTTATATTTATTGACAATCCACTGAACTGCATGTTGAAGACAAACAACAATTAACAAATAGCTGGATAGAGTCCCTACCATTTCAAGCAAAGATGGATGATTTGCAGAACTTTCAATCACTGACATACATCTCTGCCTATAAAAAGGAAATAACTGTGAGAAACATTTCCTTTACTGTGAAAGTCACAAAACCATGAACACCAGAAATATTTATGGAATGTTATTTTGTTCCGAGGAAATAACCAATAAGGCATGAGAAAACTAAACCGCAAACAGCAACGGTAATTAGTTTCGCCACCAAACAATTAACTTTCCAGAAATTTTTCATGTGTTCACGGTTTTCTGAGTTTCACAGTAACGCTTGTGCATAATTGAAAGTAAAATGCAACCAATTACGTACCTTAGCTTCTTTCTCAAGTTTGGACTTTGATCTTGTCTTGGATTGGGCCTCTGTAGAAGCAAAAAGTTAAAAAGATATATACTGTAGAAAAAATCCTTTTGAAATAAACACCTTGATTGACGAAAAAAAACCTAACAAGTGTTCAAATTCAGCGATAAAATACTTTGTTTGAACTCTATCTCTATCTCTTTCTCTCTCACTCTCTCTCTCTCTCTCAGCTGTAACATTTAACATTAGGTGATCATGCGCAATAGTTTGCCTTCAAATTCACCATTACTCAACTTTTTCCTGCCTTGTTCCATCACAAACAATGAAGCCTATTATATGAAATACACTTTAGTACCTTGAGGGCAAAGGATTTAGACCTCTGTCTCATAGCACATCTTTCTTTTGTTGGACTCTCTGATGCCACGGTGTAGGCTCTGTTTCTTCCGGCATTGAATAAATCTCTAGGCTTATAACCTGGCCCTGATGCCTACAGAATGGTTATTATACTTATCATAAATAAATGCACTGACAGAGATCAATAACATTGTCAATAAAATTTTTGAGTCAAATACACTTCTAAAAACGTGTCATCACATGATAAGTTCTGCCATCTTGGTCATGAAGGATAGATGCAAAAGGGCTCGTCGTTTATTACCTGTGAGGGGGGGCCCAGCCATTTTGAGAAAGCTGGAAGATTTTCAAACTAACCCGCCCCATAAATTTTACATAGTGAAAGTGCCCCCTCTCCCAATTGCTGTGGAAACTACAAACATTCTAGCTACATATATATCATGCCGTTACAAAAGTTGACCACATACTTTATCTACAGACGTGTTTTTAAGATTGGTGTCTATACTATTTACAGCTGTTACATTCAATTCCAATTCACTCTTGTTACTGCATTGTACTACTTTCATAAAATTTATCATAATGACCCCCCAAATAATGGTCCCTTATCTGAAAATGAACTCCCCAAACTCAGCAAGATTTTGAAAATGATCTCCCAGCCAATTGCCTGGCCCCCTCTCACAGACAATAAAGCACCCAGCCCAAAAACATCAGAAAAACTGACATATTGAAGGGGTTTATAGCCTAAGGTTTTAATTGGCTCCTGTACTTCCTGAGTACAGCAGAAAAGAGAAGGAAACATTAATGGTTGTTCAGGAAACACTTGTTGTTTTATTCCAGGCCCTCCATCAAGTATTACCAGCTGGTTTGAACTGAAGGGAATCCTTCATTAATAATAATATTATTGTTCAGTGTAGTGACCAAAAATTTTGTTTCTCTGGGAAAGAAAACATAATGAAGTCAGACTTGAACATGTATGTGTTTCTTGTTCATGAATGTTAAATCAAACCATGTGCTCTCAGCCAACTACTGAGTCGCTCGTACTTACTGTAAAACTGATGCATATGCTGTGTTTTAATTTCATATTTTCGGGTTTAAATTTTATTTTCCTTTCTTTCAAACTCATTATCATAAATTACCATACCCAAAAATATAATACATTTAACCTCAGAATAAAATTAAACCACAAAGTGAATCACATGCACAACAATTGCATGAATTATAGATGACAAGTACAGTTACTATACTACGATATGTACATCACTCACTAGATGATGAGCATAAGCTTCAAAACAAGACTTCCTTAATTTGATAGCATTTCAAAATCATTACTACCTTGGGTGTGTCCCCAGAACCTGGCAATTCTTCATCTCCCTGTACAAAATTTTAAAAAGAAGTTCCTCATGATCAATTGGCATGCGGTAGACAAAAAAATTCCACAAAAAATAACATTAAGTGTCACTAAGAAACTCAAGTCCAATATGTCACTAGAGGTTATGCCAGTAACTTGCTTTAAATTAGACCCATTAATTAATTTAATTTATTTCTACCATCTTGATTCCCTAGTTGTGGTTTTACTCCTCTCACACCAGCTATTCATGAAGTTTTGCTACTTCAAGGACTTGCTCACCATATCCAGGGTGTGTCAAAAAGGAGACAATTATTATTTTATATAACAAACCCCACAAATATGAAGAAATGAAAAGAAAAATTAAGGTCATTTCATATTATTTTTTTTACCACCAGCTGAACATAACTCCAAGCAAATACTGTCTCATTAAATCCAAAAAAGCTGCTTTGCAATGCTAAGAGAAGAACCTGATCGAAGGAAAGGGGAAATGAGCAGTTGCAACACTTTCATGGGTGTTACATATTCATTCATTTCATTAAACACTAAGGGTCGGTTATTCAAACAAAGTCTACCTTAGACCACCATTTAGGAAATCTTTGGACCTCCAGATCTCTAAGACTCTTCTTTTGTGGGTTATTATAAGAAGACAAATAATTTTCTAGTCTACACTATTCTATGGTTTCAAGAAACTGCATTTCACAATGAATGGTGTTTACATATATGTATAAAAGCATTCAGCAAACAGAAAATGGCCTCCGAGAACATAGTTTTGTTAAACTACCTCGGGCTAAACTCCATTTAAATAACCACTGGCCCTTGGTATTTAATAAATAAATAATATTTTAAAGCACACATTTTGGACTCTTAAACACACACCTCTGTTGATACCAGTGGAGCACTGACAAGGTCTGTTATTCCTGATGGCATTTGAGAAGCATCATCCTGTGAAGAAAATAAAACTCATCTGTCAAGCAAGTCACTCTGGAACATTTTGCGGTTTACCTAACTGGGCAACACAAAATATAAAAAATCCGGCATATTTGCTTCCCAACACTCACCAACAAACATATGATCGAAAATCTATCCTTTATGGCTAAAATATTGTTTCCATGATTGACAAACCTTACTTACATCTAACATTAAAGTAACATAATTTACTTAAATGGACTTTTCAGGGCATCCTTTACCCAAGGAAGGCTAGCTCCAGGAACCCCCAATCTTATCCAACAGCTTCCAATCTCATCAACTGCTGCCTTCAAACAAATTCCATGTTCAATTTGTACCTTAAATTTTAGAAATATATCCTGAGGGTCCACTCAAACAGCTGGGCTTGCAACTACGTGACATCTGCCAGCAAGGGTTTATGCATCACAGTAGAAGAAGTGGTAGAGCTATTTTCTAGTCGAGATCTTGAGATGACATACCTCTTTACTTTGTTCTTCAACTAAATCATCAATGAACCCATCATCATCCCCATCAGCCTCAAAATCGAAGTCATGTGTTCCACTGTCTCGACTGTCAGATGGGGATGATGGAATATAAAATCCTTTGGATTGAGCCTGTGAAAAGAAAAAACAATCATAGGATTGTTCAAAAAACAGGTAACTACAAAATTAAGTATACAGGATGATAAGTAAAAAAAATCTACAGGGAAATAATGGCAAAAATTGTCTCTTGATATGTTTATGAAGCCAACCTATCCGCATCCCAAAATACATGTTGTCCTTTATAGGTTACCGGTAATCACTAGGGTGCAACTTTCTACAGACAAACCTCTCTACAACACCCACCTTGGAGACAGACGAAAGTGGCCGTTTGTAAAGAAGTGGCAGTCGAAGAAAGGTTTTAAACAAGAGTCAATGTGAGGATTTTTTGTCCGACCATGTGGACCAAAAAAAGTGGCTGGTGGCAGAGGTTCGACTGTGCTTTGAATATAAAATCTAAACTAATATTTCAAGGGTCCTTTTAAATTAATAACAGTAACTGTAGAATAATTTCAAAATAATGGCTCAAAATACCGGCAGGCATGACAGTAGCCTGTGAACAGGCCTTTAGTCGAGCGGGGTGGGGAGAGGGAAAAGCGAAAAGGCCTGTGGACAGACCTTTGGAGCCGCCGTTCCACGGTACCCGCTGTGCATCAGATCCTGATGCAAGCTCCTATTGGCGAGAACACTGACTGTTGACAGGTCTGATTGACATTGGCTTTTCGGTCGGCACATAGCACGCGATTTGATCACAGAGTGGCAATAACAAAACAGTCCAAAGACTATTACCACGGGGAGGAACTACGCGCTCCGGTCAAGAAACACAAACTGTCTTTAAAAAAAAACACTGAGCTGGAGTTTATAGTTACCGAAGCACAATGCAATTCTCCATAGCTGATGTAGCTTCGGTTTAAGCTGCATTTCAATCTTACAAAATAACCATCTTTTAAAACAATGACGAGCTGGGCCCAGCGTCAGAATACAACATTGCAGAAAAACATTACATTCACGGACTAAAGAAAGTCGCTTAGTTATTCAGATCGAGAAGGCACTTTGGAGAAAAGTAAGACCCTTATTCAGCCGCAATAAAAACCCGAATAAAAAGCAAGGCAAATCCTGTCGACCAGAAACAAAAACCACAGTATTAAAATCGATATGTATGCCATGACCTCTCAGTGTGAAACAAGCGGCTAAAATCACATTTGCTCAGTGAAAATGTAGAACCTTCCAGATAATAATCTACCCCGCAGAGGAAAAAACTTGTGGGAACAAGCAGCATTTGGCATAAAGTAAAAGTCGTGTTGGCCTACCATGTAATTCCTGTCGGCGATCGAAGCGCTGCTGATCTCTTTGTGCTTGTCTTCGAAGCTGCACGTTCTGGAGAAGTCATGATAGTATCCGTACCTTCCGCATTCCAAGTACGCTCATTGCAAACCGAACTAGCAAGACGAACGGCTTATTAATCCTCTTACCGGAGATCAACGACTTTTTGCAAAACCAACAATGAGGTTCATGCTCCATTTCACTTTGTTTTCAGACGGAGCAAAACACCACTCATTTCCTGTTATTTTCCCAGGAGTTACTCACGCGCGAAATTGATTGACCGATAACGATCTTACTGACAGATGATCGGCAGGATAATTACAAGAGGCGGAATAGCGGCCTCAAATGTTTGTCTACAGGCTCTCTCCCCCCTTTCCCTTTTCTTTTCTCGCTATTTTTCCCCAAACAGAGAGCCTGTTCACAGGCTAGCATGACAGCTCATTCATCTATCTGGTAAATGTCGATAAGCAAACCACAACAACCCAAATGCGGCAAAAAATGATCTTACTTGTGGTGAAGGATCAGACAATGATCTTGATGATAAAGAGCTTGATGATGACTTTGGTAATCCTCTACATCCAACTGGTTGTTTTGGCTGGGCAAATTTAAACTCTTTTGTATCCGAAGTTTGGGAAGGTTTTCTTTCCACGGCATCATCCTTTTCAGTGTCAAAGTTCAATCCGATGTTTTCTTTGTTGGCTGAGAAAGCCGGATCCTCTCCACTTTTCACCTAATGAAATAATTATTTGGGGTTCGGATCTCAAAGACATAAATTTTAATATGGAATATTTTGTACACATTCAAGCAGGTATCTTTGACAAGTAGTATAAGGGCAATGCTAAAATGGAAAAGATCCATGCAAGTCATTGTCCAAAAGAGCAGCTTGAAGTCAAGTTTGTTTACAACCCCCTGAAGAGAAGGGAAGAAGAGGAAGTAAATGCTATAGTTATGTTTTCTCAAAGCTAGGATGACTACCTTAGAAGGAAGGCAAATAATAATGAATGAGATGTCAGTTCATACTGACAGGGCTAAAGGCTGCAAAACAACTAAATTAGTTTTGATAGATGCAGGACATTCATTGGTAACAATCAATTTTTTGGTGAATTTAAGGAAGAATTTTTCTGTAGGATAGAAGTGTAGCTGACACACTATACTTTGAAAGTTAATATTGTAAATATCTGAATTTTTGCCTGAGGCACTTAAATTTAAAACTAAATCTGAGTCAAGAGAGGGGGAACTGATCATAGGAAACAACTTATTTCAATCATTTTTAGTGACTTCAAAGATTGTGCTATTTTCACTAAAAATGTATGTACTGTATACTTTATATTCTGTAAGGAGAAGCACTCGTAAGGGAATTCAAAGGAGGGTGTTTAGTTGAAGCTGAGTGCTTATTTGTGCATCGATTGTGTTATACGGCAATGCTCAGTTAAATAAATTTTCAGCCATTTCATGTCATGTAAGACTAATGATTAGCTCCAGAGATATTGTCATTAGATTGACTTTTATATTATGGCCCCTAAAATAACCATTTAAATGCTCTTTTTTGTCCCAGGAGAACTCAAAACTTCAAAAGTTCAAATAGCCCTTGTTTGATATATTAAAATTCCATGACTCGGAGGCTTTCTGGTAATTTCTCTATATTTGGTTTGGTTTTGCTTGTGCTCAAGTCTCTTCTGGGAATTGCGAGACAAAGGAGTGGTGAAAAATTTGCAACTTTTATCCTACAGCCTCGGAGTTATGTTTAATTTTATAAATATTATTCATTCAAAATATTTTCCCAATTCTGATTGGCTAAAAGCACTCGTTTAATTCACCATAACCAGTTGCTGATGACCAAATTTGGAAGAATTTTGTGTTTAACGAGGAAATGACGTCAAAAATGCAACATTTCCGCAGGTTAAGGCACCATTAACCGAGAAGACCTGGGGACGAGGTTGAGTTGTTTTGATTGTGAACTTGAAAAATGGCAGGCGAAAACACAGCTAAATACATGGCAAGAACAGCAAGAAGGCAACTCGAAGGACGACATCTGCTATTTGGAGAATATTTGCAGAGCTGGACAAATCTAAACATGCACTATCGAAGATAAACTTAACATCGATGCTCGATGGAGCTTAGCGTGTTTTAGCCGTGTTTTTAAAGTAGGAATTATTTTGAATGAATAATAAAACAATTATTGAATTTGGCTTTCGTATCATATGAAGAATTTTGGAGATCTCGGAGGGTGTCATCAGCCTCGGCCTACGGCCCCGATGGATAACACCCTCCTCGATCTCCATAATTCTTCACAAGATACTCAGCCTCATTCATTAATTGTTAAATATATCAAACGTGGGCTATTACCACAGTGGAAAGGGAAGGGGGGCAGTGTGAAAAGTTTTAAGACTGATTGACACAAAATTTAACAGGATGCTTACTGGTACAGAATGCCACCTTTTAAAAGAAGGCCGTCTAGTAAAAGGAAAAAAGAAAATAAGCAATGTCATACAGATATATTAATTTTGGACAGTCGCTGCTCCATCATTCTGCATTAAGAATTATGTAAACTGAAGCAATTTAAGTTATTTAACACAATTACAAAAAGCAGCAGATACAGCTGCTGCAGCATAATTATAATAATTATAGAAAACTTTATTGAGCTGGCCCAGGTTGTTCTAAAGATGAATAGTGTTATCCACAGGATAAATCACCATCCAACGGATAAGTACTAGGGAAACCAATTATTGCCCTATCCAGTAAATAGAGATTTTTCCAATGGTTAACGTTATACACCTTTTGAACAATAACAGCAACAATCAAGCTTTATTTATGGGGGCCTAATTGTCAATCAGTAGGATTCTTTGAACAATAGGAGACCACGTGTACTGAAAAAACAGCTGGACTGAAAACCACGGATTTAATTTTAAATGATCGAATTCTTGGAGGCTACACGTGCTATTGGGCATGAATTACTTAACAATATAGATGTTTCAGGAAAGGCTCTAACCTGCTGTATTCACTTACTGTCAAATCTCTAAACGGTTTCAACAAAAAATCTTTTTAGACCTGTAATTGTGAATATCAAGATTAGCTTAACAAGACACATATCACACAAACCTCTGTCTCCTTTTCTCGGCGTTATATCTGAAAAATGAGAAAAAATACAGACTCGACTTTAGTTACGACTACCTCATAAATTAAGAGATAAAACAAGCAAATCACCAACCTTTCTGTAGCGAAATAAAATGTTTCTATCTCCTACAGTAACTGACGTTTTACCTCTCTAATTAAGCTTAAGTTCATTAATTTTGTGGTTCTCCACTTTTTTCGCGGCCTTTCGGCGAGTACAGCCCGGTGAGTACTTGTGAGCATCCATGTCATGACTGGAGTAGTTTGACTGATTTTATAAGTCTTTTATTGTGTAGTCGCAGAAGCAAAGAAAATTTTGTTTAATGAAAGATTTAACAATGGACTTACAAAAAGCTCACTGCATTGCAAATAAACATTCTATAAAAACTGGACTGATCGAGCGTGGTACATCTACTGTCTGAAATAAACTAAAAATTGAATTAACACAGGTAAAAGGATAGTTTTTTTAAGCTGAGCAGCACCTAAAGCGGTATTATTTAACGAAAAACCTCGATAAAACTCTCGCAAAATTGCGGGGCAAAAATAACCAAATTCCGGCATCACTGGATGCATAAAATCCTGCTCACCTAAGCACTTCCATTGATGGCGAGTCAAAATCAAATCCAGGAGGTGGTGAATCAGGGCAATAACCTACAAGAAAGAAGAAGAAAAGAGTAAAAATAATGAAGAAGGAAATTTCATAAACCTTCCAGGACAATTATTCTCGATCCTGTGTCAGCTCGCATGCACAGAATACTCAAAATTTTCTTCAAAAGGATTACCTGATTCGTTCGACGTTGTCGAAAGCGATCTTTGAAAAGTTCCGTTTACTTTCGGTGTTAAGCAATCATTTCCAGACAATGAAAGCTTTCTTTTAGGAGTCCTCCCCAAACTACAGAAATGAAGAAGCAAGAAAACATGGTCGCTAACGAGGATGTTTTGTTTGGGAGTGCATATGGAAAGTTAGAAGTCGTTCGATATCAAATGCCTCCATTTGTGTTTAAAACGAAAGAAGAAATACAAGCTTACCTGTTCTCCAGATTCTTTGCTAGCTCTGTTATTGGAGAAAGTACGGTGTTAGGAGCAGTATCTAAAGTATTTTTTCTCAATGGAAGTTGAAGTTCTAAACCGTCGAGGTAGCTGCCAGCTCTCGGTTTCATCCCGGCCATATTGGAAATTGACTACGAAGGGTTGAAGCGAACTCTTATCACGCGACTTTCACGCAAAAGTAACGGCTACTGGTGCCTGAAGAAATGCCGAAGACAGGTATTCAGGAAAGAGGGTGATTCTAATCTACATTCGGTTTCTATAAAAGTAAAGAAAAAGAAAGCTGGCGACTGAAGGCGCTATGCTTCTGTGCAACTGAGGCCTTTTCAAACTTCCCCCGCATTGCATGGTGAAAACATTTGCATGTAACCAGCCAATCAGAGTGCTTTGTTGTTGGTTTCCTGGGAATCTCGTTTTCGATTTTCCCGCTTCCTTTTACTTCCGGTATATTGTTCAAAACGGTTGACGGCGGTCGACAATTGAGAAAACTAACAATCTTTGGACCTTTTCCGTTGAAAAATGGTCGAATTTTTTGTTTTACTTTTTCTTAAACGTATCCAGTTAGCTGTATGAAGAATAAGTTGACCGTCAAGTCCTGAGCTGTCTTTATTTTTCGTTTTTCACCGCGGGAATTGAAAACTAAGGGAAATTTCCTTTCTTTTGCAAGGGTTTCAATAAGAATTGAAGTAGCCAGCAGATTTGAATAGATAAACCGACTGTATCAACAGTCCACGTTTTCAAGGGATATCTGGGGGCATGTTCCCTCAGAAAATTTTAAAATTATTGCAAAGCCCTAATAAGCGATTTCCAGCGTCTGAGTATAAAACAGCGAGTTTTCCATTCAAGAAGATTTGGTTTTAGTCAAATTTTGATTTATTAGCCACGCAATTAAATCCTCCAAGCAATGAACAATGATGATTTTACTAAGTTACATACATTTCCGCGTGAACAAATTATATTTTTGTCCACGGCATTATTCAAACCAGTTGCTTCTTCTTCGGAGAAAAAAGTAGCCGACTTCTCTGAGCAATGTAGCCGACGCGTTTCGTCGGTCGTTGCTGCTTATTGAAACCCCTGCTTTTGATATATACTTTGCCTATATTGGAGAGAATTTTGGCTCGGGAGTGGCATTTCAAAGTAGTGTTTAGCCATATGGTTGTGTGCGTGTGCTTGGCAAAAGCGGAGGGAGGCGAGGAAAGCGCTTCTGTGGCAAAATGGCCTTCGTTTACTGCGAAATTATAAACAAGTAAGTTAATACTGGATTCCAGATTCTTTTTTCGGTGGAGCTGGGATTCTAGTTCAATCTTTAGTGGGATTCCGGATTCCTAAAGCTGTATTAAGGGGGATTCCAAAACCCAGGATTCCAGATTCCACAAGCAAAAATTTCCCCGCTTCCGGAATCTAGACTCACTTACAAAAGGCGAATACAGAGCGACAAGAGAGGATAAAGGGGAGAACGAAAAATTGGTAATGTTAGTGCTGCTTATCCGAAATCACGACTCTTAAAATCAGTTGCATTGTTTGTTCAATCAATACTATTAGGCACAGTAAATTACGCAACTTATGTAGAAAGTTGCGAAGAAGCGAAGAAGCCTGAACAATTTCAGGCGTTGGGATTGGAACCCTGGCCTCTGCGATACCGATGCAGCGCGCTAACCAGTTGAGTTAATAAGCCAAATAGAAACTGGTTCTTAAACTGGTTCGTAATGTACCGGGGAAAGATGAAGATAAAATGATGAATATATGATCTCATGATCGCACAGCACAGTACAGTTTTGGACAGGCCTTTGCGATATTCAGTCGTCTCGCTTTCTCAGCTTTTTTTAAACTGCCAGCAATTCGGTTTTTTTTTCTTTTTCAACGAATCCTGAAGCTCCTAGCTAGTAGGATGACGTGATCTTGTGAAAAGGAAAATTTCCTGGTTGGTTGCGGTGTTCTGTTTTTATATTTTACGCCGTGTTGTCACAGGGTTTTAGCCTTGGTGCGCAGTCCTGATCGTACGGTCCATACGGGTAAAAATCATCTTTGATTTAATGTCTATTTCTCTTGACATGTGTTTATTTTTTGAACTGATCACTTTTCCCTAGGCTGTTTTGTATCATTAAGAGGAAAGACTCATTTCCAAGAGAGAAATGTAAGTAAGATCTGATTTATCGCTTTTTATTCATGCGTCGGCATATTCAGTTTCCGACGGCAACAGCGCTATCAGTTCTTCATTATGTCTCCTCTCATACGCTTACTAAACTTACATATGCAAGGCTGGTACAACGGAAATGCAGAGGTTGGACTAAGTTCCCGTAAAAGGCTAAAATTTCGACGAGTAGAACTAGTCAATTAATGCGTCAGAGTTGAATATTTTATGAAAATTAAATTGGTATTGAAAGAAACTTTGCCTAACTTGATTTTCATTGTATCTACCAGCCTTTTATATTATTATTTTTATTTGTTTATTACTACTTCTTTTTTGTGTGTGTGATCTAGAGCTTACTAACGTGATGTGTTGGGAAAAAAAGCAAACAAACAAACAAAATTTCAGCATAGACATCATGCCACAGAATGCTTGAGTCGTGCTCTACATTTATAACGTCGCCAAACAGTAACATGTCATAAATACTGCAGTTACCGGTAGTTAAGTATTGGAGAACTTACTTTATTACTGAATTTTCTGTCTTTAAATATTGACTCTATGTTGTCTTGCGACAGCAGTCTAATAACGAAAACGAAGTCAAATGTGTCTCTTTTGGTTTCTAATCGGCACAACAGGAATCTGGTATATTTGCACATCATTTTCTCTAAAGTTTCTCTAAAACTATATATATTTATATCATCCTTATGCAATTGGAAGATAGTTCCAGGCCTCAGAGGTTATACATCGCTTTACTGCTACAGCTACGTTTCCTTCGGGGCCTTAAGGTGTCCACAGTCATCGGGCAATTTTAGCGAGTGACCGTTAATTAACGGTCACTCGCTAAAAAAATATTCTAACCAGTTCAGAAAATATATAATCCTTTATATACACTAATACATATATACTAATCCTTGTTCAATAAAACCAAGAAAAATGCATGTAAGTGAGAACAATCCTTTGATGCAGTTTGTGATTCGTGTGGTGAAGAAATTCCATGTTTGTGATGAGGCAATGTCTTCAGCACTGAAGTGGAATCTCGATTATTGCGACCTCGTTTAACCGGACTTCTTAATTATCCGGACTTTTTCCTCTGGTGCCAGATTTTTCAAGAATAATAAGAAGTTATTGTGAAGATCCGGGGTTATAAGTTTTCTGTGACAAGCACGTTATCAAAAATGCCGGTCTTGAAATGGATTCTGCTTCTTCGAAGAGCAAAAGAAGCTCTCGCATGCGTTGTAAACGATAAAGTGCATGCATTTCATCGTTGAAACCGTTGAAACTATGGCACTGAATTACCATCTAGTAGCGGAGCCCCATAGCTAAGAAAATTTGGTAATCTATCATCCAAGAAATTTTGGCAATCACTAGCCTGTTCCAGGCGTTCAGATAGTGGGGAGCGGTACGACGTAAAAAGGAGCGCGAAAAAATAAAAGCGAGGGAGGGGGAGAGGTGAGAGAGGGAACGTTCCCGCACCTCTGTCCCCAGCCCCCCTCTACTTTTCATCGCTTTCTTTACTTCACACCGCTCTCCACTATCTGAACGCTTGGAACAGGCTAGGTAATCACGTGACTTTACGTCCGTCCGCACCACAGGGACATCAATGTGAAATGTCAAACTTTCTAGCAAGAGTAGAAGCCTGTAAGCTTTGGTCCGGCGATTTCAATAATATTTATATTTTTTTGATCATCCAGACTCCTTTTTTCCTGATTTTTTTTCCATTTCCCACCGAGTTCCGAGTTCCTCTATTATGACTTCAATAATGGTGATGCACAAATTTACAATAAATGCGACCACCCTCTAAGCTCCATTTTGGGTGTAGCTTGTAAACAGCCGCCCCCTTCCTTAAAAAAGTCCCCTATTTTGTCAGAAACCGGCACAGAGCCTGTGCTCTAGTCGTACAGATAGAAGTGCAGGTACCTACGCAACTGACTAGGTATGTCAGATAAGAAATATGCATTTCGTGCAAAAGAACCGTAAATCCTTTCACGTTCTCTTGTTTAACATTAACCAAGTTAAAGCAATGGAACACTAACGTTACAATATTTTACGAGCATTACAAGAGAATATCGATTTGAGATCGATTCGACAATATAATTGATCATTATAGTGATTCCCTTTTCAGGAAAGGAAAGAGATGTTTTTAAAGACTCGAAGAAAACTGGGGCTTGCTAAAAACCGCACTGAAAAAATATTACCGGAAACCGCAGGGAAAAAAACTAAGAAACTCACTGACCTATGGCCCAAAGCAAAACAAAACGGCAAATTCTCAAATACTGCTCCTCGTACTATCTCAAAGAATTTATAGATTTTGTTGTCACTTAACTTGGCGCAAATCGTTTTTCTTTTAAGTATCTGCACTAAAAAGCCATAAACAGAGGCTGCGAAACACATAAACCCTTAAGAGAGAAACTGGACATTTCCAGATAAAAAAATCTAACAACTGCAAGGACACTTAAACTACTGAAAAATCTGCATATTTAAGGAGCAAAAAACTGGAGAAGATATCTTGATAGTGGCATGGTTTACACTAGAAATCAGAATGCTTATGATCCCATTCATTGAAGTGTTAGTTTTCAGAGAAGTGGCTTTTGAGTTAAAACATCATCCATGGGAGGATGTGAGCTTAGACTAATTGGGTTTTGTGGAAACTAATTTTTTCCTGATTTTACGCAAAATGTTTGTGTGGTGGTTTAATTTTATTCTTGGTACAAGTTTCGGTTTCTGCTTTCTGAGTCACTACTACATTGTTTTTTGCGGGATTAACGAAGGGTCAGTAACGTAGAAATGGCCAAAATGCACCGTTCTCCGCTCGAGTTTTAGCTCACGAACGCCCGAGCGATAGCATTTGCCGCATTTTGACATTCAATCCTCAACAAAGCTTACTAAAGATCTCCTGCCATTATTAATACACTGTACCTAAAAAATGTCACTCAAACCTGAATTAAGCGTTAACCATTCGGGGGTAATAGCTTACTGATCGCTTAGAACAGGTTTCACAAAACTAAAGAGTTACTCGGGAAAGAGAAGATATTCTTGTTGAGAAAAGAAAAGATGGTGAAAGTACGATATATCAAGAATCCCACGACAAATTGACCCCAAAGTGTCCTTACCTCTTATTGTGCCAAAGGAAAGGAAGTATTAGAAGAAAAAGCAGAGACACTGTATCTCTCGCACTAGTTCATTTTTAGACGCCTTTGAATAGGAAAACGTCACTTCAGCGCAGCCGTGGTTACAGGCATAGAGAACTGACTGCAAAGTTATATACGGCATCTCGTGGCTTAAGGTTTTGCCGGATTGAGTTGGAATTGAAAGCAATTCTTTGAGAAAGAGTCAACACTCGGCGTAAATGAGGCATTTTACAGTTCGGTGCGATGCAAAATATTTTAAAAGATTCGTCATGTTTAGTGGCACTTTCGGCTTCCAAATCACAACTAAAGGTGAGTGTTAGAGGTCAGTAGCTCCCCACTCTCCTTGCCTCCGTCGCCAAAATGGGGAAATTTCGATCTGACAACGGCAACGCTAGAGACAACTTTACTGAAAAACTGACTTAGCGTCCTTTCAAACAATAAACACTACTTTTCATTTCCTTACTATGCAGATGGTTGAGCAAGCGCTTCGAGCATTTGCGCAACAGAACTTTGGGGCGGACGGTGAAGATTTTTATCCAGTGCATCAAGGAAACACGCAAGAAGTTCAAATACTTGCACTTATGGCAAAAAAACCAAGAAGTGTTTTCCTTCGTCCGTTCAAAACCAATTCTCTCGTCCTCCTTGCTGGATTAGAGACTTACATGAATCGAAGTAAAAAAGAAGAATATCAAAATGCTGTGGACAGGGAAATTAAAAGAGATGACGTGGAAGTTACCCTGGAACTGGACGAGGATAATGAGAAGGATGAAGGGGATGACGCGGCCCCTGGCAGGTAAGATAATTGAATCATTCCTTCCTAAACTTTTTGCCCCGTCTGAAACTTTTTCTGGTCACCGTTTTGATCTTGGATCCTGCATATAGTTCAGATACAAGTAATTACTCACTGGCAGAACAGCCTTGACTTATACTTGGAGGCTAATACTAATAATTTCAATGATAACAATATACACAAATAAAACAATCTCCCTGCTGGAGTGATGGGCATATGTAATGCCAGGATATCTCCAAAGGTCTAAGATTTAAATATATAAGAAGAAAGAGGGTAATCTTACGTACCTTGTTTTGGCAGTCTATCGCCGGATCACCAGGCTTATTTTGCTTGTCCAACGGAATAAGAGGGAATGACAAATTTATCAGTTTTTCCATAACTGTCACGTGTTTACCCTCTTTAAATAAAGGCGTTACCTTACCTTACCTCACCTAGTGCTGTAGTTCTTCGGCGGCGGAGCCACGTGAAGATTGAAAAAAATCAAACTGATTTTCCCTTACGGCTTGGCCACTCTCATCTTGTGAAAAAAGTACCCCGGCCCAATAGTCGCGTGTTATCGCACGTATACTACAACCTTACAATATACGTGTCGCGCACAAACCTATAACCACTTTACGACGACTTGTTACTAATGTCAAGGATAACACAAACCGAAGGACAGACAGGGAGCTGTACACAAGATCAAATGCTGCGACTGCCACGCCGCTTACATCGGTGAAGCCGGAAGAAAACATTAGCACCCCGGGATTAGTACGCGATTGACGACCGAAAACAAACGAACATCAATAAATGGTGACGTCAACAATCACATTGATGAACACCATTTACAGACGATACATCAAATCGACTAGGAC